GAAATAAGATCAATAAAAAATTATTAAAATTTGGGTATTCATAAAAAAATATATCATCAATCGCAAAATTAGGAAAGCAGATAAATAAAACTGTATATAAATGTTTTTTTTTTCGCAATAATAATGTTAATTGGCTCAATATTAAATTGTAAGCTTTCACTTGAGATAGATTTAATAAAAGAAATAATAGAAAAGGACTCCAATAACAAACTTAAACTAAGTGGGAGGAATTTAAAAAATTAATTACTAAAATTTAGAGAATAATAAAAAAATTGCCTTAGGTTGAGCAAAAGCAGACCGCAGGTCACCATTTGGGGTCTGTTGACCTTTATTTCCTATCTTGCAACCCGATTTTTCATTATTCATAATTATAATATTTAATTTTTGAGAAATGTTCGGTTAATGCAATCACGTTATATGATATCGTTCATTAGCATGTTGATTGGCTGAAATATATTTTCATCAAAACTGTCAGTTGGATTGTATGTAATACGAACCTTCCATATAAAAAAGATCTAATTAAGAAAGTGTCAATCAGAGTGTCATTATTATTATTCTTCACACGTCATGTCATAGAAAGGAGGAGATTTTTTGCTAAAAATTATTCATCACTGTTAAAAAAACACCAGACTGGAGCATAAAAGAAATTTTTATTAAAAAAAAAAATAATAATAATACTTGCGGTCGTAACCGCTTTTAAATGCAAAGCTGCATCCCCAGTTTCCTGCGACATGAATGCAACAAAGTGTGCGATTTATGATATTAAAAGCGGCGAGAGAGGATGAAATTTGTAACTCGCCGAGTGATTGATACATAAATTAGTCGCTCTTGTCCTACAAAAGGCGCGTGTGTCGTTGAATAATAATGGCGTGCGCCGTAATGGCTGTGCACACACATACACGCGACGGCTGATGACTTCCTTTCAACAGACAGGCAGTTTAAATGCAAAACATGTAGTTTGAAATGCGCCGCGCCGATCTCCGAGAAAGGACGCAATTTTAGGGGCTGCTTGCATCGATCCTCCTCCGTTTGCCGCCACCAAATATTAATATATAAAACTGACAAAGAGCGAGATGAATGTGCAGGGAAGTTTTTCTAAAAACAGCCAGTCATAAATTCCGATGCGCGTTTTCCTGCAAAAAAGTGTCAAAATGTATAAAAGCTCCTGCAATTCATCTGCCCAAACGAGGAAAGCGAAGCTTCTCAAATTGTTATGTTGGTTCCATAGAAATAGCTGCTCAATTTTGGATGTTTTTTTTAACTGTATAAAATGGAAATATTTGTTTATTATTTAATATGACTGATGCTTTTAATGAAAAAGCTATAAATCCAAAAATCACTCTAAAATCTAAAATAAATATTATTTATACAAAAGTAATTAAACTATAAAGGGACTTCGCATATGAACAATAAACATATACCTCTTAAAAAATGTAAATTTCTGTAGAGATTGGAGAAAAACAAATCTCTTTGTGCTGTATGAGTTTGGGAATTTATGGTATGCGAGTTAATTTTGCGACTTTTAAAAGTTTGCAGCGAGCCGGAAAAAATGTTTATTACGTCTGCTGGAACGCATTTTTCGTCATTTTTGCGTGATGCTTTTAGCTGTGAGTGAATTTGGCAAAAAATATTTTACGTCCAAAATTTCATTTATTATAATTTGAAAAAAAAAGTACATAAAAATTGTTCCATAAAAAGTTAAATATAATGTAAATGTTTTTTAATGCAAATACCAAAATGTATTTTATTACTAATTATAATAATTTACATAAATGAAATGAGGTCTTAAGTGAGTAAAATAATTGCTTAGCAGATTTAATTAGTAACAATTTTTGAATTTTTGCTATATAAAAATATTGACTTGGTAAATCTCATGCACTTCTATTTGAACAAAACCGCGGAAGCATGATCAAGAGCAAATTTGGCCAATTAAAGGAAATCAGTCATTTCGCTGTGAACATTCAAGCCAGAGTTGGAAGATGTCGGTCGGCCTCAAGCATCCGGAAAATGTGTTCATCGTCACGGAAATTTGGGCTGCCTCGGCGCCTTGTTTGTTCAGTTTCGTGGAAAACGCGTCGCATTTGGCCGTTTTTCCGTTCCCTGGGACACAAACGCAATTAATTTCCATGCCGATTCTTCAGCGTGTGGAGCGTGAGTTAATTTTCTCGGCCTGAATGTTCCTCGAGTGGGTGGTTTTCGCACCCTCACTGGCAGCGGCAGTTAATTATTTCCCCTGACGTGACGCCGATTTACAAAGCGCGAGCTTCGCTCCCATCAAGTTCACCATTTGCGACTCCCTCAACGCGAGAGCAACAAAATTGACTTTCGCGACTGCTGACGAGACGTATTTTCACGGCTTACGATTATATATGTATAATCTATGATGTTTCCCATGCGAAATAATGAGGTGCCTTTATGCGTCTGATCTGACGTTTTCCCGCAGGCTCACCGTGGATTATAAACTCATTCATGAATTTAATAAGCACTGCTATTCATTTCCATGAAAGATTTTCCGGAACTGACAATGAGTGAAATTTATCTAAAAGAAAAAAAACTGATTATTGTAATAAAACCACTTGTTTATTATCTAAATTCTAGTAAATTTGATTATTTTCTTTAAATTTCTTCTGATTATTTTATAATAAATTAATGGTATTTTTTTATTATTTATAGTTATTTTTTTTGCTTATTGCTTTCTATTTTAAATTAATTCTTTAAATAAATAAATTTTTAAGTATCTATTTTAATATTAAGAAAATAATAATTCAAACAGAACTTCAAATGATTGTTATTACAAATTATCCCAATGGAGATTAAATGGTACTCGACTTCTGATCTGCATAAATTCAATAATATATTATATTACCAAATTTTATTTCTAAGTAAATGCAAATTTTTACGGCTTTTCGCATCAAATGAGCCATAATTTGAAAATAAATTTAAAAACTATGTTCTGTAATCTTAAAAGTAATTAATCAAATAATGTAAAAAAAAACTGCTGTAATTCTTGTATATATTTTTTATTAATCAAATTTTTATTGAAATATCTCTTCGAGATTTATACTTGCAAATTGAACAATTTTCCTCATCCCTTGCACTGTGTCATGTGATAATAATAGGTTTCCAAATCCTCCGAGTCGCAAAACCCTATTAAAGCGAGTCCTTAGTGCAACTTTTGATGAAAATAGCACATGCCACTTCTCTCCCTGGTGAGCCGTAAGAATAAATTGGAATTCGGCCCCGTCTACCCTGAACTCTAGATGAGCATTAATAATTGAAATAGACCAGGCTTGAAAATTTAATGTAAACCCGGGAAAGAAATTCTCACTTCGGCTCGTATATAATTGACCTGAAAAAGTTTTTTTGCTCTATTCGGCTCAATTCAAAACCGCCGACGGATGACGCACGTGAGGTTAAAAGCATCCATCAAGAATTCAAGAATTCGGCTAGAAAGAACTTTTGGTAAAGGAAACCACTAGGCGCTTTTATCTTTGCCGCGCTCCCTGCCGAAGGAAAGTGGCGAAATGAGAGAGAAAGAAATAAAAAGCTGGAAAAGACGTGTGTCTGCGCAATGTAAAAATTATATATACGTGCAATTTTCGTGATTTCGCTCGTCGACTTCAAAGCAGAGCGAATGGAGAGAGGGTGCAGCACGTAAAAGCATTGTGCATACTTTCTTCAATTATCGCGTGCTCATGCCTGCAAGAAATGAGTAAGGCGCTTTTAAAATGAGTTTGCGCCGAGGGAAGTCGAGTGTAATAAATTTGCACCGTCATGGAGAAACGTTTTTTTCATTTCCTCGCCAGACTATTATTGAAGAGAAACATATTAAGGAAAAGAAATATATTAAGGAAAATCTTGAAATCTCAAGATTCTACTCGGGACATTTCCTTTGTTGCCAATAATAATGAAATTATTATAATGTAACGCTGACAATTCAATGAAATAATTTAATAACAAACGGAGGCAAGGGCGCACTTTAATTGCACTTTAAAGAATAAATTTTGCTTTTCATATAAAGAGCAAATAAGTAAACTTTTTAAGAGTCAAGTAAGGAGAATACCTCGCATCTGCTGCTTTGCACAAATGCTTTTTATTGTGCAGCAACGTCCTAGAATTATACAAAGAAGCAACTAGTTTGAAAACTGCACTTAAGACGTACAAGCACGATGCAAATATTCTGGGTCAAATCGCATGTGGGTTGAGGCACTGCAGCCCGCATTGAAGTGCAAAACTAAAGTTAGTTTTAATTTGCAAGAACTAAAACTTTTGCGTGTGCTTACGGGTGCATAAAAATAATATTAAAAAGAATTCTGCATAAAAAATCTGCTATGGTTATAAATTTTTCAATTTAGGAAACAATTTCTGAATTTCTAGACAGATTTGTAAACCTTCTAAGTTGAATTTTCATTCAAAAACACTGAATAGAACTACATCTTTAAAGAAAATTAAATTTCCCAATGAAACGTAAACGTTTTGGCCATTCGGAAACTTTTGGAGTAAAATGCAAAATTAATCAAATATGCCAATTTTTTATTTACAAAAACATTATTTTTATATTTATAATTTTAATTAAATTCAACTTTCAATTTTAGTTGTATTTTTCCTATGATGATGAAAAGAATAACTCAATATTTAGTTTTAATATGAAGTATAACTTAAAAGTCTCAGTCTGAAAAAGGCCTGGTGTATGAAAATATCGAATGAACATTTCACGTCACTGTAACTTAATATTCACATTGTCGCACTTTGCTCTCAAAAGATGCATGTTGGACGATTCACAATTTCCCTCCCATCACATGAAATCAGGATTCCGTTCACCGATCATTACCGTAAAGCAAAACACGTCTCCCAAGCACAACCTCCATCTCTGTTCCCATTTCGGTTTCATTGGCTTGCAAAAGCGTTTCCACGATTTGCATTTAGATTGCAAATGTTGCTATGAGAGCAGCAATAGCTCTTTCATTTCGCGAGTTTTAATTGAGAACGCATGTTCGCAGGAAAATGCCGGCGCTGGAAGAGGAAGCCGACGACCGCTGGAGCTAATCGCGGAGAGGAGATTGCCTTGTGTTTATGCAACCCGCGGTGCTTCTTTCGCTCGTTATTTGACTGACAATGACAAGTGCAAACTTTTTTCATAACTCACGCAGATTTATAATATAAATTTTTAACCAGTTCCGATCTTCTTGAAAAGTTTGAGTAGGAAAGTCTCAAGTATGCGGTGCAATCATAACGCGATTATTCCGAGCCGCCGCTTAAATCAAGTTCGCCCGACCAAAAAAGAAAAATGTGAAAAGTGGTCTCCGGATAATTGATCGACTCGATTGTGCACGATGAGCGGTTTCTTCAACAACTCCACCCAGGATTACGAAATGGACGAAAGGGACTGTTCGGAAGGGTCCATCCTCGAGGGCCTGATTTTGGGCACGTCGTGGTTCCAGGCGATTATTTTCACCGCCTACGTGCTCATTTTCGCGGCCGCCCTCATCGGCAACGGCCTGGTGGTGATTTCGGTGCGCGCCTCGCCACGCATGCGAACCGTGACCAACCTGCTGCTGGTCAACCTGGCGTTCAGCGACCTCCTGCTCGCTGTCGCCTGCGTCCCCTTTTCTTTCGTCCCGACCCTGGTGCTCCAATACTGGCCGTTTGGCGCCCCGCTTTGCAAACTCGTCAGTTATTGTCAGGTGAGTCGAATTTTGATCTTTTTCAATTAACCTCATTCAAAATATGTGTGAAATAAGCAAATTTTTTAATAGAATATTAGTTAATTTGGGGTGAAACGTGATTAAATGAAATTTGTATCAATTTTGGTTGCTTCAATTTTGAGGTGAAAATTAAATTAGAAAATTTCTGTAAGAAACCGTGTTGATTTCTATTATTTAAGTTTTCTCCTAATTAATTCCATTTTTTATGATGTCTCCTTTGAATTTACATCTACAAACCAATGTTAGTCTATCAAAAATAAGTCATCAAAATCGATTGCGAACCAACAATTTAATTGATCACGTAGAATATTTTATCTACTTTTTATCCAATTTCAATTAATTTAGCGTTTTAGGGTAAATGTTTAATTTGATAGGACATCAATATAAAATATTCATAAAATCTGGTAATTCAAAATCGTTTTTTCCTGACAAAATGAATCAAGTTTTGTTGCAATCATTAATTAATCATATCAAAATAGTGAAAAAGCTGACGAGACCTTAGATCATTTATGTTTTTCATATTATACCAAAACGTGGAACTGAGACACTAAATTATAAATAAAAAAGAATAAATTTATAAAAATTAATAACAGCGCGAAGAAAATTCTGTAAATTTCCTTGCAATTTAATAAAATTATCAAATTTAAAAATTTATTACAAATTATATATTTTTATTCAGTAAATTCAATTAAAAATATGAGCTCTATTTTATAAAATATTATAAATTGTTTATTTATTGACAACTTTTAAAAAGAATTTTTCCATTTTTTTTTATTCTTTAAAATATTGTTTCTTTCGCCATTCAATATATTTTTTAGCTCAATTTTTTTTCTCTCATTGAAACCATTCCTGGTAAGGAAACCGTTTTCATCTCCTTTTTGCTCTTCTTTATTTCGCACGGAGCTCGTAAGAAAAAAAGTCACCATTCGCCCCTTTGCCCATATATTTGAATCCCTTTGTCACTGACATTGCTGTGCGTCATTCCGTGAATCGCAATCGCACAGAGAGAGACACTCGACGGGGGGCAGATGTACGCAAATGCGCGTTTTGTCCCTTGATAAAAATCACCGCTTCAGCACTCCCGCATTATTGGAGTTTCTTTGCACCGCTTCGTGCTGATTATTATTTATGATTTCACACTCGCAGCGCCGCAGCCATCGTTTGTCAGTCTGCGTCTCTCTTGCAGCGAAATCAAATTTACGATTCACGCGCGCCTCTGGGATTTCATCCGCGATCTCCGTCTCAACCTTCTAGGAACGGTTGTTGTCAAACAGGAAGCAAATCCGACAAAGAAACAGACGGATGAAGCTGCGCGTCTTACTTTGGAATATCGGGGGGGCTCATTGTCTGGGGATTTCAAAGGGAGCAAAGCAAGCCCGCTGAGATTTTCGTTTCTTCATCAGAATAAAGTCTTTTTAATACCAAAGTAGAGGGAAAAGCTCTAAGCATTTCCAAAAGTTTCAATTTTCATAGAATCTCAGCTTTTCCTGCCGTAGGTTTATTCAATTTCGAATCTTGAATATTCCATTTTTACTAAAAATACCTCAAATAAATGAAGTTTATTTTATGACACTCCTGCAATGACTAATCCGAGCTGGAAGAAACCGTGTTTTGAAAACAGACATTTATTTACCAGATATGCAGTACACGGATTTCACTTTCTATTTTGTAAGAATAAAAATTACCATTCAAATGTAAATAGTGATTGCGAATGTGAAAAATGTGGGAGTAAAATTAACTTGTATCATTTTAGTGAATGCTGTAAAAATAATTTAAGCTTGTCTGAAGCTGCGAGAATGAATTATAAATAACTAATTGTACGTTGAAAAGTTGTACACATTTTGTGTTTAATAAATTTCTATATAAATGAAGTTTTGGATAATTGATCGAACAGTTTGTAAATACATTTGGAAATGAATTGATTAGCAATTGGCTATTCTAAAATTCACAACAAAGATACATTTCAAAGATTTAACTTAAAATTATAATAACAACATTATTTCAGAACTGCTTGCCACAAAATTTATTTTCATACCTGCTTATCATTTTTACAATTATATTGAAAGATTCAGCTGGAAATGTATCATTTTTTTTATTTCATCTTTTTTTTAAATTGTTGAATCGAAATGAAAGATTTGAAATTTAATAAAGTTATTATTTTCTTATTATATCATTAATTATTGTTAATAATTATTATTCCTCTTACTTTTGTTGCAGGCTGTATCGGTGCTAGTCAGTGCGTACACGCTTCTTGCGATCAGCGTCGAGCGTTACGCAGCCATAATGCGTCCGCTGCGTCCGCGTTTGGCGCGCAGACACGCTCGCTGGGTGGTTTTCGCAGTTTGGGTCGGCGCTCTTGCCTCTGCAACTCCAATTCTCATCGTTTCAGAGTGAGTTTTACCTTTTTTCTACAAATTAATTGAAATTCCTTGAATTCTTGTTTATTTTTTGTAATGAAAAGATATCTAATTTGGCTCTTGATGTTTTTTTTTTTCAAACAAAAAAATATGGAATTTTGCCTTTGATGCTATTTTTATTTTTTTGTTTATCATTGTTAAATATCTAATTTTGCTTTTGATGCTAGCAAATTATTTGATGTGGGATTTTGCTTTTGTGGTGCAAATCCCTAGCAATTATTGCTTTCGACTATTATTAAGTTAGAGTGTGACGCACAAACAACGCACATTGTGCCAGCGCCAAATGAGCTTTTGATATTGCGAATCGCATGAACATATACAAGAGAATTGTAACAAAACCATATTCCATCCTGTTTGCTTCTCGCCCTCTCACGCGCAAACAAAATCCGGCGGGACCAGAGCCTTATCGAATAACTCACTCGTCGTTGGATACATTTTTTATTTGCTCCGCACTGGACGTTCATTTATAATTATTTTAGGAAGCCTTATAATTATTTTTTATTTTTTTGCCAGATGAAAACGAGCCTTCCGAGAGCGTTTTACCAAACTTCTTATATTTAGAGCCTGATATCACACATTATTTTCAATCTAATTTTTTTTTGGTCACCATGCACACAGCGTGAACCTTTTTGTGACTAGAGTTGAGCGAGCGGTGTACCAAAATTTCAATAGAGGACAATGGGGTTGATATGAAATGTTTTGGCTATATGATGATGAAATACAGCAGCAGTGTGTTTGAAACAACATATCACTCTCAAATGCATAAATTAAATTAATTAAGCGATTCTGCATATAAGCCTGAATTAATGCGGCGAAATCAGGTTATTGTCCTAAACCATATATTATTGTCGTCTGAATGGAGAATAAATAAATAAATAAATACTGATAGATACATTATACATTTTGTTTCATGAAATTTACTTAAAAAAACATGTTAATTAAATAATTTCATTTTAAAAAATAAAGTTAAAAAATATTATAAAATAAATCACATTTAATAGTAATTTAAATTTTTACATTAAATAATTAAATATCATTTATTAATTTCATTTCTTTAAAAAAAAAATTACTAACTTACAAAACAACAGATTTTGCTCAAAAATATAAATGCTCGATAATAATATGCTTACATTATCTTCATTCATTTTATTATTTTCTTTTAATTACATCTATAATTTATTTATCTGGTCATTAAATTTATTCTCCATTCATACACATTAATTTAAAAATAAAATTGATTATTTATTTCCATTTATTTAACACAATTGTGTACAACTTCAGCAAGACATTTTAATAGTTAAGAATTAAAGTGTCGACTTAAGGTTAAATATAATCTATACTAGGTTTTATCTTTATCCATTTTAGCATATTCAGTTAGGGATTTGATTCTTTTTGTACATTTAAGGAGGTGGTACTGAGAAATCTTTGTCTCGTCACAAAGTTTACATTTACATTTTTCTCCGGCGGTATGAAAAGTTTTATCCGTACAAGCAAAGTGATGAAAGCCGTGCATTGCAAACCGTGTTTGAACATGTCTATTTTTAACCAAGGGCTGCTTCCAGTTATCATTTAACATTGCCGGTGTTTGAAATATTTCTACATTAAAGTCACGTTCTTTTCTATGCCGAATATGTTCCAAGAATTCTTCATAAGCTTTATTGTCAACTAAATTAAAGGTGTTCTTAATTTTAGTTACAAAAGGCTCTTCGTCGCCAATCAAAAGATACAGATAAGAGCTTCTAGAAAATTTACTTACTCCTAAAACTTTTTTAAAATATCTAGTCATTAAATTTTCATACGTAACCAAGTCACATAATTTTAAGTGCGGCATTGCTTCCACCCCATACGTGGCCATGGGCGCGAATTTAAGAAAAAAGAGAGATTTAGCGCAGTCGAGAGATAGGTCCCGTAAGTTCCCACTGAAGTGCATGGCTGCGAGGGCCTTTTTGCATCTTTCGGTGACATGTTTGGAGAAGGACGTGCAACTTTTCTGAAAAGTTACACCAAGGTATGGGAAACTAGTTACAAATTCGATTTCTTTCCCCTCGCAAGCTATTTTATCTAATTTTCCTTTCGGCCCTTTACCTTTATTTGTGAATTTTAAAGCTTTTGTCTTGGACAGGTTTATTTTTAAGTTGTTTTCTGTGCAGTAAATTAAAAACTTTCTCAAAATTTCTTCCAGTTTTTTACAACAATCGCTAATAAAAACCATATCATCTGCAAAGAGCAGAAAGTCCACTCCGTCCATGCCCTCGAATATTTTAATAATGTCATGGATGTAAATATTGAAACAAATTGGGCTAGAATTCATACCTTGTTTGAAGCCATTTGATTGAGTAAAAAACTCTGAAAGTGAAATTCCATCATCTATCTGAATATGGTCTACCTCCAAAAATTCTGATAGCAACAAAAGTTCATTTTTTGATAGGGTGTTTTTGTTAATTATCTTTTGCATAAACAATTTTCTATTAGCCAGATCAAAAGCTGATTTTAAGTCAATAAAAAGTGCATATTTTTTGTAGTTTTTCCCTCCCATTATTTCTGAAATTTTTAATTGAAAATTTTTAATGGCATCAATAGTGCTTTTGCCCGGCATAAAACCGTATTGTTCTTTCGGAATAAAATCCCCGAGTTTCGCCAAAAGTCTCGTTGCCAGAATTTTATCAAGTAGTTTGCAAATTGATTATAAGTTAAAATTTGCAATAAAGGTGAATGTAAAAAATGCACCTCCTAAATTGGCCTGCCTTTGGTTTTCAGCAAAGGAAATCGATTCTCTTCGTAATTACCCGAGGTATTTTATTGGCAGAAATTCTCATCAGATAAATTTTATACATTTTTTGAGAAGAAAATGATGCCTTCAAAAAAGTTAAAATCAATTTCGCTCTCAGAAGCTACTTTGAAAACAAAGAGATCAAACGAAAATTGATAGTTTCATGAGATGCTGTGTTTATTTCTGCTCTGCCAGCATAAAAATTTCTCATCGCAAAACTCGATTAATTTTGTTGTGGTTTCACGCCTACAATAAAATGCATCTATATCCTTTTACTGACACATCTGTGGCTTCCTGGTCGTGAGAGGAGTTGAACTGTAAAATATATTGCACTCGCAACAACAAACATGCGGATAACATACATACTTGTTGTGACTTATTTATAATAGTGAAATCGTATTAATTCACAAACGCAACCGGGTTTTAAAATAATATTTTTATATTTTCATTCCAGGGTGGTTCAGCCGAACGAGCGGTACAAAATGTGCGACTGGTTTCTGTGCACCGAGCAGTGGGACTCGATGGACGCTCAGAAGCTGTACACGCTGGCCCTGTTGATGCTGCAGTACGCGTTGCCACTGGGGGTGCTGCTTTTCACCTACTCGCGGATCGCCGCCGAGGTGTGGGGCACGAGGCCGCCCGGCGAGGCGCACAACATGCGCGACATGAGGATTGCCAAGAACAAAAGAAAGGTATTTCCACACGCTTGTTTTCACTCCTCTTCTTAACCGACCGACCGACCCTTGTTGCGTCGAGTTGGCCCTTTTGTTCCGCGCCAGGGTCGATATTGCGCCGCACATCTCGAAACCACGCTCTTGGCCTTCTTTGTCAGACTCGCTTTTGCCCTGCCAAATTGCTGCTAAGAAACTGCAGCTTTTGTTTATCATTCATTAGCCCTATAATTATTATAGTTGCAGTTGATGTTTTGAAAAGGTAAAAATAGTTTAAAATAAATCTGCGTTTGGCGTGAAATTGAAAGCTGAAAAAAATCACTATATAAAATTTAAATCCTTATAAGTAAATAACCCAAATTGTTCTGCAAAACTTTTAAAAATTGCATGTAAAGTAAAAAATTTAATTATTACAATAACAAGAAAATATTACACATGCAATTTTCAAAATATTCAGAAGTTAAAATGAAACTGACAATCTTTCCATCAACTGGCTAACATTTTTTCGACTTCTTTTGAGCCAATTAAGATCCCTTTGATGTCAGAATGCTTCTCTTTCTTAATAAATTATGCTGTCATTCCTCTCAGGAGTTGCAAAAGAAACTCTTACTAAGGCGATTTCAAGCTAGCGCAACCCTTAATTAGCCTTTGAGCGAATAGCGTTCAGTATCAAAGCGAACACCCTGTTTTTGGCAGGGTGATTTTCGTTTTTACCAAAGCATAGCTCATTGAGCACGCAATAAATTCAGAATTAACAAAAAAAGGTACAAAAGGAAACATTTAATTAATGATTAAATTTCCATCTGATGTTTATTCCTTTTTTGAAAAGCAAAAAATTGTATATAGAACAGTTTCGTTTTTATTATCGAATTTTTGTCAACACTTTTTCGTAATAAAGGACGCACGTGCCGGATTATTTTGAGCAAAAAATTCAATACCGGATCTTGGCACCGTCAGAAAAAAAAATTGAAAGCAGAAGCGCCGATCGAAATGAATCGCGTTTGACGCGCGCTGACGCAAATCAGAAAATTGTTTTTTCGCCCGCCGCTCTTCATCATCGTATCCAAGATGAACGATGCCTGCCGCGCCACACTTTTCTTTTTGCATTCAACCTTCACATCGCTCGTAATGGAAAATTTCCTCGACTTTTTTGGCATCTAACGTATTCAAAATCATGCACGCGCACACCATCCGGAGGCGAGTAATGCGAAAAAGGTGTGTCTTCGAATGCTAATGCTTTGGGCCGAAAGTTGTTATGAATATATTTATTTAAAAAAAGCGATGTGCGCAAATCATCATCTTTTTCTTTGTTACTTTTTGCTCTTGGCGCGGTAATTCATGAAAATGTGGGTCGGTAATCCGCGACTTCCATTATTCCAAGTGAAAAATGGAACGTCTCTCGACTGGCGCGCAAGAAGTGTGTTAGTTGTATATATTTTAAAAGCGCGTCGAAAGCCCCGCCAGAAGGAAGTGACATGGAAATAGATGATAAAACGCCCTTTTTCCCTTCGCAATTTCTTTTCTCACTTTACTGCTGCGAAACGTTTTATGTTCTCCAGATTTTGTGTGTGCCGGCGAAAGCACTCAGTACAAAAATTTATGGGCAATTCTTTCTTTTGAAATTCCAACACACCAGACAAGTTGAGGTAATAATTCTAAACTTCGCGTAAGAACACACTATTGTTGCCGCAAACTTGTAAGTTGTAACAAAATAAAAACTTTCCACTCTAATAATTTGGTTGCACTAATTATCATACGAAAGCATTAACTTGTTGAATCGATCTTTAAAGTCAAAATTGAAATTGCATTTACCAAATTGCATAATTCTATGCAAAAATGTCAATATTCTTATCAATTCTGAAATGAAAACTGTTTTAAAAAAGACCTATTATGTTTGAATTTTTATATTGAAAAAGCTGTTTTGATGACCTTTTTACATAAATTTAGGCATTTTGAACCCAAAAATTTATTCAAATGGCCAATATTGTCGCAAATATGTTTAGAAAAATCGAGCATTAGAATATCAAATTCTTTCAAAAATCGCAAATTTATAGAATAATGCTCAGTTCTTTCATGTGCCCTTTTTTTTGGTGCTTTTCAATGACAAAATATCGTTTTTATAGCTGAAATTCCCCCATTCTTAAGACCTTTAAAGATAAAGATAAGAAAATTTACAAAATTTCGGAATTACAACATCCATGAACGGGGAAAATAAAAATTAAGTTTTTAATAAAGAGTTAATTTGTAGTCTCTAATTGCAATTTTGCTGTCTTTTATAATGAAAACAATAGACTATAACAATCACTATAAAAAATTTCCATACAGCTTTTTTATCATATCGACAACACTAAAAAAATCATTTCGTAGCACTAGTAAATCCTGAGTTAAGCAACCTGCACGGCACAAATGAAGAGCGGGTCGTGGATCTCGCACTTTGTAGGCGTTGGTCCGCTTTTATGCGACACGACGAGGGTGCACGACAGACTTCTTGCCTCAAATAAAAGATAAGCGCAGGGCGAAATTCTGAATCCCGAGGGAGTCTTTCTTATTACACATTTCACTCCACTTTTTACAGCGAAAATGAAACCACGTCGAGTTCTTCACTGACAAAAGCAGCTGAATTAAAAAAAAAAAAAAAACTCGCCACGGGAACTCAGCAATCAGTGTGTTTGCGCAACAAATTAAAAACGCCCAGACTTGGAGAGTTACGCCGGTTGATGAGAATGTTGGGCACTGTCAACATTTGGGCAAACTCGCCGTGCCAACTGTTTGTGACAACCGAGTTTTGTTGAAAAACAAATATTAGCGCAACACTTTAAAAAGATAAAAGAGAAAAACGTTGCATAAATTATAAATATTACTATACGCTTATTATTTTTATATTGAGTTTTTTACACAGTAAAAGAAGAAAAAACACGTTGATGAGTATTGATTTTAAAAGTGGTCACGTGGTTTCAATCAATTCAAATCCTAACAAGGACTTTGCCGCCGAGTAATTTAGAAAATGTATCGTGTTGCAACCAACGAGCTCCTATTTCTCTGTCGCGAGGGAACGTCAAATTTAATTCGTTCTGCAAATCCGCAGGGAGCTAATTGGCTGAGACGTGTTTTAATTTTTCCGATGCATTCTTTTTATCAAGTAAATTGCGCTGGCGAACGTTGCAAAGGCAAACTCGAGATATTGTCTGTTGGCTCAGCTCTTAGGGGTGTCATCAATCACCCTGCCACACCTGCCCCCTGCCGTTGTGTTTCGTCGCCGTATCATGCATAAAGAGGATTACGTTCGGCGCCTCGGCGGCTGCGAATATTACACCGTCGAGGCAGACCACCCCGTGTTCTCGGAATCATTTGCTTGTCCCGCGCCCGCGAGAACTCCTGCTGCCTGTTTCTGCATTAATATCAGGGCTGACGACTTGTTACGTTAACTGATGGCGATGATTTAATATTCAAATGAGAGAGTAAAAAACTCGCAATACTCAAAGAAGAATTTAATTTGATTTTTTTCTTTTGGATTTGCTTTATTAGAGCAGCAAAACAAATTTTAATTCTCTTTAAATGATTATATAACATCTCTTTGCAATTTCTACTTCTATGTATGTTAAGTTCACTGACGAGCTTTAAACAAAAAGCCAGCTTGAGTTGAACAGAAAATCTACAACTTATCATTAAGAAAACAAGGCACGACAGGTTTTTGAATAAATAATTATAATTAAAAGGTCCTTAATTGTTTTTCAGAATTGCAAAGCTCGGCTTTCATTCAATTGAACGTTTCTTGAAAGTAAAAACAGTTCATTAAAAATTAACAAAACAAAGCAGTAGAGATCTTTGCAAAATAAAGTCTTTTCAACTCACAAAACTCTTAATTAAATTAATTCAGAAAGTTTAAGATACATTTTATTTACAATTTTGTGTGTGAAAATATATTAATCAATTTCGCTTTGTGCTTAAGAAACACTGAAAGCTTTTCTCATTAAATTATTTTGTTTATGCTCAAGTTTGAAATGTCAAGTCAAGAGCAAAGTTGCCCTTTCTGCCCGTCCCTCGCATTTGGGTCAAAAGCAGCTCTGGCAAATATTTGCCACCGCAAGGTTGGGGAAAACGCATTTGCATCCAGCGAATTAGCCGTGGTGCTCGTTGGCCCGAGAGGCGCGTTCTCATCGAATGGCCTGGCACTCTGCTAATTGCGACGTCGAGGTCACGTACGAGATCAAATAATTTGCGCTGAAGTGTTTGTCAGCTTAATTTGGTGCAATTCACGTTGATTATTGTGCGTGCTCGGCAGTGATTACGCCACTTTAATGAGGTTATGTGTTGCATTTTCATCAGAATGCTTGATGCTGCAATAATGTACTTTATCAAAAGGCATGAATGCGTTCTGATTAACTTTGTAACGTCCGGATTAACTTAATGAAAACACGCTTGCAAATATTCTTTTAATTGAGACCGATTTTTACTAATTTTTATTCAATAAAAAAAAATTGCAATGAATTGCTTGAATTTCCGAACTATAAAAGAATCAATCCGTCTCAGTGATCCTCGGAATTTTTTATTTTGCGAATTTTATAATTTTTTCTGCGTAGATTTGTACTATTTGTAATAAGTTCAAAGGGATTGAGACAACATTGTTACTTTTTAACAATTCCTAATGCTTTTTAAGTGTATTAATTAAAGTAATTAATTAAATAATTTATAAAATTAAATTAATTTAAATTGAAGAGGAAAATCCAAGTTTGAATAATAATATTTTATTACAACGCAACCTTCCAACTATTTTATGTTCTATTATATTAGGAAGAAATAATTTAAATTTAATTGTATGTAATTACATTTTTAAACTACAGATTCTGCTCAGTTTTAACTGGAGCAAATCTAGAATAAAAGAAAATACTGTACGGTAAATAATTTAAACTAATATTTAGTAAAATATTCGGAAAATTTCCCAATTTTTATTCAATAGAGCCATTATAATTTTATTTCCGTAAGCAACTAGTCTGGAAAACAAGCTTCACACATGTCAAACGTGAACCAGAAAGATCCAATTACCTGCACGCAGGAGCCATCAATTGCAATTATTATCAGCTGCATTATTACTGACATAATGCACTGTTCACATCGGTTACCCACGTTATAATACACCCTGAGTGCCTTAATGTAATGTGACGTGGTGGCTGCGCTAGAGATAATAGAATTGGGTCAATTATTTATGCGAGTGATAGCAGAGCAATTTCGGCCGCTATAATAGCGGGCAGGGTTCCTATCCCTTAAAATATCTCTTAATTCAGGCTCAGATTTGATCTTAATGGACTTTCTCACAGGTGGTATAAATTTGATTCCATCAGAATTTGTGGCCTTCCAAGAGTTTATTTGCAATAAATTCTTGAAAGATAAGAAAAATGTATATTAGGATTTATATATTGACGGAAGAAAAACGTTTGGATACGTTTACATTAAAATTGCTTAAGTGTTTGATCTGCCTCCTCTCTCAGCAAGGGCTACTTTTCGATCTAAAAGCAACATTAAACGTGCACATACCGTGCTGTGCGATGTACAGAAAGGCTTATTTCGCAGGCACGCTTTGCTTACATACCTCGGATCCCCCGTCATAGCTTGTTTACGCTGCCAAAGAGAAATTCGGACTATGTTGTTTGATAGCTTGTTTTGCCAGCGAAATTTATCAAACGTATGCATACCAAATAGTTTTTGCATGTGGTATAAAGAGCACTTTTGGCTTTGTTGTTTTATTGAAAGATTCACTTCTGTATTTGTAATTTTAGGGTCTCTACATTGATTTAATTAGAAAATTGCTAAAAAATCAACACGTGACCATTAGATTAAATTTTTTTTTTAAATTTTGGCTCAACAAATTGCAAATGGAAAATAAAAATTATGAAAATAAGCCTCACGGAGACAACCTATGAAAATAATATTAAATATATTATTTTACAGATCTGATATTCCATTTTCCACACAAGTTGGACACGACCAGCTTTCCAAAGCCGATTTAATCCCAGCTTGATTGGGAACGTGGATTTTGTGTGATTTTTGCTCCTCCCATAGTTCTCCTGGTAAAAGGAATTAAATTTCCCAGTTTCAATTTGATTCGCCACCAATATCGTTCGCCTCAGTTGGAGTTTGTAGAAAAATAATAATATTCCTATCCATGCAACTCTAAGTTGTTTAATGCATGCAAACGTGATCAATATTATGAATATTATAACCTAGTTTATAATAATTTTTTTAATAATAAATATCATGTTGTTGAGAAAAATATATAGTTTTATATTTTCACTCGATTTATTTGTTTTTTAATATATATAACGATATATGCATTTAAATTTTATATTTAATTTCATTTAATTCTACGATTTGTAGTTTTCATATTTATTTTTTATTGTTTTTTCTATATATTTTGTTTTAAATATTATTAAATTTTCTCAAACTTAAACAGTATTAACTGTACAAGCACATTCAATTTTGAACTGCACAGAACGCAAATCCATCCGGGTTATGAACGTTTCTTTAATTCATGATGAGGCTGTTAATATGTAAATTCTTCAAATAATTTATTAACATTATAAAATCTTCATTGCTGAGAAGAGACGATAACTAATTATCAGAACATAAAATTGACTCACAGCAGACACGATTTTATTTCTGTGAAAAAACCATTTGTGAACGAAAAGTAGTGAAATCTATTCACAAAGATCACAATTTCAAATTTCTTTAAATAAGTTGGAGGAATATTTTATATTTAAGCTTCATATAATGAGCAAACACAAATAAAGCCAGGCAAATAAATAAAAATGACATATTTGCTCTCTTTTATTCCCGAGAACGAATATAATCAAGTCAGAAACTCGATTTGTGTGACAAATGAGAAACATAAATGTATACCCAGGAGAAAACTCAGTTCATTTTTGTCGCGAGTACCATGAAGTGAGTCGATACTTTGTTCACGTCGTCGGGCGTTTTTGCGCAAAATAAGTTCTGCGCCCACGCTTGTTCAATTTTATACACACAATAAGGACTGACCTTTGCAAGGCTCAACAAATTGCATTAAATTTGCATGACTTGTCAGCAAAGGAAGAGAGGCTTAGCATAATAAAAGGGGCTTCGGAGCTCGAGAGGGCGATTTCCAATGATTAGGACGCGCTCAATGGCTGCTGGAACGGAAGAAAATTGCTTTTTTTTTTTTTAAATACATTCAAAATGCATACGGAAATTTTAAATTAGATTTTCTCATGCAAAAGTTGTTCATGTGAACTGATGTGATCGTTAAATTCTGATTGCAGATGGTGAAAATGATGGTGGTGGTGGTGCTCGTGTTCACCGTGTGCTGGGCACCGTTCAACATTCTGCTGGTGAGTTTAAATAGTTGTTGCGAGACGACGCGCCGCATGTATTATTCACCCAACCCTTTGCCCTCGAGTTTACGCAAATTGAGCACCGCCGGGATTCAAAGGCCGGTTGCATACCAACGAGAGGAGGCGTTTCACCTTAAAGATTTCCTCGCCGGGCAAATATTTGCAATTTTTTCTATAGGTGAACTTTTAAGGCCGGATATTAAAAATTCGCTTGTGTTTGCTCTCCAGAAAACTAAATTAATTTCCTCGTCCAATAAATATTTTCGGGAAATCAAAATCTAATTAGTCTACGTGCGTTGTCTAGACAAGCAAAATTAAGCTCTCTGCGCTAATTACGCACCAAGAGTAATTTATTTACCAGCAGACTTAATTTTTCATAATTACATAGTGTCTTGTTAATGACCAAATTGCATGTTTTAAATGGAAATTTCCGTTGCCGCTAATTATTTAAACATTATTTACGTCCCAACGACTGACAAAGTCACAACCCCGCAATCATTGAAGCGTACATTTTAGAGCAAATAAATTTGCAATGCGCAAATTGATCATTCGCGTCGTTTGCACTAAAAGCATGACTTGCATGTGAATGCAGCCGTGATTAATTGAACGCCGCCGACTTCAAAAGGGCAATGTGATATACCACCCTCCACACAAGAACTGCTTCAGTGAAGTTATCTGCTGTGCTCCATAAACTCTACCTGCTCACATTTCACAACTTCGTGCTCCTCTTGCGATGCAAATGCGGCGTTTCGAAAATATTTCATAGGCACGCTTTGCAAACTCCAATTGATTAGAGTAAGAAAGGCAATTGAACGAATAAATAATTTTAAATATTCAGCTCAAGCACGCAAATCTATTAGGAATTAATCAATTGCAAATACCAAGGAATGTAATGAGTTTCTCAATTTCCACTTGAATACATAATTTTACCTCTCGGGTTTGAAATTAAATGATGCGTAAAAAAATATGATCTTTTTAATAAAATCTTTGATTTTTTACAATTATCAAGCATACTTTTTCCACTTAAAAAAATATGTCGTCTCCAGCTAACCAAATTAGATCACACACTCTTCGCACACAAAGGAAAGAAAACCTACGCGCGCACAGAGGGTAGGAAAGTGGAGAACGCGCTCTTTTTAGAGACACACGCACCCCTTTCCAGAGAACAAACATTAAAGGAAGCAGTGCGTAAAAAGAGGGACTTGTAAAATGTTACGCATTCGAAGGCAAAGGCAATTTTTCTCTACAGGGAAAATTGTTCTCGTTCAGACTGATGAACTTTTTACAGCCTTGCAACGCGCATCCATAATTAATTAAACGGCCACTTTAATTCCGAAAATGAGCTTGAAAAAAGCGCTTTATCTCTCTAAATAGCTTTTTTTAATAAAATGTTTCAAGGAGAGCCCTTTTGTTAAATTAAGTTTTTATCTTCAAATTGAGTTTCCTGGCTGAAAATGAAATTTTTTGCTCAAAAGGTCAAAGGCATGAAATAATTAAATTAAAAATAAAACTAATTTAGTATAAAAATGAACTAAAAATAAAATTCAATAAAATGCAAAAAAATTTTAAAAGAAAAAATTGGAAATAATTATCTATAATGAACTTAAAATTGCCTAATTAAACTTTCCAAACTCACATGATGGGAACGGAGACCAAAAATTTGAGCGCAGTCTTGGGCTTGCAAAGAACATTTATTTTCCTCCAAATTGAACATAAATTTGATATTATGAGCAAAACACCAAGTCAGACCCGTCTTTCAGAAAAGGGAACTCACATCTTGCTACACTTGGAACACAATTAATTTATTAGTACTGCGACTAATCGCCTTGACGTGGAATACAGACAGATTGGGGTGGTTTTAAAGAATATTAATTTTGGGAAATTTTCGCCCTCAATCAAAATTGTTTATTATCACAACAGGAATTTTTCTAACTTTTTTACACCGGCTTTGTCTAAAATATCTCGTTGTCTCGGAACGTAATTCCACGTCAAGGTGATTAGTCGCAGTACTAATTTAATTATTTCCCGTTTCGAGTGGTTTCTTTGGGTTTTAAATTCTCAAAAAATTAATTTATTGTTTTTGTATTTCTTCTAAATATTATGTAAATTGAACTGAAAAAAGACAAAAGCCCCAGAAAAGATAAAATTACATATTTTGTCAATATATATAAACGTATCCAACATATTTGCATAAATAAAGTACATTAATAAAACGCTAATTAATGGTGATTTGAATTTAAATTCGGCTTTTCCTCGATGAGTTTTTGGGGAGTTTTTATTGTTTAAGAAAAAACAATACATGTTTCGGCTGCGGGCTGCAGCCATAATTCATGAGCTGTGAAAACATTTTGACAAAAATTATAGTACAAAAATCATTTTTTTTTTACAAATTTACAATTTTACATGAAAAATTATTGGAATTAACATTTGTTCACAAAACAATTGCTTAGCCCAAAATCAAATTTGACGCTAATTAATGTTTTCGACGTTCTCCATTTTTGTCCGCAGATCCTCCTGGACATGGAGCCGGAGCTGCGTTACTGGCCCGGTCTGCCGTACATGTGGTTCGCGTGCCACTGGCTGGCCATGTCGCACGCGTGCTACAACCCGCTCGTCTACTGCTGGATGAACGCGCGTTTCCGCGCTGCGTTTGCGCACACGCTGCGTCGCGTGCCGCTGCTGCGCAGGTGCACGCCGCAGCCACCTGCAGAACCGACCCTGAACCGGGCCAACACGTGCACGTCCTACGTGAGCGTGCGCGCCCCGCGCAACTCGCAGAACCTCTCCTCCACCCAGATGGTCACGCTGCGGCCCAACCTGCCCGTCAACAACAAGTTCCGTCCGATCATCCTGGACGACGAAGACATTCTGTGAACGAACAGTGCGGTAAATTAAACCTTTTTTTAATTAGTTTTAACATTATTTAATTCTCTGACAATCAGATCGGAGAATTCATCAGTACGGTCTGTGACTTGTAAAAACTTGAGTTAGTAGTTTTAAATTATTTTTTGTGCAGCTGCTATTTATCCACTTTTGATCTCTCACTTGGAAAGTTTTGAATTTCGGCATAAAAAAAATTGTAAAATGCAGCTCGCTCTCCTAACTTTCCTCTGTATACGAAAAACTCTCTGCGCGAATGTTTTAAATTTTAACAGGGAGTGACAGAAAAAAGGAGAAGTCGCTAATATTGTATTATGCAAATTTTAATGGAAATTATTGACACTTGAATGATGTGTGATTTGAGCAGATAAAGTTTTGTAAAACTGAGAGAACAATTTAATGCTTGACAATTATGACGAGTTTTAAGGAAAGTGATGTTACGTAAAATCAAACTTTGAAACTTCCCAAGGAACAATTGAAAATATAAATTCGTTAATTTTCCACGAAAAAGGACCAAAGAATAAGAAAAGATGAACCTCTCACACAATCAAATGTGTTAACGCGCAGTTTAACGAAAGTTCTACATTGCATTTTTTCTAAATAAGACCAACTGTTTTTAAGAGTCTTCAAAAAAATCAAATGGAATTTGCTCTCCTCCTTAAAATTCAAGTGAAAAACATGATTATTAAAATAATAGCAAGAACAATTTAAAAAATTTAAGATTTAAATATGAGAAAAATTATCTAAATAATAACGCGTGACTGTCCAACGCTGATCAAAATGTTCAAATGTTTGCAAGATTGTATTTTTTTTTTAACAAATCAATTCAAATTGTGGGAAGGCGTTTTATGCTTATGGAGAAAGCTTCATAATATTTAGGAAAGTGACGCTCAAGGGCATGTAATTAATTGCTATATTTTTGTAAAAATCAATAATTTAATTCACATTTTTAATACTTCGGCATAATCCATCAGATAAATTTATACAATCAACTCAAAATCAGCTTTTGCAAATTGTATAAGAAGCCAATCGTTATGTGTAAACTTCTTTAACACGTGGAATTCCAATAATTATGCTCCGTGAAACCCCTGCTTTTCCTCTGTTCTTTGATGTGAACATTGCGGAAGTTTGTGTTTGCCGCTCTGACTGTGCATTATTGTCACTTTGAAACTCTCATCGCCGTGCTGCTTTGATGATGCGGAATTCGAGAATGATTTTATATCATGTGCTCCTACGGCAGTTTGATGTTTGATCGTCAAAATTGGAAAACGCGACATGCCTCTGTGTGCGACAGTAGAGGTGTAATTGGAAGTCGGTCTCTCTCTCTTGATGTTCCACCATGCATATATTTCGAGTTTCAAAGAATTTTTGGGTCTAGTTATTTATTACAAAGCAATTGGACAGGATTTTTTCTTGAGAAATTGGAACTCTAAGGGAAAATCGTTGAAAATGACACATTTTCTTTGTGGAGAAAGTTTATTTTCCAGCTTGACTAGTTTCAGCTTGAACTGCAGCCCAGAGGAAAATACACAAAGTAATTTGTATGTTGGTGAAAAGCAAATTTTCATTCAGTTCTCTGGAATTTTCTTCATTTAGTGTATTTTCCTCAATAGGGCTGCAGCTACTGGTCGATACTTCTCAATACTTGTCGGAACTTATTGTTATTAAATTATGTCTGTGAATCTCTATAATTGTTCTTCAAGGAATAAATTATTCAGTGTTTGAGCTGGAATAAATTTAACTCAGTGTCAAAAATGAAAATGTCGAATATTGATAATCAAAATGGAAAAACAATTCAAACTCTCTGTCATGCATCATTCGTTTCATCAAGATCAAATTATGTAAATTACTATCAAAATCTGGTATCTTTTTTATCAAAACAGAAATCTAGTCTTGATTTATCTAGTCTTTCATTCTTATTTAAATCTTGGCAGTCGTGAGACGAAATTATTATCAATCGTCTTCTCTCCCGAGTTTATTTGTAGCGAAACTTCCAAATTATTGACGTTGCCAAAAACACGACTTATTCTTGTGTAAAATATTTATCAAGCATCTCGTCTGCAGCAGACAAGGTGCCATAATTCTCTCGCTGAACGTTAAATGTTGCGTTTTCTCTTGGCAGAGAAAACAAAAAGAACATGAGTGTGTGCATGTAAGTTTGGCCTGTTTCATCTCCAGCAGCTGTGAAATAAAATAAAGAACACTTTGGCGCGCGTGTAACTTTTGTCTTTTGCTTTCCGCACCACACCCTGAAAGCGCAGCATCAATTCTCACTTACTTTTCTGCGCCAAACCTACCATTACGCCGCGTTAAACACACCCTGCTTTATCTCCCCCGAAAAGCAGAATTCAACGTGCTTTTTTCAGCTTATGAACTTTCCTCACAGACTAGGGATCGAAGGGTGTTTCGTTTTATCGTCCCTCGTGGCTCAGGGGCCCTCATAATATGGACCCTTTCGCCTCCACGTGTGCGACGTCTTTATGTGTGTCTCGTTTTTACGGCGGCGACTTCTGCGGAATAATAAAATTATGCCCTATTTTTCGGTTAAATTTTAGGTCGCGTGTGACGTGGCTAAACGTGCTAACATATCGTTTAAAAAGCTCTTGCAAGGCCGTGTATACTAAAAACGCTGAAAAAGGAAAAATGAATTGGATTTTATAAGCAGGAATTTTATCTAATCAATATCACTTTTTTTAAGTGATTCTTACGTGGTTTTATTGAAACTATGCGAGAAAAACTTGGCTTTGAAGAATGGAATACGAAACCAAATTTTGACTTTTAATTAAGAAATAAATTTTCAACTAAAAAATTAATGTTTTTTTGTCACAAAAAATCATAAACTTATTTAAAACCCGGAAAATTAGGGTAATCAGAGCAACATAACTGGCCTGAATCGCGAATTCGTCCAATTCCAGGGCTCAAAGCCAAGTTTCAGTAAAACCACGTAAAAACCTCTTAAAATTATGCCCTGAAATTGCTTTACACTTTACAACACAAACAAGACACTACTATACACTAGTTAGGGAAAAAACACAAGCACAGTAACAACTATTTAAAGATCTAATTTTATTTGTTTGTAACAAAATAATTATTTAAAAATATACTAATTGTTTTAGTATTATAATTAAATTACAATTATTTTTATATTTATTACTATGTATTTTATCTATTTTTATATTTATATATTTAATAATTTATTTAATATTTTTTAAAGCTTTTTTATTTTTTTTTATTTTAACACTGAAAATTAGGCTGAAAAAATTTTATGTTTAAAAATATTTGAATTTATTAAAAATTACAAAAATTATATAGTATGTTTGTGTATAGATAATTTAATAAATTATTGAAAAATTGTTAGCAAATGCCTTCTGTAGTTGTGTGTTGGAATGTTATTTATATATTTTTTATGATTGATTTTAATAAGTCAAGAGTAAATCCACTCTCCACTTTAAAATATATAAAAGAAAATCATGGGCTAGCCATGAATAATAAAACTATGCTTCTTATCTTATGATACAGAAACTTAGTTTACAAGAATTAAAACCTCCTAATTTTAATATTTGATGCGACAGCCAAATTTTTTAATCGTCTTATTAAGGGATTTTTTTACCTCTTTAAAAAAATTTATCTCTGTATATTTTTTTTTTATATCAACAGTCTCATTTTTTTATTCGCCTTGGAGAGTCTGGTAGGCGATCAATATCTTAGTTGGAAAATTAAGCAATCTTCAAATTCGTTACTTCAAGGTTAAGTTCACAAGTGTTTGAAACCCGTGGACAATAAATTTCAGTTTGCCAAAGGTTCAAAATTGCGTCTTTTTGGCGGCACCTCGGCGCACTCACGAGTGTTTTTTGATCGATGCCGTGTTTTTGTTTGGCACCGCCTGTCAGCGGATGTTTGAAAGAAGCAACGAGATTTTTTTCTGTGGGGCGAATTTAGCGCCGGCGGGGCCGCAGCCGCCACCGTCTGCGTGTCCAGCAGGGCCTCGTCACTCGGCCAACATGTGGTCCGAATAACAATTCTTCCAGCCGCGTACACAAATCGCGTCACCAAAGGGGGCATTGGCGATAAAAATTGACAGCCATAATAATAATAATAATGGTATTGGAGCTTTTTCGGCCGGTTGACTCTTCGAGGGCGAGCATATTCGCTCTCTGCCTTTTCGCTTTTCATCTCGTCATATATTCCCAGTGAATTGACCAGTGCGATTGACTGCCCACGTTAATTGGACTTTTTTTTGGTTTCTCCATAAAAGCTAACCTAAATTAGAAATACTGAAAATCGTTTGGTTTCCCATAGAATGAGAATGGAGCACTTGTTACCCACTTGAAAGAGCGGGCAATGAGAATTTAATAATATTTGTATTTCATAAAACAAAACATTTAAGGAAATTTTATTTCAAATGCAAAATAAACTCTTTGAAGTAGTGAAACGTTTTTAGGCTTTAGGTTTGAAAATTGGGGCATTATTATTATTTTTGGAAATACATTTTCAAGCAGTATTAATTTTAATTATAGGTTTTCCTTATCAAAGGAACTTAATTACATTTCTTCAAAACTTGCCTGTTAAATTATAGAATTATGGGCATGGGACATATTTAATAAATAAAAAAAGGACAACTAGCACATATATTTATATAAAAGTTAAGAAAATTATAATTTTTTTTAAAGCCTAAACCGCCTAAACGTTTTAATCAAATTGGATGGAAATGCATACAATACATTTTGATTTAAATATTTTTTATACTTTTTGAATCTTTTTATAAGAAATGCAAAAATATACTTTAAATTAATACATATTTTAAATGTTAAATTTTAATATATTATTAATTTATAAAATAAAGACAAAACAATGCTGCTATAAAATTATTAATTATTAGAATTAATTTCTCATAATCAGGTGGTAGCTAAGAACTGTCGAGAATCAGATCAACAATATAAATACCAAAAGATTAATAATTCCAAGGATTTTCTTCATACACCTAACTTTTGTTATTTTTGGTCATGTTGTATCAATCTCCACTTTTGATTCTTAAAAACAATGATTGAAATTACCACTGCAGTGAATATTTTACTTTTTGCAAATTTTGTTGGATTATTTTAAGGCTAATTAAAAAATCAAAGGGTTTCACGTTCTACACAGACCAGCACCCTTTTTGGCGCACGCAAGCAGAAGGGATTCGATCCAGCGAATAGAATTACCACTTGGGTCGAGCGCGCTCTCGTTCAATTTCCACCCGAGTGCGAATTCTAATTTTTGTGAGCGAAAAAAATTGTCTGTACACAGGCCAGTCCACTCAACATGGAGAGGAAGCGAGTCAAAATCCGCTTTGTGGCGCAAGAGTTGTGATTGTGAGCGACCATACGAGGAGAGCACTTTGTGACGATGACACAAATTCGTCACCGGCGGGTCGGTTGGCCGCGCTTCGGTGACACGCGTCCGCAAGTGCTGGCTCGGCAACGCACCGACAAAGTCGAACTGATCTCAGCTTTTTTTACCTGGAACGTCCACATATGGATTTTAAAATCAGATTTCGCAACAATCGCATGGATTAAAAGGATTTTTTTTCGTTCAAAGTGATTTAAATTATATGCTGAAATTTTGACATCAAACTCGCAAAACCAAAAAGCGAAGAAATTGCTTCAAAAACCATCATTCTATTTCTAAGGTAACAGAATAAATATTTTAATTCCAGTTTATTTTATTATAGATTTTAAAATAATTTAAAGTAAAATTTGAGACATCTATAGTTTTGTTCTAAAAACTTGAGTTCTTTTATTTCCAATATTATAAAAATTATTTTTTTCTTAGCAAAATATACTTGTCTTTTCTTTTTAAATTTTTAAGCGCTTGCTGTTTTTCTTCAAGAATTTAGATATTTTTCAAATGAAGCTAAATTCATTGTTAAAATATAAAAATACTTCTCTTTGTAGAACTCATAATTAAGGAAATGAAAATTGTAAATATGCTTCAATCAACCTTCTATCCAATTAAAAATAATTGCGGAGAAACAATTCAGCCCATATTGTGGTCGACTTTTCTCAGTGATGGGAACTTAATTGAACTTTAATTAAAAACTAATTGTTAGATCTGTTCACTAGCTCATGACGGTTTTGCTAATGAACCCCTCGAACCAGCAAACTTGATGGTACACCCCGGCGAAGCGCTTGATCATAATTGACCGCAATGAAAATCGTGAATGAAGATGGAAACTGCTCTTGAAGTTTCCAACACAGATTCATTAGGCAACTCGCTCAGCGTGCACGTACCGCGGGTTGCGTTTTTAACGACCTGTAAAAGCAAAGCAAAGATAGAAATAATGAAATTTCCGGAAATTTTGCCTCGCCAGTTCGCCCACCCGCCAGCGTAAATCATCCAGAATTGCTCTCATTGCAAAAGTTTGGAATATTTGTGACAACTTTCGCAGAGGCCAGAATATCAATTTCACGTCAAGTGTTTGTGAAACTGATATTATATTTCCGTTCTCGTTTTTCCTCCAATTGACTTTTTATGAAACGAAAAAGTCGCAATTGCTCCAGCCCCAAAGGCACGTTTTTCTCGTTTCCCGTTTATTGAAAATGTAATATTAAAAAAGGAGATCGAAATACATGCTACAAAAATGTTGAGTTCATGACATTCAAGTTTGCTGATGAAATATTTCCATCGAAAGGTAAAAAAAAACAGCACTTCAATTAACTGTTTTGACTTTTTGAAGTTCAATTGAAAGTTCCCAATATAGCCATCCGCTTTAAGCCACATTGCTCACTTTTTGTTATCAACTCATAAAGAAAGAAAATTTATTACTTAGAAATTTTAGTTCAGCTCCTTCCGAATGGGTTATTGAGTTGTTTATTGTTTGCAGAAAGAAAAAACTCAAAACACCATCCATGAAAAGCCGAATTTAAATTTATATTCAGACACCAAGAATGATATTGAAATTCTTTTCAGTATAATTTTCGTAATTTCATAAAAACTAAATAATTTACTATAATAATTTTTAATTTTGTTTTTAACAAAGATATATCATTTGAAACATTTAAAGATCTCATTAATTAGCACCTTGAAATTAATGCCTGTATTTATTCTCAGAAAATGCTCGCGCAGTCAGAAGATTCCAAGAAACAATGGCAAAGAGGATCAAGTTTTCCGCGTCGTCGTAAAACCACCTACGTCGCCGCATTCCTCTTTTCAATGGCCTACTTGTGTCTCTTGATTTTCGCTCCTGTTTTTCGTGGTGAGAAGAGCATCTCGCTTTCCCCAGCGGTGAGCGAGATCCCTACTTATTTTCCACTTTTCCGCCTTTCCCTCCTCACGGGAAATAATGGACTCCGTATAATTCTGTAATTAAACGCATTTTTGAACAATGAGGAAAGGCGTCGAGCAACGGCGCAAATTTAATTTTTCACTCCCGCTTCAGACGTGAATTTTTTTTAGCAATTTTCCCGCATTATTAATTTATTATGCTCCTGGTACGAAAGTGAATTATAAAGTCGCAAAAGCGTTCTTGGAATAAGCCAGATTATTTGCATAATCGAAAAATAAAGAAGCTTTTCTTTTAATATAAATTTGGTTTATCGTGAATTCTTTCAGGAAAATGTTAAAAATAATATGCAATTTTTCTTGGATTTAATCTTCAAATTTTATACGAAATTATATTAAAATGGCATTTTTTTTTTAAATGAGCATAAAATCCTTTCACTCTGTTAAAATTCAAAGTTCTTTTGGTTCAGCTCAAGTTTGCACGCAGAGTGAGCATTACATTCGCAACTTTGATTGTAAAGTTAGCTTATTGAGAATTCCCCTTGTGCAATAATTATTACAGAGCCATTAATATCGTAAAATCTGGGTCGACTCTCAAAGTGCCATGCGAGTATAATTATCACATATTTTCTAACACAAGCATTTTGCAGCAGGCAGGAAATCATTCCCGAATTCCGTGAGTTGGCAGCAACAATTGAAGGCGAAGGAATTGCTCGATTTGGGCAGACACGACGCGAGCGGCCGATTTCGAATTGTGCCCTTTGTGCTGGCTGGCAGCAGATGGTCCTCTCTGTCTGCGGTAATGTAGCAATTACGCTTTGCAAGTCGCATCAACGAGTTATTAATCACATCGTGTGTGTGTCCGCCAATTCGTACAACCCATGCAATTCCAGGGAAAATTGGTTCCGTTTTGCAAAATATTCTCATCAGGCGCACGTGCTATTTCTGAATGGCATTCATTATGCACACCACACAGCACATTAAACCCGTCCGCATTTTAATAAAAAAAAATAGTGGAGAGAGTATTGTGCCGACGCCTGCAATTCCAATAGCCCGAGAGCGTTATTAGAACGATCGTCCCGACCGGGTTATTGCCGCCGTGCTTCGTCGCGTGCATGATTTCCATTTGCAGCACGACAAAGCGCATTGCAAATTTTATTCAATGCACTTTATTGTTAAAGGCCACGCTTGATTTATAAAGCCAAGCGGTGGCCCATAAATTAAAGCTGGAAATTAATTTTTTTTTCTCACTGATTGATTTTCTTCCAAGCATAGATTAAATTATTGAACTTTTTCTTTTCTTTTTTTCTATTTTATAAATTTATCTTGCATTTCTTGGAACTCTTATGTAACATTCACAATTATTCAAATTACAAGTCGATTTTAAATCGAAGCACCAATAATTCTAACAATAAGTACCGTTAATTACATATTAAAACAGTAAAACATAATTTTTTTTAATGAAATAATACTTTTTTTAGATTAGATTCAGAAAAAGTATTGAACTGGCTGTGGATATTTTTTTCAGCTCAAACTTACATAGCATTCCCAAAAATGAGCTTAAATTCCTTTTCAGAATCCTGTTGATATTTGAAAAAAATAATAAACGATTTTAATTAAAACAGTTCCCAAAAAGATCAGCAAAAAATGCACATTTCGCCGTGTTGCAATAATTAATCTCATTGTTGGAACAGGAAGGTAATAATCAGTATCAACAATTCAAATGAAATTTGTGTTAATCTTTCTGCTAATATTTTAATCGACTGATTTCTCGTCGCGCGTATCAAGTTTAAAAGTTAATCAAAAATGATTAAAATTATATTAAATTTAATTTTTAAAGAAATGAGAATAAGGAAGGAAATTCCAAATTAAAAAAAAATTAAATCAGCAAAAAAAAAAGAAAAATTTGTCTTACTTTTTTAGCATTTTCCACTGCAAAGAAAAATATCTCATAAATCTATTTGAATTTGCACAGCAACGCTTTTTATGTGTCTTTTTTTAAATTTTTCTGCCCTCTCATGACACCGTTCTTCTCCTTCACACGTGTGCAAATTACATCCGGAGACACTTCTTCTTATTAAATACCATTTCCCCGCAGAACGCGTCTTCCGTGCTGTGCGTCGCCACGCAAATCACCCTCGGGCAATCCGACTTGCTGCTCCCGTTTGTGGAAACAGCCCCAGGTGCCGTGTCCGTCGCGCTTTTCCTGCCACGCCAAGAGATTGTTGCGGCTCTGACGCTGCTCAAATTCCTGCGCTCCTGCAACGCCGCCCTGCACCACAGGGTATAATAAATAATTTCCGAGTTGAATCCACTTTAACTAGCAACTAAGCGAAATGTGGCTCAGCCTGACTAGATATTGCGACTGACCCGATCCAATAATTGACCACAGGCACACTCTTTGAGCTAATTTTGCTCACTGATTGGCAAAACCGAGAGCAACTTTAATGGAAATTGTTGGAGCTGCACTATTTTGATGGCCCCAAAGACTTTACAGGGAGCATCTGCCTGATTGATTTTGCTTATCAGACGTAAAGCAGACGCGTGGGTGGACTGATGGGAGTGGAGGAATCAATCATTTTTCTTTTGTGTTGATGAGAAAGTGCGCTATCAGAAAGTGGTTTTCCCAAATTGAATTCCGTCAGATATATTATTTAATACATTGCAGATCAGCCTTAAGTTCGGTTAAAAAAAATTATTATGTCTCGCTTTACATTTTAACAAGCAAGTTGGAAATTGGAATGTCAAAATTTTAATCTTATTTAAACAATCAACCATCTTACTTAGTTTTTTTCATTTGATATCATTACATTTTTATTTTGCTCCATTTTTAAGGAATTTTTTCATCAGGGAGAATTATCATATTAAGTAATCAAACTATCTCTTGAGTGATTTTAATATATATTTAATATTTTTATATTTTAATTTACTGTTTTAGTAATCTTAAAATTTTTAATGATTTCTTATAAAAATACAAATAATAATATACACGCCACGATGAAGAAGAAATAGTGCAATTTAATTACTTGAAACTTATATCTGTATGAGTGTATCAAAAGTTGTACCCAGATGGGTTTAATAAATAAATAAATTAAATAAATTATAAAACACAAAAATTAAAAATATAGTAATAAAAAATAATATAAGTATTAAAAAAAAATTAAATTTAAATAAATTCATTTGGTTAATGTTAAAATATAAATTTTTTAATTAAAACTCTGTTTGAAATAGTTTATACTTCCAAAAATGATCATGAAAATTTAGAAATCGGGCTTTTCCTCGTTGTAAAAAATTGTTTTTTATTAAAAAACAAATGGCTCTATCAGGTTTTTTTACAATAGAGCAGCGCGTTTGCTCCTGAAATAGGGTTGCAGACCGTGACCGAAATTGGTAGAGCCTTGTTTTGGAATAAAAACAATTTTTACAACGAGCAAAGTCCGATTTGCATTTTTAATTTAACTTTTTTTTCTATAAATTTTGTGTTTAATTCGGTTAAATTTACTTTATTTCAAACTTTCAGGCAAGTGTTCATTTAGTAGTGCCGCACGACAGCGGCATCATGCAAAGCCCTGTTGACGAGGGAAACTCCGTGGACTGTGGTCAAAAGGCCAGCGAGATTTTGCGAATAATAACCGCAGGCCGAGAATTAGCCAAACTCGAGGGTCCACCCGCTGGCCTGCTGCGCAACGTGGCCCTGGAACATTGCCATAATGAATGGCGAGCGTCTATAGAGCCGCAAATGCAATTCCCGCGGGGAAAGGTTGATTAAATATTTGATTCAATTAACCTCTGTAAACACAAATTACGTCATTTTTCAAGACTGCAGACTTGGCGAGAAATTTGAATGGGTTTTTGGCCGCTCGCAGTGCCAGTGAAAGGGTCGCTTTCGTTTTGCCTGAATTCGTGCTCGTTAAAGGCGCAATGCCCGAAAATAGAGCCGAGTTATTAAGCCACGCACTGGACGGAAAAGTTCAGCCGAGAGGAGATTATCCGAACGCCTATTTGCCTTCCGAGTTGGAACGTTGGAGGAGTTTCGGCGCCCCTTCGAATTTGGTCGCCGCCGCTTACAAAGTGGACAAGCTCAATTTTGGCTACCAGCCCGCTTTTTTGTCGCGCTGGAAAACTCCTCGTTTTGACGAAAGGTACGCCGGAGAGGCCCTGGTGAAATTCTCACAGGTGACAAATTTTGTTTTTATTCTTTCGTAATCTCGCGTATGTGGTGCTTGGGCTTTCCGAGTGTACGTATTTTCGTCTGAACTATTTTTCACTCTCAACGAATGTCAATAACACGATTGGTCTCTCGTCTCACTGCATTTGAGCAGAACAAATGTCGGTACCATATCACTTGCCACGCTTTCTTCGAACTGTGAGCACCGATAACAAATAATGTGCCGCAGGCTCAAGATGCTGATGAACATTTTGTGCCTGGCATTGACTCTCGTCTGCAAAGCCTCAGGTAATAAGAAATCATTTTAGCTTTCTTTTTTCATATTAAATTGGCAATTTTATTTAATTTTAGAGTTTTTAAATTTTTATTATGTTGCTCCTTTTAATTATAGAGTCGTATTACTCGGTGCTCTATTTATTTATGTGTATTTTAATTTGTAAAAAATTTATTTATGTTTAAAATGTTTTAAAGTATGGAAAAGCTTTAATATACTCCTCAAAATTTTTTTAATAAATATTCATGCAGTTGTTAATAAAAATTTTAAAATAATTCCTCCTAAAAGAAAAACTCTCAGGGCGTTTCCAAAATTGAATAATTAGCAATTAGCGTAATTGCCTTAAAATTACATTGTTTTTACTGTTTTTCCGGCCCTTTTGAAATAAAGATTCGAAGTTTTCCCACGTTGAATCAATGATATTTTTACGGGACGAAAACAGCTCAACTACTGTCTGCAGTCCTATTTTTATTCATACCGTGCATTTTCACCCCAATTTTGTCCCTTTAACTAATTACGTAATTAAAAATAATAGGCTCTGAAAATTTTCACTAATTTTTTTTAAACGAAAATTTAAATATTTTATGAAATATAAAAATGGAAACAAATTTTTTGTTTCAGACGCTGCGCCTTTGATTTTAAAACCTGTTGACGATGTCAAGTTAGTTGATGATGCCAAGGCAGTTGAACCGGCGGATGAAGTCAAGATTGACAAGCCGGTTGACGATGCAGGCGCAGTAGTTGACGATGAAAACCCCGATGAAGAGGACGAAGTCAAGAATCGTATCAATTTCGGACCTGTGAATTTTGGAGCATCTGCAAGCGCGAGTGCTTCAGCCTCTGTGTCAATCGGAAATGGTTTGAGCAGCACTTTTTCAAATGCACAAAGCACTGCTTCCGGGGGTGGAAGTTTCGCCGCTGCACCACCATTCGGAGGCAGTTTTTCCAACGCACACGCAGGTGGATTTTCTAATAGTGGCCCTCAACCGGTGGCTTTTTCCAATGCAAATTCGGCGTCTCACAGCCAGGCTGGGGGTGGTTTTTCCCAAGCTAACGCAGGGGCTCAAACGGTTGTGGTGCAGCAACCGGTTTACGTTTCACAACCTACAACTTTTTCTAATGCACAAAGTTCAGCGTTCGGAGGGGGTGGTTTTTCTCAATCTAATGCCCAAAGCTCATCAGGTGGATTTTCACACTCCAACGCAGGCGCTCAAACGGTTGTCGTACAACAACCTGTTTATATATCACACCCCAGTCACCCCACAACCTTTTCTAATGCAAACGCGCAAAGTTCAGGTTTCGGAGGGGGTGGCTTTTCTCAATCTAACGCAGGTGCGCAAACAGTTGTGGTGCAAACACCTGTTTATGTATCCCACCCCACAACGTTTTCCAATTCAAACACCCAAAGTTCTACTGGGGGTGGTTTTTCAAACGCCCAGGCTAGTGCCCAAAGCTCTTCAGGGGGTGGATTTTCAAATACTCATAGTGTTGGTGGTGGAAGCTCGAGCTTCTCCAGTGCAAATGCAGTGACTCACGGCTCGGCTGGGGGTGGTTTTTCCCAAGCAAACGCTGGTGCCCAAGCAGTCGTGCAACAACCTGTCTACGTCAGCCACCCTACGACTTTTTCCAATGCTCAAAGTTCAGCTGTGGTATTTGGAGGGGGTGGTTATTCTGGGGAGCATACGGAGTCATCAGAGGGTGGATGGGGTCACAGCGGGGAAGAATTTTCAGGCCCTGTTTGGGGTAACGGAGCTTCTTCGGCGTCTTCCGCCTCTGCAAATAGCGCCGCAGGTTGGGGCAATCACGGATCTGCAGAATATACTAGCAACGAAAGTGAAAGTGCATCTTCAGCGGTTGTTGGAGGCAATCAAAATTGGGGTGCGTCGAGCTCCGCCTCTGCGTGGGCCAGTGCATCATCAGGAGCGGGAGTTTTGCCCCCGAGGGCTTCGGCGACGACAAACGCGGAGACGGAGGCGTCTCCAACGGCAGGAGAGGAATTGCCAGAGAAATGGTCTTGGAATGATCGTTGATTGAAATTGTCCAGTTTTGCAAAAATTCTGGAAATTGATTTTTATGTAATAAAATTAATAGAAATTTAAATAACGACGCAGAATATAAATATAAAAAATATAATAAAAATAGCTGTGTGAATAATTTAATGTATTTAATTTAAAAAATGCAGGTTTACGAGATGCTGATGCAAGGTTATCAGTTTTATGTGCTCGATACGATGTACTTGTGCGGCAACTCATCTGGGATGGCGTCTGCTATTCCCCTCGGATCCGACATGCACATTTTCCACGAATCGCATCTGCCAGATCTGATATCGCGTTATAAAAAAGATCCGCACCAACTGCTCAAGCACGAGCATTCCAGCCATAACGTTCCAGATCAAGCGAAATAAATGTTCCAGATCAAAAAAATTTATTTATTGCAAAAAATAAATTATCCGTTTGCCTTGTGAATGAATGTGTATCACAGATTAGACAAAATAATTTGGATATAAAAAAAAAATAAACTTTTAACACAAGAATACACGTGCGTTATTTTTGCTGGTCAACAAAAAGCGTGTTTAAAAGGCGAGTGCGCTTGTGCTACACGTGTTCTATAATAATGACTGTCAAGTTTATGAAAGCAGCCTCGGTATCTACTAATTGTAATTTGTCTTGGGAAGTTGATGAGTAGTAAACATGCCATGATGAGCTGTTGTCTCATTAGATAAGCGGAACTGTTTCAATAATAATGAGCAAACAAGGAAAGGTAAAAAAAAAATCAACTGATTTTATTGTCTCCTTAAAATTTCCGACAGAAGAGTTTTTATTTTTTAAGATCAGATAATTTTTTGTAATTTTTTTTATTTCCTTTGATTCAAATTTTTTCTGGTTGCTTTTAAACAGATTTCCAATGTTTGCCCCAAAAATTCAAACATAACTCTTCTTCTAGTCCACAGTTTGGCAAAAACCAGATCACTCTGATCTCGCAAGGCCAAAGTCTGTTTTCACTCTAGTGTCCGTATTGATTAATCATCCTTCAACGAGCCGCGCCGCAACGCACAGTTTACAGCAATGCCGGCGCCTCTTGATTGAGTCCTTCTGTGTTCACCTCGCTAGCAGTTGGTGGCTCGAAATCGTGAGCGAACAGGCCGAAAGTATGCAGATTGCTAATGGACTTTGTCAAACCCATCTGGGACACAGAAGCAGCCGAATTCGTCTCAAAGTTGTAATCTTCGGTGGGCCTCAAAACGGCGAGCGATGGCACCAGCAGCGTGTTTGGTTGCAGCAGATCGGTGCTAAAGTTGCCCGACACTGAGAGCGACTTGAATACGGTCGAAGCCGAGTAAGTTGAAAACTCCAAGTCGTCAGAGCAGCTTGTCGTGTTTGCGCCGGCACACGCTATCACCGAACACACCTAAGCAAATTAATATGATTATTAGTTATAAATTTAATTTTCAAATTAATTTGAAAATAGTGAAAAATGCTAATTTCATTTGCCATTAAGTTAACTTTTCCGTCAATTAATTAGGTCAATTTTAACAAAATTTTTGTTTCGGGTTAAAAAATAAGCAATTTTTCCGCAATAATTCAAACTTGCAAATTTTCCGAAAGAGCCTGAAATATAATTTATTATTTTGCGTTTCTATTTTGTTAGAAGAACTTCCTCAGAAGAAATATAATTGTTTGTTGCTGTTGATTTAAAAATTTGATTTAAAGTTTATACTTTAAACAAATATTATAATATATATTTTTTTTAAATCCTTTTTGTTTTTCAAGTTATGTTTATTATTATTTTTAATTTTATATTTATTATTTAATTAAGTATACATTATTTATTTTCCAAACTTTTGTTTCTAGGATATACCTTTTGGCAGTTATCTTGTCAAATGCAAGAAAATTTAATTATAAATTTTATTAAATAATCATTGTAATCAGGATAAATTAATAATTAATATTTTATTATTCATCTCTACTTGAAATAGTAATAGTTGGAACGCAAATTTCATTATTATGTATTTAAATTTTTTTATTACATTTACTATAAAAATAATTGAATAATAAAATTTATATTTTAAAATATTATTTTACAATTATGAAGCACTATGTTATTTTTTATTTCTGTCATTCTCCTTTAATAACAATTTGCACCTCGTTTTAAACAACCATCAAAATTAATCGAGTTTCCAAACAAGTTTTCGATTTGATTACTATTTATTAATTTACCTGCTCCCTGTTGACGTAATGTCCTCCGTCGTGCGTAACAATGCCGTCAATTACCACGAGTCTGTAATTGAATTCGCCCGCCGCGTCAACTGACTCCAGTTCATAATCAACCGTGCAACACAGATCAGCCTGGCAATGTGTCAAAGTCAGATTGGCGCCGATCTCTGCGCTCAAAGCTGCCGACGTGTAGTCCCGAAGGTTGTCGTTCTTCAGCAGCAAGTCGAACGCAGCCGGGGGAGCCGCACCGCGTTTGGCTCTTCGCGACTGCCGCGATTCTAATTAAAATCGCTTTCATTATTTGTCTTTGGCGAAAACTTCGTTCATATTCAAAAGGAAAGATTAAAAGATCGCTCACGTCTGCGTGTGTTGAGAGGAACGGTTGCCACCAGAAGGGTGGTGCCGCTTTGCTGGGCCATCAGTGAAACAATCTCGCCCTTTTCCCCCGAGTAAATTCCGCTGCCGCTGTTTCCCACTGCGGGGTGGTTGTAGCCGGAACCGAGGAAATTAACCCCTAATCCGAGTGCCCACGCAGATTGGCCTTGCACGGCTGCCAATGAGTTTTTTTTTATTTATATAAAAAAAGAAAGAAAATTGTTATCGCACCTGTCAGGTAGGGCAGCTCGGAGAACCAGGCTGTCGGAAAAGCGATGTCGGTGGCGCCGAATTCGCGGACCAGCCGCACACTGGGGTTGTAAAAGAGCAAATCCATGCAGGTGAAGGTGCCGAATGTGGCCCCGAAAGACGTCGTAAAAACGGCAATATCAGTCTCGGCGGTCGTGTTGAGCGCCGGTTCGCCGTACAAATTGAACTTGCGGTATCTGCGGGAAAATAATGGGCTGAAAGCTGCTTCTTTTCATCCATTGTCATGCATAACAATCGTGAAATGACGTACATAATTATAAAATCGAATCGCTTGCAAAAGGAAAAATAATGACTTTTTTCAATCTGCTTTAATGATGCGATGTTATGCAGCGTGCGGTGCAATCGCGTCGAGCGAGTTGCCTATATATGCTGCTCATCAGTTTCTCGATGGAGACGTAAATGTCAAGGCATAGTGAAATGTTTCAACTTTATTTCCTTTTAACACGTAGGAGGAAAACGCGCTGTTTATTCGACATAATGGAATCCAGCAGAATAAACGCGCTTTTAACTAAATTGCTAATTTCCGTTATATCCCTTTTGGCCAAACGCACATAGACGGAGCTGAAACCTTTTCACTTTTTGGAAATCAATTTCACTTTGTGCTTTTTGAAATAATTTGGTCTGTTATTTTATTCAAATTAGTTGGCAATTAATTTATGATTAATTGGATTGCACGCTTGACTGTATTGATGATTTTCAATAGCGTTCAAAAGTTCAAAACCTAATTAATCACCAAATATCAAACATAACAAATTAATTTTAGACTTGAATTGAGCGATATTGGATTATTGAAATTGGTAAAATTTGAGGATTCCTATTTCAAAATTATTGTCTGATGATATTAATTTTGGTGAGGATATTTTAATAATGAAATATTGTATATAAAAACTGGTAAAATCAGCTAAAATCAAGAATGTTGAGCGTTGAATAAGAACATTCAATTAATACTTACGGATGGGAAAGCTCTTGATTGAAATTTATGCATGTATTACGATGAAATAAGCTGATTTGAATGTTGGGACAAAAAAGTTTATACTTTTTGAATTTTTTCTCTGATAATTTCAATTACTTTGGAAAAAAGGCAGACGAACTAAAATCCCGTAAAATATTAAAACCACTCTTTAATATTTAGTTTACATTGATGTACAGTCGAGGAAAAGCCAATTCTAAATTCGAAATCGACTAATTGTTGTTTCAGGAATATCCAAACACTAATCTATTTTTTTTTTTTTTTTAATTAAAGATCATTAATTAAAGTCATGCCTATCAATTTTCTATTTTATGGAGCAGTTTTTCCTCCTAGAAAGAGGGATTTAATTAATTCGTAGCAATTAATTTTGGCTTCTACGTTACAAATAACCCTCAAGGGAAAACACGTTTCTCCGAATAAAAAAAAAAAAATCCATTGTCTGCGGAAACCGATTTATTTTTTTAGCCAGCGTGTGCGTGGCATTGACAGGACATTTCCCTTAACCCTAATGTGCGGAAAACCGATGCCCTTCTAACGTTCGCATATGATGTAAATATAGCCGACGGAACTCGGGGCTGCGGGGGCGCATAAATAATAAAGTACCTGGCGACGAGAGTGCCATTAGCGTCGAACGCCACGTTCGAGTTGTAAATCAAGTAGTTGTCCTGGGCGCACTGCGGCCCGCAAAACTGCCTTTCGATCAGGTTGGCCACCACGTAGATCGAGTTGTTGCGGGCGGCGCAAGAAAGCCGCTTCAGAGCCTGCGAGCCACAATTATTGAATAAATTAGGTCCCATTTTAGTTGTTCGATTTAATTGGATCCGACTTCCGTGTTAATTGTGTCGTTGTTGAAATCGAGGCAGGGGTTCGAGTCGAGGGCGGGCACCTCTTGACCGACGTTAATGCACAGCGATCGTGACTGGGAAACCGCCGTCGTCGTCAGGCCATACTCGGGAAATACGATAATTTCCGCCGCCTACCAAAATTGAAACAAATTTATTCCAATTATATCAACCTTGCGAGAGTGGAAATGTCACAAGAGAGGTACAGATGGGATGCTGCGTAATGATGACGAATCGCAAGAGAATATTGGAATGAATGCATAATTAATTTTACAGGGTTTGTGAGCAAATGAAATCACAAGAATTTATTTGAATTCATTGAGGACTATTAAACAAATTGATGTAATACAATCTCGATATTAAAAATTTAAATTAGGAATAAAAAAAAGATGAATTATACATTAAAATCATTTATCATTTTGCGATGTGATCGTTTCGTTGCATGAGAAGACAAGTTTAAATACATTCAGCCCTATCGATCCTACTCTTAGTAAAAAATTAAAATCATTATAATGGTTTAATTTTTATTAATAATTAATAAGTTCTTATTTTAAATAAACTTTTAGAAACGTAAAAAACTGTAAAATATTACAGAAAATTAAAATTATAACTTACACGTAGAAAAAACATGTAAAAATTTTATTAATAAATAATTCTAATAAAATACAAAAAATTGAAATTAATAAATAAAACTTAATTTATATTATATTTATATTTATTTTAACTGCAAATCTCCACTAATATTTAATTTCTCTATTTCTGACATGAATAGAGTGTTGAGAAATTTTCCAAATATGAAAGCAATTTTCTATGCGGCTGATGTAGTAATTTTATCCGAGAATTCGCAAGATTTAAGGAGCGCTTTCGAAAATCTGATCGTTTGTTTGAAAGACAAATTTGAAACTGAATTTTGAGAAATGTAAAATATTAAAGTTCCGAAATAAAGGGAAGTGAAGGGGACGATGATTTTCTTGAAATTAAATGAGTAATAGACATTAACATTGTACTACTTTATTGATAGATTTGTTTGTTAATATTAATAAATTATTGAAATTGATAAATATAATTTGTTATTAAAAACTGTCAAGTTTACATTTCTTTTAAATTTATTTTAATTTATTAATCTGATTGAGCAAAGAATAATTCAATAGTTTAATAAATAAATTCCAGCACCGTGCTATAAGTAAAGACTTTATTTTTTAATGAAACAAGCATTAATAAGTATTAAAAAACGGAAAACTTTCCATGTAAAAAGCCAGAGCAGACCACCCAGCAAAATTTCACTCTACCTGAGATTTTGCATCGGCGATGAGATCTTCGTACTTTCCGATGTTCTGCCGAAAAGTTCCACCCAAGGAATAAAACTCCACGACAGCCGCTACGTAACTAGATTGCGCCTTTAGTAAGAAACAAACAGAAATAAAAGTCACATAAAAAACAAACATTGACTTGGAAATAGAATTTACCTGGCTATGCCTGATGGCGAGAGCGAAAAATACAAGGAAAAGTTGTTGTTTCATCTTTAAGAAAAACTTCCCTGCATCCGCCTATAAGTTTACGACTTTAGAAGTTGATGCACATGATTGAGCACATTTTTATAAAAGCGCCAGACGTGCCACGTGATGCGGGTTTATCTTGGAAAAAGATGCACTCAAGGGGTACTTGGCGTGGGCGCCTCTAGTGCATGTCCGGCGGCGGGCAGAAAAAAAGCAGGGGCCGAGATATCGACCTTTGGTGCAGTCTCGTCTGATGTCGCGATTGCAGGACGTCTTGGTGCAAAGGTCGCACTTTTAATCGCAGGCACGTTCGCAGATAACCGCACACACAATGGAATTGCATAACATCACTCGCACCACCTTACCGCTTGCGTAATAATAATCACTGACCAGAACAATTTTATTTTTATTGAAAAAAAAACAATGATAATTATCAAAACTATTAGAAAATTTTCGTTGTAATTTTTGCAGCTTTAAGCATATTTTTTTTAATTTGGTTGAAATTTTATATAAAAAAAAAACAACAAGATCATGCGATTAACCATCCAAATACATAATTCATAAAAAAAAAATGATTAAAGAAAAAATAGAATTAATTCAAATTATTAATTTACAAGAGAGGACGAATGATCAATCATCACTTCTTATTTACTAATCATTTTCATCATCTTGCTTTTGTCTTGAATGAACTTTATAGAGATTATAGTACAAGGGTGAAGTCCAATTTCAATTATTCATCTAATGGTCTTAGTCCAGATAATGCCATTATTTTGAATAGATCCCATTAACTTTTTTTCTTTTTCTTATCATCAAATCAGCCGTGGTTTTAATTAATGTGCAAGTCGTTCGATATTAAGTAAGATAAAACTCTTCTAGCAGCTTTTGAATTGATTAGTCACCAATTTTAAATTAAAGGAGTGTCAACTTACAATTAGAGCGGGAGAGTTATGCAACTTGTTGGCCTTAGCGAGAACGCGGGTTGCATGCAAGCTAGATAATTAAATTGCTCTTTGGAGATTTTATCATCTTTTTACACAAACTGCTTTTTGTGTGCACATATAATTTTGTTAATTTGTTGCATAATTATGAATTCTTTTTGCGTGTATATTATTTTATTCAAGACTAGTTTAATTCAAATTGTGTGAAAAAAGAGAAAATTTGCGAATATTAATAAAAAGGAAAAACCCGACTCTTCACTCTTCATTTCCATTAATAAGCAAATTTCTTATTAAATAAAATACAATTGAGGAAAGTTTCTTAAAGTAGTCTACAAAATTAGATTCTTCTGAGAATTCTGAAAACACTCCTTGCAAAATTGTCCAAAGCCTTTAACACCTTTTGCAGTAAATGAAAGTAGAAACGCTGAAGTGGACAATAGAAATAAAAATTCATCAGCCATATCGGGTGGGACATCTTTTTGAATTGAAAAAATTCTTCCACTCTCATCGTGACACGAGTAAACAAAAATTTGCCGGCGGAGAAGGGCTTCGATATCTCCGTTTTCGAAAGGAAACTAATTTCTCTCCATTTCATTATCTACATTGTGCTTCAATCTCTCTCTATATTTCTCTCCTTCGTGAACACCGATGAAAGGGACGCCTGATAATAAAGCGGCATTCTCTCCTTAGGAAATAACTTTTTAGTGTCACAATCACGCACGCTCTATCGTGAATTGAGATGGGAGCTGCAAAAACCAGACCAATTTATAACTCCGCGTACCAAACAATGGTGCCGAAAATTGGGTTCGAAGGGGTCCAATTACTTGTCATCTTTTTCGCTCAACTGCTCTGAAGGATAACATTAAATTAACTACATTTATTTATCTCTCTCCTTTCTGCTGAGGACAGGCAACTGCGATACCACAAGAAGTGAAATGATGTCGGATGTCATATTATATAAACAATATTAACAAAATCACGTTCAAGAAAAACAATAAAATTGAATAAACTTTGTATTGTATAGATTTTTGCATAATTTATTTAAAAATGAGATTTTAAATTTGCTTTTGAAAATAATTAGTTTTTTTTTTGATAACTTAAAAAAGTGGAAATGGCGTTTAATTATTGTTGTTATTGCTTATTATTTTTTTTAATCCATATCTAGAGAAAATGTAGTTTTGTTAGCCCGCTTATCTCTGCGGAAATTAATAATAATTATTAAAATAATCAATTAATAGTAATAAGCATCAAAAGCTAAGCTCTGAAAATCATTTACGGCTCAATACCTTGAAAAGATGTGACGTGCAATTTAAGAATATGAATGAGGTCCTGAAGGTCCCCCAAGGCAAATTCATTTTTCGCATATTTCCAATTTCTACCCGCGGGCATTTTAGAAAATTCCTGATGACAATATATAATTAACTAATTAAAGATGACTCCGCGGAGAGGTCATTAGCGGTCAATTAATAAGATATTGTGTGCTTTTTGATTGTGCATTTCTTTGCACGGACAAAACATAAATCACTATCAGTTGAGTCGATCAGAGAGGAGAAAATTTTGTAGTCGGGCAGCGGAAGAAGCAAAGAAAGCCTATATAAAAGCTTTCATTCTTTTATGCCGCGCAGGAGAAAATAAGTGTTTTTATTTCATTATAGAGAGAATTAGGAGCAGCTAGAGAGGAAAAGAAGTGTTCTTACTAATGTGAGGCGTTTTGCGGTCTTTGGCTTTAATTTGCAGTGAAAGTGGTCCAAAATAAATGGCCAATTATTATTAAAGTTTGTGACGAGTTTCTAAGTTTTTATAAAGCCTTAAAAAATTAAATCAAATCTAAAAACAAAAATAATTTTTCTTGCTTATGTGCTTCGGTTTTTAGTTTTTATTATATTGCAACAATACAAAAAATGACAAAATATCATTTTGAACCTAAAATTTGTCTAGGTGTTTCAAAATGTATTTGCAATTTCTATTTAAAAACTCAGTTAATTTTTCTTAATATTTTTCTTGCGATTGATGACCGCTTTTTGTCGATTTTTAAATTTTGTATCATCCCAGCCAGAACTCTTGAGTGGCCGCGAATTTCTCTTCTTGCCGTTCTCGTCAGCAACGCCGAGCCGTTTTCGACTCTCGTCCAGAGGCGATTTCATTTGTTGTCGGCCGCGCGCGGCCATTGAAAATTCAGGTCGCCTTTCCTGTCATTCTCGATTTTTAATCTGCATTAATTACGAACGTCGTCTTCACTGCCACGTCGAGAGGCTCATCCTCACAATCGGCCGGTTTTGACCTTGAAGTAGAAATTTGTATTCTGAAGCCAGAGCACCATGATAAATTAAAATACAATTATTAACACTTCAATATGGCGAGCTTTGCTATCAATTGGTATTTCAAAATTATTGCATAAATATTCAGGAACATTAAAACATTAAAATTGAACTTAACTTAAAAATAAAAAGGAGAAAGCCTTGCCGGATCAAAAAATTTTGATTTATCACTATTGCGAATCCCGCAATGATCACAATCAAAATTTGAAAACAACCTGCTTTGATAATCAACACGTTTTCACTCGATATGCTTGTGTTATGCAGAAAAAAAAAATTTCCGCGCCAATGTGCGGGAAATGTAACCAGCGGATGTAGACTTAACTTTCTTGAGTGCGCCAAAGTGCGGAAAGAACAATAATGTTTAATGTTTCTTAATTAAGTCCGATTAAGTCTAAAAATTTAATGGTAGCCATGTAATGAATATCAGTTGGAATATTAATATATTATCGTACTTAAATTAACACTTTCAGAGGAGAATAATATATTTTATTTAAATTTAACTTCGACCCTTATGGTTATGGTTGTTTATTAATTTGTATTTTTTTTACTTAAAAAAACCAAGTAATTTCTTAGTGCGCGTCCATAAACATGTGCCTGGATGTATAATTTGCACCACTATTTAGCTATTTTTTACTTACAAAATTAAAATCAATAAAAAATATATGAAATAAATTAAAAAAATTAAATTAAAAATTTTATTTATTTTACTAAAAAGTTATTGTAGTATTAAAAAAATTTAAAAGTGTTTTTGCTTAAAATTGTTGCAACATAGAATCGTAATTAAATTTTTGATGCCTGTGCGGTGGAGGCGCGCACGAGTCTCAGGTAAATCTCGGCCAGGCGGCGCACCTGAGCCACCTGAGCCGCGGCCAGACCTTCCTTCGAGCGGGCGCATTCCTGAGCTTCAGTCACGGTCGGTCCTCTCGTCAGTCGTGAACGTTTCGGTTGCGCCGCTGCGAAAATCGGCCAGCATGTTGTGGTGACGAGAGCTGCGATTCGGCCCTAAACTTGCTGATCGGCGGAAGCAACGGACTTTCGACTTGTTGTCGGAAAATTGTGCGATTTCCTCGGATTCGGGAAAAGCCGGTGCCATATCAAGGACGCGACGAAACGCAGTTTCCATCGCAGGTAAGAGAAGTGTTTGATGCTCTTTGTGTTGCTCCTTTACTTGTGTTGGGGGTGGAAGTTGAATAGCTTCGTAGCTAAGCAGGCGCCAGGCTAAAATATACACTTTTATTAGAACTACTAAAACTGAAGATGCAAAAAACGAAACCAAGAATAAAATATTGAGTTAAATTCAGACAATTTTCACAGGTGAATGTTAACTAAAAAATTATTTAAGAAAAAAAAATACCATTTTTAAGTTATATCCGAAGGAATCTTTAATGTAATTATTAATTAAAATACTTACAAAATTATTTAAGAAAAAAATTAGCAATAAAAAAATTGAAGAGTTAAAATTTAATTACATTCAATTTTTATTTGGACTATTGTTGCAGAAAAGAAACTTTTAATTATTGTTACTCAACCGCCGTTTTCAAAACTATTTCTAGTCCAAAGTACGACTCTAACAGACTTCGTAGCTCCGCAGGCGCCAGGCTAAAATACACATTTTATATTAGAACCACTAAAACCAAAGATGCAAAAAAAGAAACCAAGAATATAATATTGTAAATTTCAGAAAAAAATTTACAGATAAAATGTTAACTAGAAAATTATTAAAGAAAAAAGTTACCATTTTCAAGTTATATCCGAAGAAATCTTTGAATGTAATTCGTTCTTAAGATTTTCAAAATATTTAAGAAAAATTTATTTATATTCAATCGTTGCAGAAAAGAAACCTTTAATTAAAATGCTTTCAACCGCTTGTTTACAAAACTATTTCTCTTTAATTACTCTAGTCCAAAGTATGTCTCTGATGCATTTAAAAAATCCTTGGGTAACAACAACACCTGGTCCTTATCTGGCTATAAAAAGTAGCATTCTTTTCATTGCGGCAATCACGTAAATTGCTTGTGATTCAGTTCAACTTGAATGTAAAAGCGATTGAGATAAAAAAAAATATCCGTTCGAGCTGCAACCGCTTTTGATTGAGTCGACCTTTCCCATGAGCCTCGTTCATAATTCACGCTGACCTGGGAGCGGCAAACATACACAAAATGCATTGACTATTCACATAATTTAATGACGCTTTAAACTGACAGTTTGACATGAATGTAGGAAAAATTTCGATGTTTATTTTTACTTTTGTTCTTTTGCATTCCACCAAAGAGCGAGGAATTTGTTTAAAAATTGCTCGTGTGTCGCGGCCTGTGAATATAATTTCATTTTACATTTTATGACGAGAGGCAATTTTGGCGTGGATTGCCGAGTCACGACTGATCGATATTGTTATATTTTAATGCGGATATTTGATACACTGTAAACAGGCGCGGTTGGTTAAAATTGGTAATTTGTTTCACGGACGAGCTTTCAATGCAGCATAAAAAACCTCAAGTCATAAAGACAGGCATGCAAATTGAATTTATTGTTACTTTAATCTCACAGTCGTTTCACTCAAAGTTGGGGCGTAGTTTTGATTTAAAGATTAATTGGAAATTTTATTGCACGGCAGAGAAAACAAAATAGAATAAAAGGCTGTTTATTTGAAGAGGAAAATTAGTATAATTTATTATTGAAATCATAAAAATTATTACGTTTGATTTATTTTGTAGAAAATTTTGACGTGATTCATGGTGTTTAAATGCAAATTTATGGTTATCCTCTATGAGGTTTTTAATTTAGCTTTGATTTAATTTAAGTTTTTGAAAACTTGGCCAGCTCGATGAAATTTTATTGTCATTTTCATGTTTAGAATATTTGAGCATGATCAAGCACATGATAATTTTACAACTTAAATTTTGTTAAATTTATTTAAAACTTAAATATTATAATTAACCTTAGTATATTTAATTTCAGTTTTATTTACTTGAGGATCAAAGAATTGAAATTCAGCGAAGAAATTATAAAAATCGTCTTTAGCTGAAATTATCTTCCACCTGCTTCTCGAACAATTTATATCCTGGCGTTTTCTCATAACCTGTCTCCTTGTATGTGGACAGAGTGTCTATTATCCTGCCGTTTTCAGGTCGTAAATTTCCCTTAAGATGCCGCGAGATAATTTTCCCTCCAAGATCATGTTCCACCCCTCGTTGAATGGGAGGGTTTTGTAAATCGTTCAGACGTAAAAAAGAGCGATGGAATGTTGAAAAGGCGGCGGATTACCCGGAGGTATTTTTTTATTTTTTTATTTTGTCGTGGATGGATAGAGTAATGAGCGTCTCTACCTGTTGCTTTTCGGCGTCTGTGGGAAAGAAAATTAACCTGGCCGGAGCTGCTTCTTTTCGAGGACGACACATTTGTCCTCTCCATTAGCTCCTTTGTGTGTTTGCTCTTCCATTCTTCACCATTGCTTTGATGCGGAGACGTGACAAGTGTAGCTGAATGTTTTATTTATTCACGAAACGGTTGTCACGAGAGAATATGAACATTTGCTTTTGTTCATCTGAAAGGATTGAAAAAATAAATAAATAGTATTGGAATTCGTGAATTTGAAAATTTTGAAGAAAAAATATTTACCATCATCTATCTTTTTCTGTTTAATACGGAAGATTTGATTTTAAATTTTGATTTTTGCTCAATTTTTCTTGTAGCTTTGAGCGGCTGTCATTTTTTTTTGGGTAATTGAATACACTTTATAGTTTATATTGAGCTAATTTAAATACTTCATTTAGATCAAGATGTAAAATGCTAATAACTGCTATTTAAAATTTATTTTGTTCACCTTATATTTTTTTTTATTGCTATTCTTACTTGTAAGTAAATAAATCAAATGTTTTAATTCTTCAGCTTGCTATTAAAATAATAAGTTATTTAACTAAAGAATAATTAATCATTAAATTAATATTGTAATCCATTAAAACTTCACTTTAAAATAAATATTAAAAGCAAAAATGAATCAAAAATTTTAAATTATAAATTTTATTTTACATTTAAATATAATTTATATTAACTTTTTAATTATATTTTTAAATTAAATAATACGTGTTATATTTTTAAATCTATTTTTGCTTTTAATATTTAGTTTATAGTTAGATTTTAACGTATTTTAACAATATTTTAATAATTAATTTTATTACATTAATTTTTTTGTTATTTGCTATAAAAATTTCATTTCAATTTTATGGTTACATGAGCCTTTTTATTCAGTGCGGTGTGAAAACGTTTAGAAAGATCATGGTTTGATAATTATAAATCTTAATTTATGGGCAAAAACTCCAAAAATTAACATTTATTTTTCAACTTCACAATCCTGGTTTATTATTAAATTTTATAAATATCATTGATTTGAATTGAGACATTTCTAAATGAGATAATTCTAATTTCTAATTTCCTGTTGTTTGTGTTTGTTTTGCAGCACCATGTGTGTCCTACGTCTTGGTCTCTTTCTCCTGGTGATTGGAGCACCAGTGGTCGTTCTGGGTCAGCAGGCGAGCGTTTCCGGCGAGGAAGCGTGCGCCGAATTGCTGACCGACCTTCGCCACCCTTGCACCTGCATTTACGACGATTCTCAGGACTTGGAGCTCGAGCTCGACTGCGACCGCGTCGTCTTCGGCGTCGACTTTCCGGTCCTGCCGTTCGGCGCCGCCCTGCGCAGCTTCAGTCAGCGCCACGTCGGTCTGCAGGGTCTGCCCGCCCAGGCGTTTTCAGGTCGCGAAATCGCCCTCACCAGACTCGACTATTCGGACAATTTGCTGCGACGACTGACCGAAAGGTCGCTGGACGGCGTCAGGGAAACGCTGAAGGAACTGGTGCTCAGGGACAACCTGCTGGGCGACACCCTGAACCCCATCTTCAGCAGCGGAGAACTGCGCGGGTTGACTAACCTGCAGGTTCTTGACCTCAGGGGAAACCAACTCAGGGGACTCGAGGCCGGATTCGTCAAAGGATGTCCAAATTTGCAGGTAAGAAACGCACGCATTGTCTTTTTTCTGTTATTGCGAAACGAATCACAAACTTAAACAGTACACAATTCTTAAGTTTCTTATGAAGAAAAGAAAAAAAATAATGATTTTCTTGGAGTTCACATTTAAATGAGGATTCATGTTAAATAAATTTTCGTTTTCATCATAATTAATTTGAAAAACTCAAATTTTGATAATTTTTTATGTAGATCATATTAAATACTTATTTTTATTTTTAATACCTATTTTTATTTTGAGTTAAATAATTATCTTTCTTATAAATGACCTAAAATAAACGCAGATTAAAAAATAATGACAAAATTTAGCTTTAAAAAATCACAGAATTTTATTCTTTGATTTCATTTTTAGCTGATTTATTTCAAAGTCTATTTTCATCATTAATTGGTAACACCTGAAGTGCAAAAATAAAAGACGTAAATCTATAGCGACGACGATTAGAGCGGACGATTAATCATGACGTAAATTGCCGGTCCGTCGGTTCCCATCTCGATGACAATTGTAATTAAACTTTTCGCACGTGAGATGCTTTTCGATTCGAATGACCAACAGCAGACATTTCTGGCTCTACAGTTAATTTTTAGAAGCCGCACATCTGTACAGGGAAATCAATACGTGCAGCTTCATTTCAGAGAAGTTTGCTCGATTTTTATAACGGGCACCAACTGTTCTGCAGCATCGCGTGTGCCGGACTGACTGGAAATGGTCCATTTGAGACGGGAAACGCAGACCGCGAAAAGCATGACGGGGATAATTAAAAAAAAATCGGCAAGCCTGCAAATTTTAGATCTGCAGAAAGGAGAAACGTAAAATATCAAATATCCGTGCAAAAAATTATATTATAGATTTTAAAAATTTGGTTTTCTCTCCATTAACGGTAACATTTTTTTCCACCATTCATCCTCACGTCATGCAAAAGCACATTTTTGTGTTCATTCATGCCTCATGCTGGGCTGCATCAAAATGTAATGAATTCACTTTGCCAAGTCGCGATGTTAATGCGTTTGTAAAAGCTTCGTTTGACACACAAGAGTGCAGCCAACAAAGAAAAGCAAAGCTCACTTAACACGGGTGAAAGTTTTGATATGCGAAGCGTGTGGCATTGAGAATAATTCAAGTGGGAGGCTAACCAAATGAGCATTTGGTTTTCCTTCCATCATTTTGCACGCACGCCGGTCGCAGCGAAACAATTCACGCGTCATTCGACCGAATCCGACTGCCGGAGGAAGAGCGTTCGATGGACCTTAAAACCGCATTGCACATTGTTTGATGCAAAAAGAGAATAGATACGCAGCGTGTTCTTGAGAATAATCAACCAATTTGCACCACAGCAAACGCCTTTTTTAGTCCTGCTTGTTTGACCTTTCGTGCAGCTGCAGGTCGCGTGCTTTCTATGCATTGCAACGAGTCGTCAGCACTTTGCGATTAGTGTTAGGAACGGGTTAAACCATTTTTTTCCTCTCCGCCGTTTTTTTTTTTTTTTTTTTGAAAACTATATAATTATTCAGATGCTAAGAATTAAAAAAAAAAAAAAAACGGGCTAAATGAAAAAATCTGTGTCAGAGGAATTTTTTTGTTTTATTTCATATATCATTTTGGGAATAACGAAAAAATTTTTAAATAAATTTTTCTAATTTGTAATTGTAAATATTTAATTTTTGGAGGTTTCCTCACCAAAATTATGAACACCATATTAAAATCAACATTAATATCTCTTATTATTTGCTTTCTCTCCATATAAATTCGTTTCGTCACTATAGAGGTCAATCTTAACAATTTTTCTCTGGTGAGGCAATCTTTTCATTTTGACAAACATTTGAAGTAAAAAGTATTTTAATATTTCATCAATATTATAGTACTTTCTAATTTGTTATTCCTTTCCAAAGGCTGTGTCAAATTTCGGTTATTATATCGTTGAATTTCCGGCGGTCATTTTCGACACAGGCAGAACTAAAGTTGTTATAAAAGAAAACATACACCAAGGCGTGAACTTGTATTGGCAATGGCAAGTCATGCATGAATCGTGTGAAAATGTTTCACTTGCACGAATCTCGCCAAACAAAGAAAGAGAGATTTAAGTGTCTCATTAAACTGCTGGTCACTGCGCTGCGATCTCTTTTCTTTTAATTGCTCCTCCAAATGAGAGGAACACATGCGAATTCCAACTTCAAAAACGGTTGCGCTGCTTTAAATAATTTCATGCTCGACTAATTGATTTCGCATCCTTGTTAAATACAAGGCGGGTTCGGTTCTGCGGGACTGAATTTTATTGCAAAATTGTTTCCTGATAGCACGGATTTTGGGTTTAATTGCTTGTGAAAGTGCCGCGGTAATAAAATTGCATAAAATAATTTAATTTTTTACTCAACCGGTTTATTTTCTTCAAATTTCTTAATTGATTTGAAAAAACTCCCTGTTACTTTAAAAAAAGATTCTTTTTTATGTTTTATAAAATCTGAAAATTTTTATCTTCACACGGGTTGAGCTCATAAAAAACCTGCTGAATTTCGCGATTCTCTCCGCTTGACCTGTCTCAGGGTCATATTGTCCACCTTTGCTCGCGTCACCTGAGCTTTGTCAGACTGCACATTCACGACCTGGGGGCTATTACGGGAAAATGACTACTCGGCCAGTCGGTGTATAAATAATACACGCGGCGATGCACGCACACTCATTCAGTCGCAGGCACATCTTCCTCTCCGCGACCAATCCCGTTAAAAATGTTGAAAATACCTTCTCCTTTCAGCCTGCGGGCATCACCGGCGAGTCGCCTTTATTGGCCTTGACCATTTGGAATAAAAAAAAAGCATCGAGAGGTGTCACACCTCGACACTCCAATTACGGCCGATCGACCAGGAAATTGTTACTTGTCATGCAAAAGAGCCGCCGCGATTAACTTGTTGCTGCGGTCACTCGGGGACAATGAATTCGCGGATTTCTCCTTTGTACTTTGATTAATGCCTTTGGTAGGGGACATTCCTTAGGAATATTTTGGGACATCGTGGAAAGTTATGACCGTGCAGGGCTTTTAAATATGATAATCTACCGACCTGCTGTTGTTGCAAGTTTAAAAACCTTTAGCTCATAAAATAGTCATTGAGCTAATAACACTAATAATTAACATACTTTTGTATCATGTAATTTATAGCTTGAAACAATAATTAAAAAGCAAGTTTTAAATTTTTTTAACAAGTTTGATTTTATTTGTTTATTCATATTAATATAAATTACTCTAATAAATAAAATTTTAGTGATTTTGTTTTGTTTGTATTTACTAATTTAATTTTTATTGATTTAGAAATTACAAAGGTCTATCATAATTACAATTATATCATTTTTGTTTACTTATATTCAATTTTTTAAATTGGTAAAACCGTGAAGCACCCATGAAACTTTAAGAAATGAAAGTTTAATGTTTAAGTCTTTTGAGACATTTTTAAGTATTATTTTTATAAATGCAATAGTAGATTTATCACACTATAAAGAAAATTTTCTTATACCTCTAATATATCTTATCTGAAAATCAGTTAAAAAAAACCATACAAGATCTTAGAAGCTTTGAAGTTGCGCACGTTTGCAGTTGCGAACAATAATTGAGCAAGGGCTCGCACAAGAACTGCGAAACAAAGGGCAAATGAGACAAAAGCCAGAAGAAAATAATGTTTCAACAGTGCTTACGAGAGTAAAAAATCACTCGCTGCGTATGCAATGTTGTAAAGTGACGGGAGCGCAGAATGAAGCAAAGGGAAATTTGAAAAGGAACTCGTGAGCCTGTTGTTTTTTTTTTTAACTTTGCCGGTGTGTGCGCCGCGCATCTCTTTCAACTCTCTCTTTGTTTCCGGTGAGTTGAGAGATGCAGCGATTCTTTGTGAAAATAATTACAAGTGCAATATTTAATAAATGCACTTAATTTCTTATTCATAAATAGTTTGATTGTTTGATATTTCCATTCCCTGGTGTGGAAACGAGTAAAAAAATATTATTATCATTAAGCTCGGTAAATAACAAGCAAGGCACGCACCGGTTTGCTCTTCGGGCGCGCGATAGGCATCGGAGCAATACCCGTAATAATTGTGGGAATTCGCGCTCACATGAGAATCGAGCATAACAGAGACCCGAGCGCACTGCACAACAGCAATTCCCCGCAATGGGCTCGAATTAAATTATCCGCGCACCAATAACGCTCCAAGGGTCATAAATTAACGTGTAAAGTTGGAAATAATAAACCAACATTTTAATTAAAATGTACTGAACGCTTCAGCTCGCAAATCAAAATGGAAATTCTATCAAAGCACCCTGGATCGAATCCAAATCCATTTGAACTCCGGCATTATTGGATTTCAGCTTCCGATTCTGTTTTCCGTTGGGGAAAAACCGTAAAAATTCTTATTCCATAAATAATTCTTTTCAAACTTTTAAAAAGGGCTTAAAATTTATGACGGATTTTAATTTTTCCAAAATAAAATAATCAGAAATTTTCCGAAACAATTTCATACAATTTATGTAGTTGTTTAGGAATTTTAAAATTTTGCTTGAACGAAATCCAGCATGTAATTATGATTTTTGCTGACTATTCAATAATTAAAATGTTAAACTGTTGACCAAAGAAATTAAACAGGAAAACTAATTAGAATTTTACTTTTTAAATCTGTTACAATTAGTTTTTTTTTTTAATTTCTGGAATTGCTGTGACATTTTGGAATTAACTGGGCTTGACAAAACAAAGCACCTCGCGAAAATCTTCCCACGACAAATTAAGGATTCAGCTAGTCTCCTGGCTAAAGTACATCTTTTTATCTACAAAATTATGATGCAGAGAACAATGGTATATACGTGCTTGGCCATTTTTCGGCAACACTGATGACATCAACGTACAACAATGAAATAAAAAAACAACTCTAGAGTTCTACTTGCATATAAATACAAATTTCAAGGAGCACAGAGGAAAGAGAGAAACTCCAATATTTATTGTAACCGCATCAGGAACAATACACCTGTGTGAATCAGAAAGTGCTGCAGCTTGTGTGGCTGTAAATTACTGCTCTTGGTATGTGATTGTTTATTATGGCACATATACTTGATGATTGCAATTATTATAACTCGACGATACACTTTCAAGAGTATTATATTATTATGGTTACAGTCTTATCGCATTGGGTTAATTGAGGAAGCGACTCAAGTGTTGATGCTTAACCACGCGCGGCGAGTGATATTGTAAATTTACACTCAGCATCTGGGTACGAAAAAAATGAATTATTATTTCCTTTGAATTATTTTGATTTGCTTCAGTTGAGAATTTCCCCGAGTTAACATTTGCAGCTTCACGTATGATTGATTTTAGTCTTTTTATATGATTTATTTTATCAAAAATGTCTTCACTTTTGGTAATTTTTTTATTTGGAGCAGAAATTATATTTTCATACTCGTATCAAATTATTTCCATTTACATATCAGCGGTTCCGTGTCCGCTTTTTTATACTTCCTAGAGAAATTAAATTTTTATTTTGTATGGTCATAGTGACTGCTGCTGTATATTAATTTACGGTTTATCCTCTCACTTTTTAATTTTCGAGCTCAGATTACCCAACAATGCTGATAACTCGTTACATTCCGCCTAATCCGACACCATCTGAATCCGTAGACCGGAAAATGTGCCAGACTTTTCAAAAGTCGGCACTGCATGTCACGCTATCAAATACTCAATGCGTGCAGTAATGATAAATTCTTTGTTGCTGAAAATAAGAACTTGCACATATATCAATTAATTTTAAAAATTTCATCATTGATTACAATTTTCTTTAATTTATCCAAAATTAGCGCATTCGGCAGACTAATTTACCTGATTTGCCAACAATTTTATTGCTTAAATTTATTATTCAAATTTAACAGGTCCATACAAGCTTTCACAACATTTAACGTAATTTGCATGCTCGTGGATTTGGAGAATTTTGAGTAGTTTTTGGAACTGCGCGGCTTCCCTTGTTCACGGAAATACTGTTGACAAATAATTATCATAGCAAAAACGTGCCACCTTTGTCTACTTCTACACTTTGAGCGCCTTGATTGAAAGTACTTAAAGACAGATTATAACCTTATCAAAGCCATGAGCTAAAAAGTGCCAAGTAAACTATGTGTGCGTCAAAAGAGGATTAGTATAGCAAAGATTGTTAAAAATTAATTTTACAGAGATAAAAAATCTCATGGACAAAAATATAGAAATTCGCTTTAGACACTGTGCCGTGATATAGATAAAAATAATTTTTGTTCATCTTTTTATGTTGTGCCAGAATAATTACCTATAAAAAGTTTGCGAAGTTTTGCGATTGTGGATATTTTGAATAAATTAATTTGTTTTTGACCATCATCTTTCAATATCTGCATTTATTATGTTTTTCTTTGTTTAAAAAAAACACCTACAAATAATTGCATATCTTTAGAGTATTCCCAATTATACATGCTTCTTAATTTTCTTTTAAATGTAGCAAAATTATTTATCTCAATTTTTGATAAATGCATGTCTCACTCAAGAATTATGTCAACTGCTGGTTATGGACTTACGACAGACAACATTGCGGTACTTGACAAATGAATCCATAATTTGCAATTGCTAAACTATGCAACCAGTTGCAAGGAATCGGGTCCAATGGGAAGCAAAACATTGCGCAGTTGTCTGATGAAGGATTTGGCTGGTTAATCCACATTTCGGGATCCACCGGCGTTCCGTCTGTCCACCTGACGTCACCCTTGTCAAAATTGTTGTCCGAGCCTCCAACCCAGTAGTGATCTTTTTCCCGGAATAATTAGTTTTGCACAAATATTTTATGTTGTCTGAACTCACAGTTAAAGCTGCCGTTAACATTTTTCATTAAATCTTCATAAATCGTCATGTTATACACATTTGCCAAGTGCATGTTATTTTCTTTGCAAAATTCGTCGGCTTCAAACCAGGTTTTGTCGCCCTTCAAGTGTAAATATTTAGTTATTGTAGAATTTTATAAGACATTTCAAATTAGATCTTACTCTATAAAAATAGTACACTCCAGTTTCTCTTTGCTCTAAATCGAGGTTCACCCCTGAAATTTCCAGGTTTAATTACGGTCACATTTTTTCATTTTATAATATTTGTGCTTTAAAAATTTAATTAAATTTTGGCTACAATTTATTGCATGAAATTCAAGAAAATTAGACAAATCTTCTCTAACTCATACTCCCAAAGCAAGAAGTTGATGCGGCCAACCTCAAAATTTGGGTAAAAAAAATATGTCCTTTCAAAAATAATCGATCAAAAAATAGGATTTAATACGGTTGTTTTCCTAAATCATCAAATATAAATTAACATAAAAGCTTAAACCATACCTGATTTGCTGCATTCAAAAGTTTCGCCCTAAAATATGGGACAAAAAGTAAATAAATCAAAATATAACCATTTACAATTATTTTGTTTACATTAATCGTTGTACACGTCAAAGGTTTTGGAGTCGTGGTTGTTGCCAAAGAAGTTGTGATGGTTGCTGGCTTCGTAGTCGTGGACTTTGGGGTCGTGGTTGGTGCGGCGCAGCCTCCCTTTTTTGACGGAAGGGCAGCAACTGACACCACAACCAGTGCAAAAATTAGCACCAGCTTGGCCATGGCGAAAGGGACTTTTGCTCTGCGTTTGTGATCACAAGTGCTTTTAAAGTCAAATTATGACGTTATCAAAGCCACAAGCGTGATGGAAAAGTTCATAGATTGCGTCAAGAGAGGATTATTGGCCTGTAAGCAGAAACGAAATTGTGGAATGAAATCTAGATCGATAATAAATTGGAGCAATGGAAAAAGGCAAAAGGCACGCGTCAACCTCTACATGACATTAAGACTATGTCATTTTTAGGGAAAAAAGAAAATGCTTGATTATAATCCATAAAGACTTGGGGTATGAAAAAAGAGATTATTTTTGTATTATTTCTATTTCGTTGTTTAGTTGCAAATTGTGTTAATGGATCTATCACAATTGTTTATTTGCCAAAGAGTCACAATCAAATTGTTGAAATTCAATTATTGAAGAAGAAAAAACAGATATTGATGTCTCTGGTCATATTTAAATATTCGTGCAAATCTGCTCATGCTTATAATTTACTCTATTTGGATGTCAAAGTGGTACTTTTATTCTGGCGGCTTGCTGAATTTTATTTTTGTAAATCACGTTTTTTGTTGGCCAGTTTACCTGTTGTTTTTTTTTATAAAATTATTATTTATTCATGTATCCATGGTACTTTTTCTCTATTCATAGATTTACAAAATTATATGGTTTTTTTTATTTATTTATTTTAGTTTTCTATTAATTCTAAATTTAATATAGTCAGGATATATTTATAATAAATTTACAATAACTTATTTTTGCTATTACATATTATAAAATTATTTTTCTATTCTCAGAAAAGATAAATTTTGCCGCACCAATTAGTCTGCTATTATACATAATTGACTCGAAGATTTATTAATGAATTAGACGTTTAGTCCACTATGAAAGACCTCAATGAGGGCAGGGGGGGATTGACAAATGAAAATTTTATTTAACATGGAAATTATCAGAACCACTGCAAGTAAACGCGTGCAATGTACAGCTAATTTCAGCAACATTGATAGAAAAATACAGTAAGGATAGCCCAAAAAAATGTCATTCACTGGAGGTCTATTAGAAAATAATAATCAATAATTATATTGTTAAGAGCAAAATTATCAAAATTAATAAAAAAGTCTACTTACAATTAGAATTACGAATATATAATTTATCCAAGCTCTGTTATTTTTTACGAAATTAAGAGCAGTATTTAAGAAAAAATACCGAAAGTATTTTAATGAATTTTGCAAAAATAAATTCAGAACAATTTCACATTCCTTATTAATTATTTAAAATTATTAAAATTTTCAAAAATCATTATTTTCCAGAAACTAGATTTTTAAGTGGCAAGACAGCATTGGGGAACTTGGCAAATGAAACCATTATTTGGGGAACCAACACCATTGCAAGGAATCGCGTGCAGTGGGAAGCAAAGCATGGCACAATTGTCAGAGGATGATTCAGGTGGTACAAACCACAGACTTTGATTCACCGGAGTTCCGTCCGTCCACCTGACGTCGGTCGAATCAAAATTGATGTCCGAACCTCCAACCCAGTAGTGATCTATCGATTCAATATTGACACATGAATTTTTCAAAAACATTGATTTCGTTTTAAGTCGACTCACAGTGATCATTCGAGCCGTCAGACGATAGCCACAGATCATCATAAATCGTCTGATTATACACATTTGCTAAGTGCATGTTGTTGGTTTTGCAAAACTCGTAGGCTTCCGTCCAGGTTACAACACTCTAAAAAATTATCAATTTGAATGAAATAATAAAAATTGAGGATAATTCAATCTTACGTTATTAAAATAGTACAATCCTGTTTGCCTTTGCTCTAACTCAAGATTTGAACCTAGAATTTTTCGGTGAAAATATTATAAAAAAAAAAAAGAAAAAAAGCATGCATTGAAATTATGTTAAACATATCGCCATAAAAGAGGATTTAAGTATGGGAAAATAATTGAAAACTATGCATACCTGCTTTGCTGCAGTCCACGGTAGTTCCCTACAGCATTGAAAATTACATTAAATTCAAATTTCTCTAAAATAATTCACATGATTTGCGATGCAAGGTTTCGGGGTTGGCTTCGGAGTGGTGGTTGGTGCGGCGCAGCCTCCCTTTTTGGACGGAAGTGCCGCCGCCGACACCAAGACTAGTGCAAAAACTAGCACTCGCATGGCCATGGTTTGAGAGACTTGTGCTTGTCCTCTGGGAACCGAAACCTTTTTAAGCCGTTTTATGACGTTATCAAAACAATAAACATGACGGAAGTTAACAAATTGCGTCAAGACAATTTTATTGGTGTATTAGCCGCCGATGAACAAAAACAAACAAACAAATGTGGAATGAAATTTCTATCGATAAAAATTAGATCTCTGCAAAAAGCACGTTGCAAATGTAAAAAATAAATAAAAGTTTAATACTCTGAAAACATTTGAAAATAATTAAAATTTTAATTGTTATCAAATTTCGATTGTATTAATTTAAATATTGAAGAATTGTACTCTGATGAGGTATTTTCAATAAACTTAATAAAACATTTGAAAAGTACAAAATATTTAGACTTAATCCCTCTCAGCGACGGGTTTTAAGACAATAATCAATATGCAAAATTAATCAAATAATCTACTCTGAATTAAAAATTAAATTGATCATTTTCATCCATAATAAACTAATTGGCTCAGAACAACAGCATGTTTATTTTTAGGCACCATTGAGAGCAGTAATGATGTAGAAATAACGAAAGTATTTAGTATTTATTGAATTTTACACATTTTATAAGATATCACATTCTTTACACATTATTTTTTAAATTAATACAATTTTCCCAAATCACAGAGACACTTTTGCATATTTGATTTAAAGTATGTTTTTAAGTGGCAAGACAGCATTGAGGAACTTGGCAAATGAAACCATTATTTGGGGAACCAACACCATTGCAAGGAATCGCGTGCAGTGGGAAGCAAAGCATGGCACAATTGTCGGAGGATGGTTCAGGTGGAATGACCCACAGACTTTGATTCACTGGAGTTCCGTCTGTCCACCTCACGTCGGTCGTATCAAAATTGATGTCCGAGCCTCCAACCCAGTAGTGATCTATCAATTCAATATTGACAAAACATTGGGATTTAGTTTTAGGTTGACTCACAGTGATTATTTGGGCCGTCAGCCGATAGCCACAAATCATCATAAATCGCCTGATTATACACATTTGCTAAGTGCATGTTGTTGGTTTTGCAAAACTCATAGGCTTCTGACCAGGTTTTAACACTCTAAAGAATTGTCAATAATAATATATTTAAAATTGGAAAATAATATAATCTTACCCTATCAAAATAGTACAATCCGGTTTGCCTTTCCTCCAAAGTAAGATTTGCACCTGCGGATTTTTTTAATGTAAAAGAAAATATTTGAGGCATTGATTTTGATTTCATTTAATTTAAAGAGCGAAAAGTGATTTTTTTTTTAGTAACGCGATTGTAAATATGATGAAAATGTGCAAATACCTGCTTTGCTGCAGTCAACGGTACTTCCCTGCAGCATTGAAAATGACTAAATCAATTAAATTCAAAACTCTTGAAAATGATTTACATGATTTGCAAAGCACGGGTTCGGGATTGGCTTCGGAGTCGCGGTTGGTGCGGCGCAGCCTCCCTTTTTGGACGGAAGTGCCGCCGCTGACACCAGGACCAGTGCAAAAATTAGCACCCACTTGGCCATGGTTTGAGAGACTTGTGCCTGTCCTTTGGGTACCGAAAGGCCTTTTAAAGCCAGACCACTGCAGTGTTATCAAAGTCATAAAACCAAATGACGAAACGAATTGCAAATTGAACTGTGTGAGGATTATTGGCATAAATTACACAGAGAGAGTACCGAGTAAACGGATTACTGCTTTAATGCATGTTATTTAAAATTTCATTCGATAAAAAAATCCACACAACATCATAATAAAACTTGTTCGGTGAAGAAAATAAGCTTGCGAGAAGCCGCAACTTCTCAAAAGAGTTGAAAAAAAATTACCCACTATTGTATTTTTGCCACTGTATTATTTTATTATATCATAATTTTGTACACCTAGAGTGTTAAATATATACTTAATTTCATCCATGACCAAAAAATACCACATAGCAATAATTTTAAATTCAAAAGAAGAATTTTACCTATTGAATAAAAATAAAGTTTCATTAAATTATAATTAAATGGGCGCCAAAAATCTACAAATATTTAAATTTAAATCATATTTAATAAAAAAATGTAAAATAGAATTTTATATGGATATAAATTTTATATAAATATTATAAAAATCATTTTATAATAAGATAATTGTATAATTTGGTAACCACTTAATATTAAAGCGACACCAAACTATAAAATTTCATTTATTATGCTTCTTAAATAGTGGTGTGTCTGCATAATTTTTTTTATTTTTTATTATATACATATTATATGTAAATTTTATACATTTAAAGCTTTTTAAAAACATTTTGTGAGGATTTTTCCTAGTTCTCATAGACGTAATATATTTTATTATTTACAAGATTTAAACCCAATACCTAGTTTGCAACTAAAATCTATATTTTCCTTGATGTAGTGAATTCTGACTTACGTCAGTCAAATTATTTTGCTTCTTGGGTAATAAATTTTTGTTGCATTTCTCAATCTAATTACTTTGATAAGAATCTCTTGGAAACGTGCGCACAAAAAGCGCAGTAGGTAATTCCACGCGATAAATCTTGTTGCATTTTTCACTCGCGTCCGAATAAGCCTTTTATTACACCTGTCGCGCTACACGGACAATCTTTAAATGGTATTAAAGGTGAAATCTTGACGTGAGACTGAGGACCCTGGAGAGCAGAGATAATGTAGCAAAACTTCTACGATTTCCTGCGCCAAGAAACAATCCCTGCGGGCAGAAACTCTGGAGACTTTCTTCTCAGGCTCATTTTTCTAGTGAGAATCGCGATTTTCGGCACTTTTTATTAACAGCCCATTGTGGCACTTTTACGGGAATCGCAGCATAATTAGCTCTAATGCAAAATCACACCAACTTATTCTATTTTTTCCCGTTAACGCAAGAAGTGTTAACGAGCCGCAAAGCGTAGTTTCGCTCGCCACGGTCCAAGACGTGCATCCGCTAATTTACGCAGAGCACACTTTTCACAAAGTAACCGATATCGATGGGTGCTCTCTCGGTATAATGTGGAGAATAACTGACCATGCAACGGCGTGTCCTGCCGAAAAAGTCAATACACGTCCATTTTTCACTCGCCAATGACTTGCAGTTTGCTCAACGAGGCGCCGGAGAAGAATTTTATATACTCAGATACGCATCAGTGAAAATTATAATTTTCAGACTGGAAATTATGTAATTATGAAATCAATTGAAAATTCGCTCTTAAATGTAAAATCACGTGCTCGTGATGAGTCTTCAAAACTCTGTCATCCGTTAACAGAAAGATATTAAAAGATGCGATTAAATGTAAAAACTAAAAAGCTTTTTCCACATCAAAACTAAAAAACGTAGATGATTTAAAATTTCTGAATAGTTTGAAATTTAAAGATTTCGTTTTTCTAAGAAGAAATATTTTAGTTTTAAGTATTATCATTCTATACATACAAACACATGTAAAAGGCTGTGAAAATTTCTTTCAACTTTGAATAAAAAATTGCATTTGCCACGCTGTCCAAATTTTTCATCAAAAATAAATCACATTTTTTTTTTTATTTGAGTTTGTGTATTTCTTCAAAATTAGTCTTTTTAGCCACTCAGTTGCTCGAGCTTATAAACAAATCAAATTACTTCAAAATTTTATAAATCAAATTGATAAATACAAATTAAATTTTTTGCAGATACTAATTGTAAGCTAAAATGAAAGAAATTTATAAATTTAGTTCAATACAACCGAGTAAACAAATCAATGAAATCTCACGACTCACGATAATGGAAACAGAACTCATATAATATTATTTATTTTTTAGTTAGTATTTTATTGTTCAAATTTTTACTGTCAATATTTTTGTAAAATTGTCACATTCAAAATTTTTTCTTAGCTTAAAATTAATCCACAAGTGCACAAAATCTCAATTTAAAAGAACTAATTTGATATTTTATTTTAATAAATTTCACATGAAGAAAATTCACTGTTATTTTTTTCTGCCTAAAGTGCAATTTTAATGCTCCACATTTTTTTTTTCATATTCTGCCGGTATGATGCCTTCTCTTTATTCAGTTATAAAAATTCTATTAAAAATGCAGGTAGCATTGTTGATGTGATGAACCCATTTTTCCTGCAAAATGCAGGACCCGCTTGCGAATTAAGCGCGCGGTGGGAACACGGCGCCGTTGTCCGTCCCTTCTCGCGTGTGCATAAATAAAATTACCTGCGTGAATATGGAGCAGCTCGCGCAGTTAATTTAAAATGTATTATGGTGGCGCGGCGGCGAGTCATTGCTCCTCCGCCGAGATCGGTCCCGTTAAGCCTGCAGCAATGGGACACACGGCCAAGATCGCGCCGCGCGTGATTACGCTATTATGATTATATTCTATGGGTAAATCTGTTCGAGTGCAAATCAACAGGCGTTTCCCACGCATAAATACTCACGAGTGCTTCCGATAATCGAAACGAGCTTATAGGAAAGTGAGTTAATAGGACATGCTCGATTACGGGGGCAGTAGAGTCAGATCCATACATCATCAGTAAAATTAGATCAGATCTAATATTACCTTAATTTCATTTTAAGATCTTTTTCCCAATTAAAATTTTTTTAAATTTTCTTTAGTTCAAATTAGGAATGCGTAATAATTAATTATTACATAATTAAATAATTGTTTAAACTTTTTTTTTAAATCTCATTAAAAATAACTAGAGCTTTACAAAATCCCAAGAAATTTATTGAATTTCTGGTGAAAACAAAAATTTAATGCATTAGTTATGCGAAACATTATTTAAATATTATTTTAATTTTATTTGAACAATAAACTAAAATTTTATGAAGAATACGTTATAATCAAATATCCAATAAGTGATCTTTTTTCAATATCAATAATTAAAAATAAAATAAAAATAACTTTATTTTTATAAAAACTTTTATTATATAATATGAAATACATTAATATTAAAAAATTGTGTTTAAATATTTTTGCTACAAATATGCAATGCAACAATTTTTATTTTATTTATAAACTTTCTTGCTTAAAAAATTAAAATATCTTTAAACAATCACAATTAAAAATAAATAAATTGATTTTATTGTGAAAATATGGTACTTCAAAACTGATGCAGCAGATCTACTAAGCTTAAAAAGCTGTTATTTTAATTTTATTTAAAAATCTGTTTATATTTTTTAATTTTTAACATTATACATCAGGAATACATTATCATTTATTTAATTTAAAAGCATATTTTTATGAAAATTAAATAAAAAATTATTACAAATTAGTTCATTTTGTACTGAAAAAATGGCTTTCAAAATATTATTGCAGCAAATTTTCAAAATGTCGTAGAAAAGCTCAATATTTACGATATTTTAACATGCAAAAATATATTCTAAGAAAAAGATATTACGCAACAACTGTGTCCTCGCACAAGCCATTGTCATTTTCTAACAATACTCTGAATGCTCGAGTGCATTCGGTTTTCATAGGCATTCTCGCTAACATGCATATCGCCTATCCCGTTAAAATAGAGACGCATGTACGTGAATTGGTGGAGATAAGGATAATTTGCATGCGTTGCTTAATGAACCTTTGCTGCAGCCCGTCCTTTATTGCATAACACGCGTCTTCAAACAATGAAACTGCGATTTTCCTCGGCTCTTACAATTGGCACCGACACTCCTTGATCATGCAGCCTCTGCGATAAAATCGCACTGTAATTTCATACCCGATTTCAAATTCGATTGCTCAATAAACTTATCTCAAGTACTTATTAAAAGACAAACAATGAAAGTAATTTTCTGCATTTCTCCCATGAAAATTTTTACTCGATTGCCTGATTTCAAAATTTTTGAAGGCTAGCGTTGGACTATTTATTTATTTATTCATAAGTGATAGTGAAAGCGTGTGAGAATCTATAAAACTAACGTTCTCGTAAATTTGTTTCAGGAATTGCTTCTGGACCGGAATCTCTTGTCCGCTGTGCCGAGCGCGTCACTCAATGGCCCCAAGGCGCTTAAGGCGATCACGTTATCTCGCAATCGCATCGGTAATTACAAACAATTTCACTTGCATTAAGCAAACAACTTAATTTTGTATATCAGATAAGAAAAATTTCTTTTTTAAAGGGTAAAGCAAAATGAGATTATAAAATAATTAAGATTGAACTTTTTCAACTAAGCCACTCCTTGTGTAATTACAACAGAAATGCTTCTTACAATTTTTTTTTCTAATTAACTTTCAGACATCATCCGCCGTGATGGTTTTTGGGCTCAACCGCGCCTCGAGTTGGTTGACCTCAGCTCGAACGGAATTCGTGTGGTCGAAGGTGGTGCTTTTGTAGCGCTGACCCAACTTCGCGCACTCAGGTTGCCGCACAATCGTCTTACCAGGCTCAGCAGTGACACATTCCAAGGTTAATTTTAATATGAAAACTGAATTTCCCGAAATAAAAATTTATTATAAAGGCGCCGACAGCATGGAAGTTCTCGATTTGGCCGAAAACTTCTTGGGCGACTTCCCGACCGTGGCCCTGAAACCTTTGACCAAGTTGCGTGCCCTCAACCTTTCAGCCAACCTGATTCAAGTAATGTCTTAGCTAAATTAAATCCCGATAGGAATTCCAATAAAAATTCCTTCTTGCAGACGCTGAACAACGCCGATCTTGCTTCGCATCCCGATCTCGAAATTCTCGACCTGAGCCGCAACTCTTTAGCCTCTCTGGCTCCAGGCACTTTTGTCGGCCTCCGCAAGCTGCGCAAACTCTACCTGCACGTCAACTCATTGCGAACCGTAATTTTACTTTTTTGCTAATCGAATTCTTCTTAAATTAAATTATTTATTCCTCCAGATTGAGGACGATACATTTGAGGGTTTGGAAAAACTGGAATTTTTGTCTCTCGAGGACAACAATGTCCTTCTGGTGCCAACTTCCGCTCTGGGGCGACTACCCCGTCTTGCTGCCCTTAACCTCGGCTTCAACCGAGTTGCAGCTCTGAACGAGGCTTTGCTAAAGCCTGCTGCACATGTTCAGGTAAATTTAAAAAAAAAACTTTAATTGGATTAATTTATTAAAAAAATTAACAGATGCTTTCACTGCAATTCAACGTGATTCGTGAAATCCCCTCAAACGCCTTCTCCAACTTCTCGAGACTGACCAAACTTGACCTCGGCGGTAACCAGTTGCAAGTCGCGTCTCCAGCGACCTTTGCAGGCTTGGAAGCCACTCTTGAAGAGCTCATTCTGCAGGACAACAAAATCGTCAGCCTCAGTCCTTTGGCCCTGCCGGCTCTGAGGCGCCTAAGCATGGCCCGCAATTACCTCACCGAGGTGCAAGCAGGCGCCCTTCGACTTTTACCCTCCCTGGAAGAACTTGATTTGAGCGGCAACCCCAGGTTGACCAACCTCCCCCAGGCACCATTCGCAGGACTCGGAAGTTTGGCCATTCTCGACCTCAGCAACACCGGCCTGACTCAACTGACCCCTGGTCTGTTAGTAGGCCTCGGAGGCTTGCTGAATGTTAATTTGGCCAACTGCAAAATCACCGAGCTGCAGGAGAGGTCCCTGAGCGTTTTGCCTCAACTGGACACTCTCGACCTCAGTGGAAACGAAATCTCCAACATCAAGGCTGGGGCGTTTGACAACCTCCCTGCCCTCCGAGTGCTGAACATTTCCAAGAATAAGCTCAATTCCTTCAAGGGAGAAATCTTCCGACACCCTGAAAACAGGAGTTCAGCAATTGAGGATTTGGACTTGTCTGGAAATGACCTGCAGTATCTGTTTCCAAGCTCCTTCAGTTCGCACCCAAATTTGGTTCGAATGGCCGTCCAGAACAACAAGTTCACTTTCTTCCCATCTGAGCTTTTGTCAGGGTTGAGGAGGTTGGAGTTCATTGACCTGAGTGGCAACCAACTCTCTTCAGTGGACGAGCTCAATTTCGCCAGTTTGCCGAGGCTGAGGGAAATTATTCTGAAGGGTAACAAAATCGAGCATTTCAGTGAAGCCGCTTTCAGAAACTCGAGCCAAATTCAAATTATCGACATGTCCAGCAACAAGCTCAATAGGATCGAGGAAAGATCCTTTGAGGGCTTCAACCGTTTGATGCTCAACCTGGACAATAATCAACTGAATGATTTGCCAGAAACCTTGTTTGATAGAAGCAAAATTCACATTTTGGAGGAAATCAGTCTCGCTGGAAATAAATTTGAAATGGCTCCACTGCCAGCTCTCCAGCGCCAATACTTCTACCTGAATAAGGTCAACCTGGCCAACAACAAAATCATCAACCTCCCTGCTGACGACACCATGCTGGTCAATATAAAGAAATTCGACATCTCCTTCAACCCTCTCTCGACCGAGTCCGTCAACTCATTGCTGGAAGAGCCGAAAACGGTCAGGGAATTGAACCTGGCGGGAACTGGAATAAGGTCGCTGCCGGAAACACTGGAAACCCCATTCCTCAGGTCGCTCAACGTCTCGCAAAATCAAATCACCTCCATTCCAAAAACTGTTTTCTACCGCTCGACTCTGCTGGAAAAACTGGACATTTCCAACAACAGACTAAACAAAGCCACTCTCCCACCGTTGACAAACCTGCAGGAGCTGGACATGTCCAACAATCCTATTGAAATTGTTTATCCCACCGACCTGGCCAACATCACTAACCTGAAGGTGCTTAAGCTTAAAAACCTAGAAGTCTTGAGCCGACTTGAAGCTGGTGCTCTGCAACCACTGTCAAACTTAGAAGAACTAGAAGCCTACGGATACCCTCGTCTTGGATACCTGGATGTTAAGGTATGTAATCACCTATTTAAATCATTTTTGAAAAAGAAAAATAATAATAATATCTTTGGTTTTATAGGGAATTCTGTCAGTTCTTCCTCCACTCGAGAAGTTGGATATTGAAATGAAAGATGCTGCCCTGAGCGATCAGCTTGCCGCTGCTCGCCACCCTAGAATGAAGGAAATTGGACTTCGCGGACCTAGAGTGCAGCAGGTAAAATTAAAAATAATAATTAAAATGTGGAAATTTGAGGAAAAATATTATAACATTCAAAAATTATTAAAAACAAAAAAACCAATCCATTAAAATAAATAATTTAAAGAAAAAATCCCTGATTTTTTTTTATAATTTCACAGGTTGCATCTAGTGGACTTTTGGCCAGTATGACCGCGCCAACGTTGACAGTGAAACTTCGCGACACGGCCATCACTTCACTCCCACCATCCCTGCTCCTGCCAGTGCCTCGTTCCACGCAGCTCACCCTTGACGTTAGCGACAGCAAATTAACCTCCCTCGCCGGACCACTCCTCTCAGCCCTGGACTCGCGCAAAAACCGCCTAAACGTCGTCGGCGTCGACAGCAACCCCATCAAGTGCGACTGCAATTCAGTTTTGTTCCAAAGGTGGCTGCTTTCGCACCCTGACATGCCGGCCGTCAAGTGCGAAAGCCCAGTCGATCTTCAAGGAGAGTCTCTGCAGACCCTGCCAGAGGAAGAGCTGATTTGCGGCGTTCGCAGTACAAAACCACCCCCGACCACCACCACCTCCTCGACCACCCAAAGGGCAAGCACGACGGCCGAACCGGAAATCATCTGGTCAGTGGCGGCGACCACGACCAAGTCGAGGAACAAAGACCCTGAGACCACGCAGAGGCCGATCAAGTCGGCCGGAAGCTCAAGTTCAATCGCAAACGACGACACCCTTATCATCGGGATCGTCGGAGGGGTGGTCGCTTTCATTCTGCTCCTCATCATCATTATCTGCATCGCCAGGTGCAGAATGTCCAGTGCCAGCAGGTACCAGGGCGGACCCCTGGCGGCGCCACCCATGTTCCCGATGCCACCGTCGTGCACCTGCGTCAAACCACCCCCGTCCAGCATCTACATGAGTCCGTACAGTGCCAAGGGCTACCCTGCTGGTGGCCAACCCTACTACATCAGCTACCCTCCCGAGGAGATGAACATGCAGAACATGCACATGGACATGCATTACGCTGAAAGTGTGCGCGAAAGTATGCGAGGAGAGCAGCAGTGATTCCTGTTTTGACAGACACACTTTATCATTAGGTGAAAATGAAAATATTTATTGAATGCACAAACTGGCGGATCATCTCCAGTCCACATAGAAACAGAATCAAAAAGTTGAACAAACCCGCAGACCAAATACCACGATTTTATCTGATGTGTACAAAGCGTTTCCTTCCTAATCAGCTCGCATCATGTACATATAAACGTATTTTACAAATTCAGACTTTGATCAGGGGCATTGAAGTGGTGGAGGCATATCAATAGGGAAATACCTCAAAGTGCAATACGCGAGCGAATGTCTTGTTGTATGAAGTGAACGACATTATCAGTACGTGAGATTATTTGTATATAAGCAATAAAAAAATAATACTTTTCCAAGAGTAGCGAGTATCTTACTTCACTTAATTAATCCTGACCGGCCTTTTCTGCTCCGTCAGCTGAGCACAGTAGAATTTCTGTTCTTGCTTTACTTCTGCATGAGATTCATCTTCTCCGAGTTGAGGCATTGTCCATGAAAAGAGGGGATACTGGCTTGCAACAAAAGTTTGGTGCATTTTGGTCCCACCTATTTTCAGCTCCAGTTCCCAGCTACGAATCACTGGCTCGTAACTAAACGTGTAAAAAAAATTAATATATAGTTTATAATAACTAAATGAATTTTTACCTTGATATTATATGGACGAGGTGGAATGCCGACATCAATAGAGAAATATTGTCCAATACCGGAGTTTCCAAGCTTTTGATAAACATGTCGACAAGACCATCCTTCTTCAAGTGCAGCCACTCTTCAGCTCTCAAGACCACTTCAAATGCCTGGTGCACCTGAGAAAGCATTCTGATCGTCTCACTGTCGTCGAGACCTTGCAAGGCCTTGCTGATCACATTCAGGATCATCATCTCAGACTCTAAAATTTTCAATAAATATAAAATATTACACAGATTTGATTTCAAATTACGTTGAGCAATGAAAAGGAAATCCCTCTTGACTTTCAGAAGGCCAATTTGCATCATGTACGTAAGAGTTTGCTTTGGCGTTGGGACGGAAATCAGAGTAGCATCTTTTGATTTAAACAAACCAACGCAAATTTTCCCCAGGTCGCTGTTGTTGCACGATTGGATCTGGAAGAAATCATTTCAGGATTAACATAAAATTTAGGTTTCAATATTTAAATTCTACCAAGAAATCGTGAATCACACTATGCTTCATCACATTCTCAATTTCAATTGCAACGTCGTTGATCATGGAGATATCTGAAATTTGAAAAGATTTTGGGCATCGAGAAATTCATTTAACACTAAAAATTTACTTTTGATAGAGTTCCAAACTGCGTCGGTCAAGTCTGAGCAAGGTCGATGCCCATCGCCAACAATTTTGAACAGGTTGCTGAGCGACTCCAAATCTGTTTCAGTATCAAGATCAAGATTGGAATTCAGCATTTCTAGGATAGTTTGGCCAGTTGGCTCTGCATCGACGCAGGGCAAAGAAACGCTGGGGTCAACTGAATCTTGCTTTAAGATTCCTGAAATATACTGTAGCAGATGGATCTCTTCCCAAATCTTTCCTGTCTGCCAGTGAGAGTAGTTGTTTTGCAGGGTGATTTCCTACATTTCTAATTTTATTATTCAATGATTTAAAAGTACTTTTAAAACTTACAATTTTGGCTTCGGTGCCAGCCAACTGAGTAGTAGGAATGTCAGAGTTGAAATTTTTTGGATTGGCCCATGCCATTTTGACGTGAAAACAGTCTGCCTTAGGATCAGTGCCTTCTTTCAGGTGAGTTTGTTGCAAATACTCTGCTCGCAAAACTGAACTTTCCTGAAATTATATGAATATAAATTTGTGTAAAACCAAATTTTTTTGTATAATGTCGTACAAGTTCAGCGCCGGAGTTTATGACTTGATTGAAAATTTTCTCTCTGACAACTTTCATATCACTGGCATTCAGATTTCCCAAAGACTTTGCCTCAAGGGTAGTGTCACTGATGCACGTCAACGAGCCAGAGCCAAAGAGACAGGAGGAGAGAACTGTTGGGCCCCCAATGCAAACGACGATCACTGAAGCCAAGTCGTGTTGACTGAATTGGTTTGCTCGGCAGAACTTAGCAACTTCCATGCCATACCAAAGCATGATGTTTCTAAGGAATATAATTTTTTTATTATTAGAAATAACTCAAAGGAATGATCAAACCTGGCCAGCTGAACAGGCAAGGGCGTGTAGATGTCAAGGGGGAAGAAATTCTTGTTCAGAGTTGTGAGTTTCGAGTTGAGCAAGTCCATTTCCTCCTCTGTGAAGGGGCATTCCAAGGGACAGCCCTCAATTTCAAGTCCAACGGGGGCTACGACTTCCTGCTTTTCAGAGTTGACATTTGCCTGAAAAATATTTTACAAATTCTCATTATTATTAAAAATTAAAATCATCAAATTTTAGAACTAACGAGTGGGTCAATTTTGTTGACCACAGTGTTTGAGATGACTAAGAAGCGGCCGTTGCAGTGGGCGTTCAAGACCCTCATGAAGCTGGGCGGATGGTCCACCAGAGTGATCAGAGGTTGACATTCTTTGAATGATTTGCTCCATTCCAATCGGTGCTGCTGAATTAGACCCTTGAGAAGGTTCATTTGCAGAAAGGCCGCTCCGTCATCTCTGCTGAATTTGACATCTCCAGACTTAGCCTTCATTTTTGCAGGGTCTTTAGCAAATTTTCTAAAAATAGATTGATTCGGCTCAATTTGTCATCACATTATGATATTAGGTACAAATATCCAAAAAAATATTTACCAACCTACCACCTGTCAATGTCAACAATTGCGTGCTTTACGCGGGCTGTGAGCGGCTGAGCACTCTTCTTTAAGTGTACCAACATGACAAGTAGATTAGCAATTAGCGGCAATTAGTTTGAAACTGGTAAATAGGTAAATTATTGAAAATAAACTACATAAAAAAATTTTCACTCAAATTGAATGATGATAAATTATAATTTATGTATTTAACGCTATGATTGTTATAATTAATTTTTTGCGATTAATTCTATCACTTTTGCTATTTTGCCTCTCAGCCGGCAAGTGCTTCAGCCACGCCCCTGTCACTGTGCCACTCAAAACAAACTCAAAACTCAAAAATCCACCTACCAATTTAAATGTAAATACAACTATGTAGTAAAAATTAAACCAACATAAATAAGACCTGGCTAAATGGTATTAACTATAGCCAATTAAATCAAAATTCAACAACAACAACAACAACCAATTCTTTTGCATCCTCGGGCTCGGTTCAAAACCTAAATAAGATTAAATTGTGAATTAATAGGTCTTGGTCGAGTCGAAACGAAAGGCGAAAGCCTCTGAAAACACTGAAAAAGAAAGACAAAGTTTGGCACTCGATATAATGCAAGTAAAAAAAAATTTAATTTATATAACATATTTTTATTATTCAAGATAATAATATAATTAAAATAATAATCTGTTGTTGTTTTCAGTTTTTAACGGAAGAACTATGGTACTTGAGAACTTGTTCAGCTCTCAAAAGGAGGCTCATCCACGACCTTAGCCAGATCTGATACATAATCTTTTCAAGCCGTAAGTTTTGAACCATAAAAATATAAATTCTCAATACATACATCATGACATTCCATCATGATATTCCAACTCTTGTTCCATTCCATTGGAAACTTAGCATTGTCTTCTTTTTGGGTAATTTGCAATGAGTCCCTTAAAATTCTTAAAATTGTTTTCACTACCTCAAGTACTCCACACTAACTTGGACTAAAATGGATGGTCACTCAACCAAAACTATTTTCATTTAATGGTCGAAAAATGTTGGATCAAATAAATTACTAGAGAGTCTTGGCAATGCTATGGTAGAGAAAAATTACAATCAAAATCGATTGGACGGTTTTTGTTTGTGTGCCAAAGCCGCTCTTCTTAATTTGATGTAAGACGTTAATTTATTTTCAATTAATTGAAAGGAGATAACTTTTTTTAGTACACACCACCTGCGCCTGCATTGTTTAAAAGTAGGCAACCTGTCCAGTATTACTGATCTGAAGAGTTGCACACTTAAAACTTTGCAGGGGCTAAATCCATTAGCATACAAATATAAAACTTTTGCGTTGTAAGTACAAAATTATGTTTTTTAAAGTTTCCATAATAAGTATTCGATACATTATAAGAAATGGCTCTCTCGAAAATAAAATTATCAAAGTTTGCTGCTGATCCAGTCAGGCGGGATGCGAACATATTCTCTGGTGACGGCGTCTATTGAAGTGGTCCCTGCATAAAAATTAATATTAATTTCCCACTCATTATATTATAAACAAGATATATTCACCAGTGAGCACCATGGTCACTTCCAACTCCCTTTTCAAGATGTGCAGAACTCTTTCCACGCCTTCTTGCCCGCCACACGCCAAACCCCAAATCGCTGGTCTCTTGACGAACACCATTTTTGCGCCGAGTGCGATCGCCTTGAAAATATCCGTTCCTGTCGACACTCCACCGTCAATGTAAACCTCGCAATTCGTACCTTTTAGATTTTCGACAATCGCGGGAAGAACTTCCAACTGCAAAGAATATTTTATAAAATAATTTATCTTTTAACGTATTCCTTTTTATAATTACTGGAGATGGAACAGTATCAATTTGCCTTGCGCCGTGGCTGGAAACAACAATTCCTGCTGCTCCGTGCTCCACCGCCAACAGAGCATCTTCCACTGTCAAAATACCCTTCAGAATGATTGGCAACGATGTAATCCTTATTTAAATTAATATTAATTTTAAATTTGAAACTTTTAACTTTTTTCTTACGATTTCAACCAGGCAATATCTTTCCAAGAAAGACTGGAGTCCAGCAAGCTTGCCACATATTCGTTCACGCCCGACCCTTCGCCGCTGGAGGTCATGTCACTCCTCGTTATTCCTTTGAAGTTGGCGACCCTACAAATATTTTGTGAATCATAATTTAATTTTTAATTTTTATTTTTACTCAAATTGCGGCGGTAGGGAAAATTTATTTCTCGCGTCAGCGTATCTAATTCCCAAAATGGGCGCGTCTACTGTGAGGACGAGCGCCTCAAAGCCAGCGTTTGCTGCCCTCTTGACCAACTGCCTGGTGACCTCCCTGTCCTTGTAAATGTAAAGCTGGAACCACTTGCGTGCTGTGGGCGCCGCTGCCGCCACGTCTTCGAGGGATGTGGTGCTCAGAGTGCTCAGCACAAAAATCGAGCCTAGTTTTTCAGCAGCTCGGGCGTTTGCGATTTCACCCTCGGGGTGTGCCATTCTCTGAAGGGCGGCTGGTGCCACTCCAAAGGGCATAGGTGTTGACTTGCCGAGGACGGTGCTGGTCAAGCAGCACTTTGATACGTCTCGCAGCACCCTTGGCTTCAGTTGCACCCTAATAAATATAAATCTATTTTTCTTACATGTTTCATCATTTTTTTTAAATTAATTAGAAATATTTTTTTTAATGACCAGGCCAAGACAAGAATCTATGCCCTTTTATAGTAATACAGAAGGCAACACCAAATTTTATCCTTATTTAGAGAAAAAATTTCTTTTTCTTCTTCATTTTTTTTTTAAGAGAGAAATTAGCTTCTTGAACGCATTTATAAATGGCATGGCGCGAATTTCCGACCGTGGCGCACCCATATTTTTTGCAACATCGTCGAGATAACCAACTTTTTACCTCAGATACGCGTCTCGTGCACCTTGAAGAGAATTTTCATGTCCTGCGCCCGATTTGTAATAATCCAATGGATGTTTCTCTAGAATTCCAGCTGCCCTTTCTTCAAAGTCTTTGACACAAACAAGGCTGTCAAGCGTTGCCATCTTACTGCAGAGTGTAATTCAGCTACGTCGTTTTTATCTCTTGAGAGAGTGAAATCAACCTTCCAGCGCCTGTAGTTCGTCAAAATACATATATTATTATGTAGGAATGTGCAAAAACATTAGCAATTATAGACTAGAGGAGCGAAAAAACCGGTCCTATTCTCCCCGCCTCGAGAAAAACGTTTTGAAACTCCTAATTTAATTTACTTGTTAACCAAGTGTAAAATGAAAGAGGTATTTATTCTGGATGAAACAATGTTGGTTCAATAATAATGAACTCTAACGTTTTTATTAATTAATATTACGTAAAACTAGAGGAATGAATTATTATTAAAAAATTTAAATTAATCAGTACTATTTTAATTGCAAAAAAATTATCATATTTTAATTACTATAAAAAAATTCCAAATTTTCAGAGCCCGAATAAAATCTACATGTAAACAAAAATTTGGCTGTGGTGGGATTACTGAGATTTGAACCCCCATAAGGTGCTCAAAAAAGAGAATAGAAATTAGGAAAACCAAGGAATTATCATCAACTTTTTCAACCCAAAGAAATTTGATCACTGCAATTAAGTGAATTGATATTGAGTTAAATATGCGAGTGGAGTGTGCTCAACATGGATGTTAATTAATTATAAACATCTGTAAAAAATTAAGGAAAAAAATTGTATCATCATCTGATAGCCCGGTGACCGGTAATTATAGCATCAGACAATATTCAAGTCTTTTACAAATTTTAAATAAATTACTTTTAAAGCAAACGTAATTTAATTAAGCCACTTCCAAAAGTTCATGAGCCCTGAACTCGTCAACCCTGAACTCGTCAACCCTGACCTCGTTAGCCCTGAACTCGTTAACCCTGTACTCGTGAACGCTGAACTCGTGAACACTGAACTCGTGAGCCCTGAACTCGTGAGCCCTGAACTCGTTACCCCTGAACTCGTGAAACCTGAACTCGTGAACCCTGAACTCGTGAACCCTGAACTCGTGCGCCCGTGCACCCTGAACTCGTGAACACTGAACTCGTTAGCCCTGAACTCGTGAACCCTGAACTCGTGAACACTGAACTCGTGAGCCCTGAACTCGTTAGCCCTGAACTCGTCAGCCCTAAACTCTTGAACACTGAACTCGTTAGCCCTGAACTCGTAAGCCCTGAACTCGTGAACACTGAACTCGTTAGCCCTGAATTCGTTAGCCCTGAACTCGTGAACCCTGAACTCGTGAACACTGAACTCGTGAACCCTGAACTCGTGAGCCCTGAACTCGAGAACACTGAACTCGAGAACACTGAACTCGTGAACACTGAACTCGTGAACCCTGATCTCGTGAGCCCTGAACTCGTTGGCCCTGAACTCGTGAACCCTGAACTCGTGAACACTGAACTCGTGAACCCTGAACTCTTTAACCCTGAACTCGTGAACACTGAACTCGAGAACACTGAACTCGTGAACACTGAACTCGTGAACCCTGAACTCGTGAACACTGAGCTCGTGAGCCCTGAACTCGTGAGCCCTGAACTCGTTACACCTGAACTCGTGAACCCTGAACTCGTGAACACTGAACTCGTGAGCCCTGAACTCGTTAGCCCTGAACTCATGAGCCCTGAACTCGTTAACCCTGAACTCGTGAGCCCTGAACTCGAGAACACTGAACTCGTGAACCCTGAACTCGTGAACACTGAACTCGTGAGCCCTGAACTCGTTAGCCCTGAACTCGTCAGCCCTAAACTCTTGAACACTGAACTCGTTAGCCCTGAACTCGTTAGCCCTAAACTCGTGAACACTGAACTCGTGAACCCTGAACTCGTTAGCCCTGAACTCGTTAGCCCTGAACTCGTGAACCCTGAACTCGTTATCCCTGAACTCGTTAGCCCCGAATTTGTGAACCCTGAACTTGTGATAACTGAACTCGTGAGCCCTGAACTCGTAAACCCTGAACTCGTTAACCCTGAACTCGTGAACCCTGAACTCGTGAACCCTGAACTCGTGAACACTGAACTCGTGAACCCTGAACTCGTTATCCCTGAACTCGTTAGCCCCGAATTTGTGAACCCTGAACTTGTGATAACTGAACTCGTGAGCCCTGAACTCGTAAACCCTGAACTCGTTACCCCTGAACTCGTGAACCCTGAACTCGTGAACACTGAAATCGTGAGCCCTGAACTCGTTAGCCCTGAACTCGTAGGCCCTAAACTCGTGAACACTGAACTCGTTAGCCCTGAACTCGTGAACCCTGAACTCGTGAACACTGAGCTCGTGAGCCCTGAACTCGTGAGCCCTGAACTCGTGAGCCCTGAACTCGTTACACCTGAACTCGTGAACCCTGAACTCGTGAACACTGAACTCGTGAGCCCTGAACTCGTGAACACTGAACTCGTGAGCCCTGAACTCGTTAGCCCTGAACTCGTGAACCCTGAACTCGTTAACCCTGAACTCGTTAGCCCTGAACTCGTTTACCCTGAACTCGTGAACCCTGAACTCGTGAACACTGAACTCGTGAAACCTGAACTCGTGAACCCTGAACTCGTTGGCCCTGAACTCGTTAGCCCTGAACTCTATAGCCCTGAACACGTGAACACTGAACTCGTGAGCCCTGAACTCGTGAACACTCAACTCGTTAGCACTGAACTCGTAAGCCCTGAACTCGTTAGCCCTAAACTCGTGAACACTGAACTCGTTAGCCCTGAACTCGTTAGCACTGAACTCGTTAGCCCTGAACTCGTCAACCCTGAACTCGTGAACACTGAACTCGTGAACACTGAACTCGTGAACCCTGAACTCGTTAGCCCTGAACTCGTTAGCCCTGAACTCGTTAGCCCTGAACACGTGAACACTGAACTCGTGAGCATTGAACTCGTTAGCCCTGAACTCGTTACCCCTGAACTCGTGAACCCTGAACTCGTGAACACTGAACTCGTGAGCCCTGAACTCGTTAGCCCTAAACTCGTTAGCCCTAAACTCGTGAACACTGAACTCGTTAGCCCTGAACTCGTTAGCCCTGAACTCGTTAGCCCTGAACTCGTTAGCCCTGAACTCGTGAATCCTGAACTCGTGAACCCTGAACTCGGGAACCCTTAACTCGTTAGCCCTGAACTTGTGAACCCTGAACTCGTGAACACTGAACTCGTGAGCCCTGAACTCGTTAGCCCTGAACTCGTTAGCCCTGAACTCGTGAACCCTGAACACGTAAGCCCTGAACTCGTTAGCCCTGAACTCGTTAGCCCTGAACTCGTGAACCCTGAACTCGTGAACACTGAACTCGTGAACCCTGAACTCGTAAGCCCTGAACTCGTTAGCCCTGAACTCGTGAACCCTGAACTCGTGAACACTGAACTCGTGAACCCTGAACTCGTAAGCCCTGAACTCGTTAGCCCTGAACACGTGAACACTGAACTCGTGAGCCCTGAACTCGTTAGCCCTGAACTCGTTAGCCCTAAACTCGTGAACACTGAACTCGTGAACACTGAACTCGTTAGCCCTGAACTCGTTAGCCCTGAACTCGTGAACCCTGAACTCGTTAGCCCTGAACTCCTGAACACTGAACTCGTTAGCCCTGAACTCGTCAGCCCTGAACTCGTGAACCCTGAACTCGTTAGCCCTGAACTCGTGAACCCTGAACTCGTTAGCCCTGAACTCGTGTACACTGAACTCGTTAGCCCTGAACTCGTTAACCCTGAACTCGTGAACCCTGAACTCGTGAACCCTGAACTCGTGAACACTGAACTCGTGAACCCTGAACTCGTTATCCCTGAACTCGTTAGCCCTGAATTTGTGAACCCTGAACTTGTGATAACTGAACTCGTGAGCCCTGAACTCGTAAACCCTGAACTTGTTACCCCTGAACTCGTGAACCCTGAACTCGTGAACACTGAAATCGTGAGCCCTGAACTCGTTAGCCCTGAACTCGTAGGCCCTAAACTCGTGAACACTGAACTCGTTAGCCCTGAACTCGTTAGCACTGAACTCGTTAGCCCTGAACTTGTTAGCCCTGAACTCTATAGCCCTGAACACGTGAACACTGAACTCGTGAGCCCTGAACTCGTGAACACTCAACTCGCGAGCCCTGAACTCGTTAGCCCTGAACTCGTTAGCCCTGAACTCCTGAACACTGAACTCGTTAGCTTTGAACTCGTCAGCCCTGAACTCGTGAACCCTGAATTCGTTAGCCCTGAACTCGTGAACCCTGAACTCGTGAACCCTGAACTCGTGAACCCTGAACTCGTGTACACTGAACTCGTTAGCCCTGAACTCGTTAACCCTGAACTCGTGAACACTGAACTCGTTAGCCCTGAACTCGTTAGCCCTGAACTCGTGAACACTGAACTCGTGAACACTGAACTCGTGAACACTGAACTCGTTAGCCCTGAACTCGTTAGCCCTGAACTCGTGAACCCTGAACTCGTTAGCCCTGAACTCGTGAGCCCTGAACTCGTTAAACCTGAACACTCGAGCCCTGAACTCGTTAGCCCTGAACTCGGTAGCCCTGAACTCGTGAACCCTGAACTCGTTAGCCCTGAACTCGTTAGCCCTGAACTCGTGAGCCCTGAACTCGTTAACCCTGAACTCGTGAGCCCTGAACTCGAGAACACTGAACTCGTGAACACTAAACTCGTGAACCCTGAACTCGTGAACACTGAACTCGTGAGCCCTGAACTCGTGAGCCCTGAATTCGTTGGCCCTGAACTCGTGAACCCTGAACTCGTGAACACTGAACTCGTGAACCCTGAACTCGTTAACCCTGAACCCGTGAGCCCTGAACTCGAGAACACTGAACTCGTGAACACTGAACTCGTGAACCCTGAACTCGTGAACACTGAACTCGTGAGCCCTGAACTCGTGAGCCCTGAACTCGTTACCCCTGAACTCGTGAACACTGAACTCGTGAGCCCTGAACTCGTTAGCCCTGAGCTCGTGAGCCCTGAACTCGTTAACCCTGAACTCGTGAGCCCTGAACTCGAGAACACTGAACTCGTGAACACTGAACTCGTGAACCCTGAACTCGTGAACACTGAACTCGTGAGCCCTGAACTCGTGAGCCCTGAACTCGTTACCCCTGAACTCGTGAACCCTAAACTCGTGAACACTGAACTCGTGAGCCCTGAACTCCTTAGCCCTGAACTCGTGAACCCTGAACTCGTGAACCCTGAACTCGTGAACACTGAACTCGTAAGCCCTGAACTCGTGAGCCCTGAACTCGTTAAACCTGAACACTCGAGCCCTGAACTCGTTAGCCCTGAACTCGGTAGCCCTGAACTCGTGAACCCTGAACTCGTTAGCCCTGAACTCGTTAGCCCTGAACTCGTTAGCCCTAAACTCGTTAGCCCTGAACTCGTTAGCCCTGAACTCGTTAGCCCTGAACTCGTGAGCCCTGAACTCGTTGGCCCTGATTTCGTGAACCCTGAACTCGTGAGCCCTGAACTCGTTAGCCCTGAACTCGTTAGCGGGTTGCAACCCTAATTCATGAGCAAGAAATGAAATAAGCTGACATTTTACTAATTTTAATTTCATTTTGAAAAATTAAAATGCACATTCCAAAAAATTTTGAAATATTAAATTATAATATTTTTATCCTTAATTTTTAATTAAGAATATTGGAATTAATTTAGTTTTAAGAATAAAATTTCCAAGCAAATTCAACAAAACACAATTCGAACGATACTGATTTGGGATTTAAATCCCCAAATCAGTTTCGGTTCGTCTTCCGACTAGAAAAGAGTTACGCACTTTTTCACACATTTCACAATTTTGTGTTTTGTTGAATTTGTTTGGAAAATTTATTCTTAAAATTAAATTAATTCTAACATTCCATAGTTTAAAACTTAGGAGAAAAATATTTTAATTTGATTATTTAAATTTTTTAAATATTATCTGCATTTTTTTAAAATGTTGTTAAAATTGGTTAAATGTCAGCTAATTTTATTTCAAAAGCTCGTGAATTAGGGTTGCAACCCGCAACCGAAACTAGAAGGGGCAAAAAAATTATTTTCACCGCTCAAACAGGTTGTAGTGATGGCCTCCATGTTAATCTAATGCCTCTTTAGTTTGAGATGTTTATCTTCTTAATTTTTTTTTAGCAAAAGGTCAGTAATTTGTCAGAAAAACATTAATTTTTGGACACCACCCGTAAGCAAAACTTGGGTTTGTTAACAACTCGTCCCTTAAGTGCGCATGTGCTAATCAAAAAGTGCTGCCAAGACAGCTCGCGAGCTCGCTGAGGGAGCTTGCTGTCTCAGCAAACCACTTCACTCTCCACGTCCCGTCTCGTGATTCCGTCCCGTCCCGTGTTCTGTTGTGTCCCGTCAGTCTCACGCAGTGAGTCCGTTGTCTCAAGGTAAGACTAAAACAATTACGTATAAATCGTGCGTTTTAAAACGAGCCTCTATTATTTAGTTTCTAAAATTAAAGCCTTTTAATTACATAAAATATTATTTTAATACATAGGTCTCCTCGAGACGCTTTATATATTTTTTTTATAATAAAAATATTTCAGCGAGATATGGTCTTAAAATTTCTTTTTATAATTTAAGTAAAAATTAATTGAAGAGTAAAAGGCCTCCGCTCCGCGCAGTCAAGAATGTTTTGCCGCCCATGAAATTTAAGCGATGCGCAGCGTGCAAGACATTCTCCTTGGCAGCGTGATAGAAGCATCATTAGTGTCGCATACGAAAATGTTGGTTTCTGTTTTCTCGCACAGCAGAACCGCAAATCACTTTGCATTCCAACAAAGGCGCTTTATTTTACTTGCCTTCGTTCGCAATAATCTGCATGAAGCAGTTGAATAACGCACGATCACGGTCATATTACGCATCCCTGTGGTTCGCTTCATGAGTTCTGGAAATTTTCAGATATAATTTTAAATACCATTCGGAAATATTCGTAATGTCGTGTGTTGCTATGCCAAAGGAGCTAGGCCTCCTAATTTTTAATTAGACATTTTCACATTTTAAAGCGTAGTTGTTATACATACTAGAGGTATCAGAGCTTTTTCGCTCTACACTTTTGAGCGGAGCGCATGCAGGATTTTTGAAATCCTGATGAGCGCACTTGCTCTGTGCTCATATAAATGTGCTCGCAGGAAGTCGAAAAAACTTACATTTTATAATTTGACTGTGCATTTTAAATTTTAATGATTTTCATTAATAAGAATTATTTTAAATATTTGTTGAGTATTTAATTAATTCCCTGCCGCTTCGTATGTTAGTCCGGCCGTGTCTGATCCAAAGATTTCTTCATATTTTTTGTTCCCATTATTGGCTCTGAAAATAATATAAATTTAGTTTTTAACACTTGTCAGTCTTATAGATTTATACCGATTTCTACAATTTTTAATTGTGGTAAAAATGTTTATATATAATAGTTGATTGTCTTAAAATAAAATTTTGTAAGTTTGACTAAAAAAATTTTTGGATAGGGCATAAAAAAATTTAAATTTTATTTACCTGTGTCTAGTATGCATAAGTGTGCTAGTGTGCCACTTGAATCCTTCAACAAATACCCACTTTGTTGTGTTTTTGGACGGACAGCTGTGCTTGCAAGTATTATACGAATGTGCAACTCGACAAGTGTGTGTCGGGTGCAAATGCTTTGTTATATTATTTAAATTAAAATAATGATTTTAATTAATAAAAAACAATCCAAACCAAGATGAAAGTCTAGTATCTAAGCTTCATTTGAACAAAGCAATACGCGATAAAAAATTTAAAAAAAAATTGAAGAAGTTGTTTTTGCCATGTTTTAATTACTAATTTTATGCATTAACTCAAAATTCGGTTGGCAAAATTTTTCTCACATCTCACATGGCCAAAAAATGTAAACAAAAATGATGGGCACTGCCACGAATGGCATGATGGTCCAGGGCGACCTCAGGCTCATCAGGACGTCGATTTTAAAGGACTCTCTTGACAAAAGGTAGGAAAACCTTGCCCTGGAGGACCCGCTGTTAGAGCGCATGCGCGGCGTTCTGGCTTGTAGTTTCACACACGAAACTCCTCGTACTGCGTGTGCTGGCGTAAGCACAAGGCTCTCGTGCGTCGCCAACATGTATTTTTTGCAGCGACCCTCAATTGCAGTAATTTTGAAGAAAAACGCGACTTTAAAAAAAAAAAAATTACTTTCACGACTATAAAATGACTGTAGAGTTAAATTTCGTGGAAAATTCCGCAGGGGTTTTATGGTCACTTTTTCTCAGTCGGCCGCCCAACGATGCACCGAAGCCGTGATTTCAACGGGAAAGTTTTAGGTGAGTAATTTTTTTTAAAAAGTTTTTATCATATCTGAAATTTGTTGTTAAAAGAAGTTTATTCTCTTAAAAGTTATTTTTAAGGTTTTCTCGAGGATGGGCAGCAAAAAGGAAAGAGACTGAAAGATGAAATTGACCGGAATTCTTTCCTTGTCCTGCCCCCGGAGCGCAGCTATTAGGCGCATATCTCGATTCAAGAATTCTAAAACTCAATCACAAAAAATAAGACGAAGCGGGACTGCAAAAGGAAAAACTAAATTAAAATGTAAAGGAATTTTGGTGCTCAGTCATCTATTTCTTCGCCAACGGAATTGCAATAAGAAGTTGGTTTTATTCCACATTTTAATAAATAATTTCGCAGACATTTTATAAAGTGAAAAGTGCAAAGTATAATTTCTGTTGTAAATTTATGCATTTGCAGGCCCTGCTCACTCTCACTCTGCAGATGTCAACACAGGATTTACTCGGATGCAGCCCTGTTTTCTGTAAATAAATCTAGTGAACAGAGTGACTAAGAAGAAATTCTGCTTGAGAAGGATTTTTTTACTGGCATAACATTTCATCGCTCCGCAGTATCTGAGTCTGGAGTCTGGATTTTTAGCCTCAACAAAAAAAGTATGCTTTTTTTAGTAAAAAAAAAATTAAAATTGCATTTCTTAATAATCACCTTATCATTTAAATTACCATGTATTTTTAGGACGCGCAGGAAAACTTATGTGATTCAGCGAGTAAATATAGAAATAAATCTTTCCGACAAAAAAGGTTTTTGGGCGAAAATTTGATGTCAGTTGCAGAGGGCAAAGGTTATTTATTTTAATCTCTCTTTAAATTTTAAACTAAAAAAGAGACCATTTTCAAATTAATACATCCTCTGTCTCATATAGGAATTTTCCTGCCTTTCCTACTAGAGAGAAGACATTTTCTCGCAGCCCGTGCTACTTACAAGAATATTTTGGCGCAGTTTGACAGCGACTCGAGAAAATTTATAAATTTGTGAGACTATTTTTTGGGTTAAGAAAAAAAATAAAATGTTATTGTCAAATATGTACTTAAATGTATGACTTGAGTTGAATAAACAACAATATAATGTAAAATACAAAGATAATTTTCATTCCAGAGTAATTTGTCTGCACAGAACTCGTGAGTATCTTCCAAATATGTTTTTAGGGATTTCATTTATGTTGTGACCAGTTGTGACTATTTTCATTTAAATTCCTACTCTTAATGATTTAGAAAAAGTTTTTATTACAAATAGAATAGGGATTGGGAATTAAATATATTTCAGAAATGTAAATATACTTTCATTATAATTATTTATAAAAAAAGCTATAAAGTATTGAGTTTTTCATATTTGAAACTTTTAATTATAAGTAAATTAAGTTTAAAACTACTTTTAGAATAATTTAACAACATATCACAACAATAAATGGGTCCATATCACTTTATTTGGAAGATCTGCAAGTTTTTGCAGGCAAATTTAAACCCCTTATAATGTGGTAAATGAGATAAAACAGTAGAATTAAAAATAAATGTGAAATCAATTATGCATTAATGCACAATTAATTTTTTTTCATTAATGTGCTTAATTAATTATGCTTTAATTAAGAAGCGTTACACGCAATTAATTGCAAATTAATGGGATTAATTAATGCCTAATTTTATATAATTAATGAAAAATTAATTAATCATTATATTTTGCTAAGTGGGGTCATTAAAATTTATTAATTAGTTGCGATTAATTGTAGATTCTAATCAAATTATTAATTTGTATTTTAAAAATATATTTTAATTTTTTTAATTACCCTTCTAAATATTCTTTAATCCGATAAATGATCAAAGCAAATAATTTTTAACTTCTATTATTAACAAAATTCAAAAATAAAAAAAATTTGTTAATTGAGAGACTACATTTCTTTTTCATAGGTCTCATCTGAAGAGTCTAATATGGCGGATACTGATAATTCTGCAGCGGACAAAATAATACTTGGTCTTCAAAACACTTCAGTAAAATTTTACTAATTTCTTGGAATTCAATTTTAAAGATTTTTTTCTTAAATTGCAGCTTCCAGAGGAGGATAACATTCCGGACGACATAATGCAGAGAGCAGACGATGTTTTGGCGGCAATACATTTGACCGAGCAAGAAGGCCACAAATTAGCCAACAATGTCATGAGCCTGTTGGTTTTTGTTTTAAATGCATTCGGCCCAATTCGCAGTGTAAAGGCCCAAGAAGCGTTCATTGTCAGGCTCACTTTAACTTGCAAGGCAATCAAGAAGTTCGGTACGAAAAATGACTTTTATACAATAGCGACAGTTATACACGTTTGTTTGTCAACTTTGAATTTGTTTTTATTTTCAAAATAATTTATTCTCAAATTTAAATTTTTGTTCTTGATTTAGTCTTTGAAGGTCAAGAGACAAAATGTAGCGTGAGGAATTGTACGCGAGAAGCGAAGTACAAGGCGAGCGCCGAGCTGTCATGCAATGTTATACTGTCAATACTGCATCCGAAACCCAGATGGCCTTCGTTGTCAAGAGGTGGGCTGCACTTGGACTGGCAAGCAAAACTCTTGTTGCATTGGAGCCACCGTAAGTTTTATTGATTATTTTAAATAATTATTATCAATAAAATAATGTCAAGTGCTTTTATAATTCTCATACCTGTTTTTGCTTTTATACGAAAAAGTTTGTTATATTTTTGTGCCATGAAATTTATTAAGAAAAGAGTCCTTTTATAATGAGATTTTTCAAATTTTTATTTGCAGAGTTCAAGCTACTCCGGCTTTAGACCCAAATATTAGCCTTGACCCTGTGACCTACCTTGAAGCACAGCTAGCCTCAACAACAGTAAATAGCGCCACTGCGAGCTCATTTATTGATTTTAATTAATTCCAAATTTCTTGTTTTAGCTGACGCAACACCCACTCTCACCTGACGTTGTAGATAAGGCCAATGGCCTTCTGGCGTCCCTGCTTACTGTCAAACTTGCACCTGAGGCCAAAATCGACAATGCATTCAACTTTGTACTGAAACTAATGGACATGTACAAACAGAAAAGGCTGACGTCCATGAAAGACAAGCAGTTGCTCCTGTTACATCTGGCGGAATCGTCAGAAATTATGAGCGAAACCAGTAAAAATTGCACTGAAATTATTATTAATTCACACTACATAAAACTTTTTCAATTTGCAGTGTTTCCAAAAGGTATAAAGTGCTCGATGTGCGACGAAGTCGGTGACTTCAGGTCAGCGTGTTGTAAGAGGACCTACTTTTGCGGACCTTGCTCGCTTAAGAGAGGCAACATTTGCCTGATGCAGTGTACCTGGAGTGGGCGCACTTTTGTCCTCTCGTAATAGTTTATCTGTGTGCAGTCTCGTTATTCATAAAATTTTTCAAAAAAATATCAAAAAAAAATTGTATCATACTCATTGATATTTTTTTTAGTGTACTTATCACATTTTAGAATTTAATCATAAAAACCACAAGTAATTATTTGGTCTTTGGTCCCTTTTCTTTGTGGGGGAAATTAAAATTTTCTTTTGAGTCTGAAGGTATAATGTGTTCTAAATAAGATTTTGTCTTGGGCCAACATAAACACTATGATAACCGAAACAAATTTATAATAATGTTTTTCTTAAATAATGAGAAGTAAATAAAAAAATCATTATCATGTCTTTTTAATTTTATATTTTCTCAAACATCCTTGTCCAGTATTATTCAAGGCACACTTATGTTGACTTCAAGCTCTTAGTTCAATAAATCAAATGTTTAATTCTTATCTTAATCTAATTTAAGCTTTTTCCCCTGAATACGTTATTTTATATCCTATGAAACATGATGTTGCGGATTTTCAAGGGGGGATGGGGGGAAATTCCCCCGGGCCCGCTCCTCACCTACCAGTGAAAAATAAAGAATTTTTAAAGAGCGCGGAGTCAGTTGGCGTCGGCCGGCGTCGCATTTTAGCGGCGTTGAAATTGCCAACATTCTGCACCAGCCGCAAATTCTTCGCTCGCGTTGAAATTGCCAACATTCTGCACCAGCCGCAAATTCTTCGCTCGCGTTGAAATTGCCAACAATTCGCACCAGCCTCAAATTCTTCGCTCGCGTTGAAATTGCCAACATTCTGCACCATTCTTCGCTCGTTCCTATGCGCTCATTTTTGAACAGATTTGATCGCCGATATAATTCTGTTTTCGTTGCGTTTTGCGTTACTCGAAGAAAAAATCTTCCGGGCCCGGGGAGCCCTTTTTTGACCAGCCGTGCAGAAAAATTATGTGCGCGGCGCCAAAGGCGACGCGCGCGCCTGGGCGAAATAGTGCGTCATATCGAGAAGCAAATAAAATTTCTCGGGGGGCCCATGGGCAATTTTTTTTATTGCAAAATTACGCCTCTTTTAAAGTAGGCAACCATTTTTTTTGGGGGGGGGGGCCCTTCTGGAAAAATCTCCCCGGGCCCAAAAACTGAAAATCCGACACTGGAAACATCTTATTTTGAGCATTTTTTACCACTGCATTGGGCTTGCTTGCCCTTACACCTTAACTACTGTCGCTACTACATTCCGCAGTCAATAATGAAAAATTGAACGTTCCTTGGAATGAACTTTTGCCTGAAAAATGACTAACAATGTCAATGGCAGATATTTTAGCAGCAATGAAACCTGCATCTTGTAGGTCATTATATTTGCTGAAAGGATTTTTAATTTGACACATGAATTTTTTAAGAGAAAAAAATCAGAATGATTCTTACCAGCAATGTTGCTTTGATTCAACGGAACAGAGCAGGGGATAAATATAATAAGACTGGTAATTTAAAATGCATACTAAATTTAGGTCTTCTCAGCTTTCAATAAATCCAATTTTTATAAATAGACAGATGCCTTTGATGTTTACATTATATCTTAACAAGCATATACTTAGAGTTTACAGAGGAAAAAGTTGCTGATGTTTGTGTGGGTCTGGCGATCGGAGTGAAATGAAATCCTAGCTTCTCAAGATTTAAGTTTTAGAGGTGATGATATTGATACATGAAAAATTGTCATAGATTTTATTCTTTCTTCAGAAAAAAATAATAATTATTCAATTTCTTGCGTGATAAGCTTCGAAGAGTATAATACATGAGCTATGTGTTCATTAAGATCTTCTGATATATGTGTAAAGTAACACCAAATTAAATTTGATACAAATATAATAATTAGAAAAAAAATTTTCTTGTCATTGTATTATTTTCTCACACATAACACATAAGGCAATATTTATTTTATGAATAATGCCAGTCAAATAATCTCATGACTGAGATTTAATTTTAGCTTCTGGTTAAATTATTTAATTGGTTTTCGCGGTCGCTAAGACGCTAAAGTGAGGCTCCCCTTTTATTACATAGTCCCGCTCTTGTTGACTTAAAATCTGACGGAAACAGTTGAACACGCCACAGCCTCGCCCCCTTTTTGGCACCTCTCCCTCCTACGTACCGATTCATAAACAATAATAATCGTGCATCGATGCTTGATTATTTTTGTTCCTTTGATATGTTCAATTAGCAAAGTAAATTAATTTAGCAATTGATTTAAGCAGCTGAGATCTCAGATCGTCAATATTTTCTCTCTCTACATATAATGGAGAATAAGCAGAAGCGATACGAGAAAATTGATTTTCTCGGCGAAGGACAGGTACACATCAACAATAATAAATTATTGTTTTCCTGTCAAATGAGCTGTAAAATAATATCATAAATTAATTTTAGTTTGCCACAGTTTACAAGGCTAAAGATATCGAGACGGACACGATTGTCGCTGTCAAAAAGGTCTGTAAAATGTAAAATATTTTTCGCCACTCAAAAAAGCAACCAAATTTGTATGTACAGATTAAAATTGGGAGCAGAATTGAGGCAAAAGATGGAATCAACAGAACAGCCTTGCGAGAAATAAAATTGCTGCAAGAACTAACTCATGAGAATGTCATCGGCCTGCTTGGTTTGCCTTTTAATGAATTATTTTAGACTCTTATAACACTTGGTCTGATTAGATGTTTTTGGCCACAAGTCGAATGTGTCACTCGTGTTCGACTTCATGGACACCGACATGGAGATTCTGATCAAGGATTCATCGATCGTACTCACTCCTGCCAATATCAAAGCATACATGGTGATGACCCTCCAAGGCCTAGAGTATTTGCACATGAACTGGATTCTGCACAGAGTAATTTTTAATTATGTTAAAAAACAATTTAATAATAAATAAATTGCTTATAGGACTTGAAGCCGAATAACTTGCTCCTTGATAGCAACGGCATTTTAAAAATCGGTGATTTTGGCCTTGCAAAATTCTACGGGTCTCCGAACAGACAGTACACTCATCAAGTAGTCACCAGGTGGTACAGGTAATTAGAAAAAATTCGCTTTCGGCTTTGAAATAATTTGTTGATCATCAGGTGTCCGGAGCTTCTATTTGGTGCTCGACTTTATGGAGTTGGTGTCGATATGTGGGCGGTCGGCTGCATTTTGGCCGAATTGCTACTGAGAATTCCTTTCTTGCCAGGAGACACTGATTTGGACCAGCTCACAAAAATTTTCCAAGCCCTTGGCACACCAACCGACGAATCTTGGCCTGTATGTTTTTTTACCCCAATTTTTCCATGTTCTTCTAAAATTAAATATTTAAATTCATTGCAGGGGTTGTCACAGATGCCCGATTACATAGTTTTCAAACCTCAGATAGGAACACCTCTTCGTCACATCTTTACAGCCGCTGGAGACGACTTGATTTTCCTTTTGGAGAAACTTCTGTCGCTGAGCCCTTTGGAACGATACAATTGCACGCAGTGTTTGAAACTTCCTTACTTTACGTATGAAACAGAAAAAAATTTACTTTTAAAATTTTCATTTTGCTAACAATTTCAGCAATAAACCTGCACCAACTAGAGGTGAGCTGTTGCCACTGCCGTCTAGTGTGAGGAGGAATCCCAATCAAGGACTGAAGAGAAAATTGTTGGACACAGGCGAAGGACGTATGTATTAAAATTATTTTAAATTTGAGAAGAAAAAATAATCGTTTATTTGCAGCATCTCAAAGGAAGAAGTTGGTCTTCTGAAAAATCACGTCAAACAACTTTGCAGATTAAACTTGGAATCTTCTTTGTATCGTCACTATGTGATTATTCGTATTGCATTTGCTCAGATGAGAAATTTATTAATTAAAAGATCTAATACTTGTAATAGGATGATTTATTTGGTCAAAGAAACAATAACCTTCTATAAATAGAAAAATATTCATTGCAGCAAGAGCAGAGACCAATTAATAAATTACTTGAGTTTATATATTTTGGAAAAAAGAACATTTGTGATGCAGGGCAAGACAGTTTGGGCCAATTTTAATACAGCTCTTGCTGGCAAAGAAGTTCGAAACTATTGTTTTAATGAATGACACAGACGTTTTGAATAGAAACGCAATAAATTTTGACAGAAAGTAGAGTAACTAACAAGCACAGCCTCTATCCTCAAACAAACTGGAAAAGCATTGCAAAATAATTTAATCCATCCCGATAGAGTCGAGGAACTCAAAACAATACATATAAGTATGTCAAACGTTCTCCATTCAAATATATATGCAATGATCAATAGTAAAAATTTATCAAGATTGCAACAGTATATAGTATTCAGCAGCATGTAAAAGTTTTTGTGCACAATCCAATTGGTTGTTTATTTTTGTAAAGAAAATAATTTGGAAACGTCGTCTCTTCCGAATGGAGTGTTCCGATTTCACCTGGCACAACACTTCATCCTTAATAATCCTTTATCTCCTGCGATTGAATAGAAAAAGAATAGAAAAATTGTTGGACAATCATAAAATAACAACAGTCAAAGGCGTCACAATAGATAACTAGCGAATTTGTTCATTTTTTTTTATAAATAAAATAAAACCAAAAAACAGGCAAGCTTGAAAGTGACATGAATTAAATCCTGAGACCAGCTTCAGTGAAAAGGGTTGAAAGTCACACAACTAGATAAATATATAACGCACACTTATCAAGTATTAAAATAATTTGGCATTTTTCGCGCGCATAAAAAACAAACTCGATGTGTGTTCACATTTTCCTTTTTTACACTTAAATTTGTATGAACTAGAATTAATTAACTGGTATAAAAATTGATTGATACTGATATGATTAACACCATTTTTTTTCGACTATGCGGGTGTGTGTGTAATTAAAAACTAATGACGCAACCTTCTTCCTTCCTTAGTGTGTTGAACTTAACTTTTTATATATATTATATCGTTTTTTGGTCACAACCGAATGCAGACGACGAAAACTAGAAAATAATGCGAACAAATTCCAAGACGACGGCACTTTTCTCGACAAGTTCGGCCTGCAATAGTTGCGCCGGCGAGTTCTATCACAAAAATCACGACTGTTCGTTGAAACCTGGGATTTCGGGCGGCGCCAGGGTGGTGAAGGCGCCGGCGTTCGAGGAACTGCTTGAGGCAACAACTGGTTTCCGGGGACTCATCGAGCCGCCGAGATTTGACGAGCCGAAGCTCAGCGGGAATGAAAAATCGGTGCCCACGTTGGGACGAGGAATCTTGCGCATGATTTTGCCGGACGTGATGAGGCGGCCAAAGCCCTCTTGGTGGGCAAACGCGTAGCCCGAGCGGATCGACCGCCGCGTGCGACGCGCAGATGGAGTTCGCAGAATGTCTTGGGACTGGCGAGATCTGCAAATTTTTCCATAAAATAAATATTTTCGTAAAAAAAGAATTCTTTACCTGAGTGATTCAAGTCTTTGTTTGAGTCTGACTCTGTCAGAAAGTGTTGGCTTCACGTCCACAAAGTAAAACCGCCAAGCCAACACCGGGACGATCAATATTGTAACTGTTAGGAGTGTTGTGAACCAGAAAGTTGGCTCGCTCATCGCCTGCAATTTATTTTTATATTAGATAATTATCATTCGGATTAGATTTTTAATCAACGTACCTTTGTTAATGAGCCTATGTAGGGTCCACCAAAAACGTAATTGCAGATGAATGTGAAAGTGAAGTAAATACAAAGCGATCCCCAAATAGTGAAGTGACTCCACCACGTCCAGTACGCAGTGTCCAAAGCAATCTAAATTTATAAATTCACAATTAAAAAAAATTAAATTTGCTTTGTAATTATTTCATACCTGGGCTGTAACGACTATGATCAAAATTGTTGCTACAACACTGCCGAAGAGCATGTGATCCGATAGGGCATGTCCTTTTGGAGAAACTCCATCAATGTAGGTGCCTAAAATTTAAAATTGATTCAGTTAATAAATCCCGAGTTTGATTAGTTTAATAAATAAAGTGTTGTGTTGTTAAGTAAATAGTATTTCATTATCCAGTGTGGTAAAAAACGTTTAAAATATTTACATTTACATATTATTGTTAATTTTATCAAACCTCACAAACATTTTCCATTAATTAAATTAAGTAGCTGTACAATTTGTGCTATTTTAAGTGCAAAATTATTATTTTTAACGTGCATTATCAATTTTAATAAAAATATGAAGTTTTCTAAAAATGCCAGAAAATAATGAACAGTTGAAAAGTATCAGTAAAAACATTAAAAAGAATACAATAAACACAATAGTAATAAAAAAAATAGCTGTCTTATCATAAAAATGGCTTTTTAAATCAGTTTGTATATTTAAACCTCTCTTTGATTAACATATTGTCAATTAAGCCAATAATTCTAGATAAACAAAGAAAATGAGCTGAAATTATTTTTCAATATAGCTAAGAAAATTTTCGAGAAGCGGCTCAAATAAAAAAAAGATGCTAAATAATGTAAAAAATGTAAGATTAACGATTTAAATTTTTACCATATGGCACGAGGAAGAGGATGCAGGAAGTGAAGAAGCCATGCATGGCTGACTTGAGGAACTCTTTCTTGTTGAAAAGCAAATCCTGGTGGCCCGGGGTGTACAACTTGGGGTAGCTCAGACTGTTTTTGTCGTTGACGTCCTGGTCGAACACGCCGAGAGACATCACCGGCAGCGCCGTGTAGAACAAGTTGTAGAATGAAATAAATATGGGGTCGAAGAGAGTCTGAAAGATTGGTTAAATTTAAATTTATATCGATTTCAAAAAGAATTTTACATACCTGGGCGCTAAAGCCGCAGAAAAATGCAAACCAAAAGTGGCACAGCGTGAACGCAAAGTTCTTGTAAAAGAAGTAGCGCAGGAATTTGCACATGCGGAAATAAGACCAGCGTCCGTGCACCAAAAGTAGCCTCTCGAGGAATCGGAACTGAGGCAGACTGTAGTCGGACGCCAGCACAGCTTGCAGTCCTTCTTGGCCGCTGATGCCAACACCAATATGGGCGGCTGTGCAAAATTATTTTTAAACTATTTTGAAATTAAAAAAAATTTTAATTGTACCTTTGATCATGGAAACGTCATTGGCTCCGTCTCCGATGGCAAGTGTCACAGCGTGTTTGTTCTTTTTGATCAGTTCCACCACCATTGCCTTTTGCAACGGAGTTACTCTACAGCATATCACAGACTTGCCTAAAATAATAATTTTATTATAGTGTTTTAAAAAGATTTATTGTATAATTACATTGCGAGGCAGCTTCGAGGAAGATTTTTTCAAGGCTCGGGTGTAGTGCGTGGACCAACGAGTGGCCGTTGATGACCAAAGCGTAGCCACCGCTGACTTCGGGCTCTTCCACACTGCAACCATGCTGATATTCACTTTCACTGCAGGCATAACAAACAGGAAAATATACAGTCAGCGAGACAAATCACAATCAAGGCGGCTACATTATTTGTTATCAGTGTACCCAAAATCAAAATTTTATTAAAAATTCCAAATGCAACATTCCATACAGTAAGCCAAACCCATTAATTTAGTTAATGAAAATTATAAAATTATTATTATTCCCAGTGAACAGAGTAACAGCGCATGATGGTTTATAATCTACAAACTACCAACCAAGTGAAAGCGACTTTTCCGATTAAATTATTAAACAGCCAAAAGTGTACCACTTTAAAAAATGTGATGGCCCCTTGCCTTAATAAGTGTATGCAACACGCTATGTTTGAGTGTGCAGTCAGTTGCATAGCCACCTTTGCTAAGTAATTGTTACATTAAAATATTCATAGCAAAAATTTGTTTTAATACCAACTCTAAAATGAAACTGATTCAATTTTTATCAAATTGAAAATGGTTCAAATTTCTTTATCTAGAATTAAATAAAAATGAGAATCTTTTTAACTACACTTTGTGTGGAATGTACTTTGGGTAAAGGACTATTTAATAGCTAAAGTGTTGGACGGTGGCATTCCAGACTGCTGCCGGTTGTGTGATACGATAGGTCTCCTGCGCACTGCACAATGCTTCACCTAAAGCGTGTGGCAAAATAAAAATAACACAAACACCAAAAATTAAAAACTGTGTACGTGCAAAACTTTCATTTGCTCTTTGTTTTGTCAAAAAATTTTCGTCAAATGAATAGTTTTGCAGCAAAATAAGTGTATATTAATCAAATTTATATATAATATTAGCGATACAGGGCAGAAGAAGAACTACATAATGCGATGAAGCACCAACAACTGCTGACCATGTGGAGATAAATAGTAGCTCTTCCCCTGACCTTTGATCCTTGCCCCACCTGAAAGTGACCACGCTAACTGCGGTGGGGCCTCCGTTAACACCGTCACTCTTTTCCGAATTGTTGATCATGTCACGTAGCCTGCCCAACTGCTGCTCCACGTCTTCGTACAAGTTTCCGTCCACTATGAAAACTTCAGCCATGTCGTCTGTCAGCAGCTGACACGAGTAGCCAATATTGATTGCAGTTTCTGCTCCGAAACAAAAACGATTAAAATTCCATTTTGCTTGATAAACAAGATTTAATTACCTTGCTTGTCTCCTGTCAGAACCCAAATCTTTATTCCTGCCTGTGCCAATTTGGAAATGGCCTGAGGAACGCCATCCTGCAGTTTGTCCTCGATCGCAGTAGCTCCGAGCAGGGTCATGTCTTTCTCAATCTCCTCGTAAATGCTGTCCAGCTTTTCGTCTCGGTTGTCCAACGAAAGAGCTGCTGCTTGATGTCTGTTCTTCCAGTCATTAAAGAAGTCATCTTCTAGGTCCCGCACTGCTAAGCAAAGAGTCCGCAGACCTTCGCTGGCAAATTTCTAAATTTCAGAAAATTGAGTAATTTTTTTTTGTTTCAATTATTTAATTATTTTTACATTTAAATTGTCTTGGGTTTTTGTCTTTCTCGCGTCGCTGTCGGGTTTCAGCCTTTCGTAGATGACATTGTCGGCTCCTTTACAAAACAGACGAAGTTTCCCGTCCTTTCTCAGGATGACGGACATTCGTTTTCGGACATTGTTGAAGTCCAAAATGCAGAGCAACTCGTACACTTCCCTCTCACCCATTACCTAAACCAAGATAAATATTGCTAAAGTAAAATTATTTGCAATCGGAATTTCAATACGTCTATTGTGATGCTGTTTGGGCTTCGCTCCTTGAAGACAAAGCCGAAATTCCTGGCCGCTGAGACGAGTGCGGCTTCGTCGGGCGACTGCGCCTGGTACTCGAGTTTGCCTGCAAGCATTGAGATTATGCATCAAAGCACTACACAACGCAAATATTCCGTGCAAATACCACTCTTTTCGTCTGGCATAACTGTGTGACACAAAGCCAGCAGCTTGAAGAAACTGTGAACCGTCTCGTCTTTCCGCCGCACCGCCTCCAGCAGACTCTTGTCGTAAAACCTGAATTCCGGCTCGAAGTCTGGATTTTCGGAGAAGTCGACTGGAATCGTGCTCTGCAAATAATAAGCGCAATTTTACACAGGACTTTTGCATTTTGGGTTAACATGAGAGTAAATTAGTATGCATAGGGAGGTCAAAAAGCTGGTTTATATAAGCTGATGAGGTGCATTCGCAGAGAGTAGCTTTCCAATAGTTTTGTTTAGACTAACACTGGCCCGTTTTGGCTAAAGTTAATCCAATATTTTCCTCATGCCTTATAATTCCGTCAAAGGAATTCACTCTTTTGTGTGTGTTATTTGCCGAGAAAGCTATTACAGATTATATGGAACAAGGAGACTTGCTGCAAATTTGGCAGAAAAAACACAAGCAGAAAAAACAGTTGACATGCAAAGCTGAGAGTACACTGTGTAGTTTATGTTGCGCAAAAATGAGCTGCACTCCAGGAGTGAGGAAACCGACACAATATTGCAGAAATTCTCTCCTACAGTGCATTTGCATATTTTTATATAAATGGTACACGGTGGAAATAATTTTGATTCAATAATTATTTTCCAATTGAGGCAGGGTGAATATATATATACGCTAGTTTCCCTAATTCCTATGAGCTCCCTTTATAAGGGAAACTCATGAAAACAAAAAATAGAAAAAAAATCGGGTGATGGGCTGCATAAACTAGAGTATTTATAAAATTGATGGAAAAGCTGCAAAAATCAATCATATGTAGGTGATATTTATATGTGGGGCCACAAGAGTGAAATCCAGTAAAAGTGTGATAGAGACGCCTACTGAGACTCTGATGGCCAAAGTGCCCGGCGCCGAGGGGCTCTTGCTTGTCAATCCGTTATACAGATGAACAAACGTCGAAGGTTGCGTCGAGCCTGGCAGACTGCTCAGGCTGCTCGCGTTCTCCACTCGACCCTACATGCAGAACCATCTCTCAGTAACTCTCTCCCATCACCAAGCCACGCTCACCACCAGCGCAAATTTAAAAAAGCAGCAAACTTTGTCCAAAAAGGAAATTTACACTGCTTTTATTTATATATAAAACATTTTTCGCAATATTTATATTATATCGACCAATAAAATTAAAATTACCACTCCAGCTTACAGCTTTCTGCTCTTTTAATATTTGCAGCAGGAAATTTAACTGTGATTTAGATTTGGAGATATTAATAATTAATTTTTTAATAAGAATAATAGTTTAAATCATTACAATAATTACGTATTTTTAAGTAAATTGCTCATTTGATTTAATTTTTTTGATTAATTTTATGTTAATGAAGAGTGTATAGCATAAATTATTATTTTGTTTATAAATTAAATTTTTTTGTTCTTAATTTAACTTGAATCCTGATGCAAATAAAGTAACTTTGTATTTACCAATATTTACATTATCTACATGTTGTGAAACATTATTATTTACTATAATTAATTTTAATAGAAATCCAACTCCAAAACCTGTAAGTAAAATCATAAAGAACGCAAAACTTTGGTGCTTACCTCGGTAACTTCCAAGATATCTCCTGTTTGTTCGTCGATGACGTCCCCATAGCACTTTTCACCGATCGAGCATTTGTTGAATGTCATTATGTTCTGCGTGAGGGTTCCAGTTTTGTCAGAGAAAATGTATTCGATCTGACCCAGCTCTTCGTTCAAACATGTTGTCCGCGCTTTTGCCGACGTACCACTCTTCTCGTGGTACATATTCTCATCCCAGTTGATTAGAAAACTCTGCACAAATCTGATAACCTCCACGCTGCAATGAATTGCTTTATAAATTCTGGAAAATTTTTAACAAATGCCAAAACTCACCTAACATAAAGTGAAATAGGCACAACGGTGTTGAGGACTATGGTGTACGAGAAGAAAACAAGTAAAGCTATCACAGTGGCACCCTCGATGGGGTCGGTGGGGACCAGTTTGTCCCACGGCAGGTAGATTTGGAAGTGACGGCCCGTGATCGTTTCCCAGAACCCACAGGCGATCGTACAGAACAGGCACATGGACAGTAGAAAAAATACAATCTGCAAAATAAAAATTAATTAATTTATTTTCTCGAATAAATCAAAGGAATTTTCGCACCCCTATGATAATGAAGTTCAGCAATCTATCGATACTTGTGCGCTTGAACTTGGTCTTCCCGGAGTTCTGCATTAGTTTGGTGTCTTTACCGGCAAAAATGACCATCCCGTAGCACCACTGCGTGTTTCTTAAAACGCATCCTCTCAGCACCACTTTGTCATTGTCCAGGGCATACCTGTAATAAAAATAAAAAATTTAATTGTTTTTACCAAAGTGTAAATAATTTTTGTTTACAAGAAAACCTGTAAAATTCAAATGCAATGAAAAATAAATTGTTTTCTCCAATGTGTAAATAATTAAAAATTGACAAAAATATACTCACGATTTCCCCTCCCATGTGAGGACGCCCTCGTACTTGTTAAGTAGGTTGTTGGGAGTCTCGCACACGATCTCTCCATTGAAGGCACCAATTCTGGCGTCATCCTGACCCATTTCTGCTGTTTCTAACAGGCACTGCCGGCATTTAAGATTTGTTTCCCTGTTGGCAAAAAAAGACGATGATGAGTGTCAACTGCACCGATCTCAAGAGGGTGCTTGTCTTTTAAAACCCACCCTCTCGCCCTTTTACACTAAAAAGGCGTTGAAACGCTGATTTGGCAAAAATTTCTAACCATAATGACTTTTTTATATTTAAAAAAAAATATATATATTTACAAAATCAATGGTCATTAAGAACGTGTTTTCCACGTTGCGTGGAGACAAGCACGATCATTACAAGGTGTGTTGTGTGTAATCGATCTATAGCTTTAATCGTAATTACCCGTCCAACTCCGCAGTCTCAATGTAACAAAGGCCGTTGGGCTCGCTGGTTGAGAGGAGGAGCATGTCCGCCGCCACGAACTGGTCGTTCTCCATTCGGATGACGTCGCCCACCTGCACTTGGGCCCATTTCTCCTCCACCAGCTTCCCATCTCGCAGAGTCAGCGACTTCCGGTTGTTCACTTGCGAGTCGCTGACATGTCTTTGCTGCAAGTTTTATTGTGATTAGTAGTAGTTCCTCTTTCATTATTTTAATCATTTTCATCGATCATCATATTTTACATTATAAAATTGAAGTTAATTTGAGAGATCTTGGTGTTGGAATAATTATTCAATCTAACACTATTATTGATTAAGGGATACAAAGTAATTTAATTCAAAAGTTTTGAATTTGTTCAAATCAGATTATTTGAATTGACTTATGAAAGTAATTTACTGTGATTTAATGGTAAGAAAACTTTAAAGAATAATTTTTAAATAAATATCACATAAAATATGAAAATAAAAATTTAATCAGAGCAATTTTTAAAATTCATTTAATTTTTATTATTATAGAATATTATTTTCTTAAATATTATTTTAAAAATCATTAAATTGGAAATATTTAATTTGAATTTAGAAATAAAAATGTGATATTTTGGACAAGGTTGACCAGGGCGCAAATTTTTTGTGCACTTGCACTCTTTGCAGTCAACCTTAATTTTTGAACAATTTGAATATAATTTTCAATCAAGAGAAATGGCAAAACAATTTGCACGATCTAGAAGAGAGATCAAAATTTTTCCTTAATTTATTTCCCGTTTTTACTTAAAACTTATGTCACGTGGGAGTAATTGGCGCAGAAAGAGCAACATGATTGAGCGACGAGTAAAACAAGGCAAACAAAGCGAACCGAGAGGAAGCAGGGAATAATTTGGCCGAACTTTGGCATTTGGAAAGGCGGCGTGGGCCGTTGTTGCGCGGAAAGTGGCCGGAAGTGGGTGGGGTGTGGACTTACGTAGTCGTCGTAGGCGTCTTTGACTGCCGTGAGGGCGAGCACACCGATGAGGGGCACGGCGGTGGTGACGGGCGTGAGTGACGAGATGGCTGGGATCATCTGGAGCACCAGCAGGCAGAGGAAATAGAAGTTGGCAAGCCTTTGGAACTGCTCGAACAGATTGAGCGGCAGGAATGTCAGCACCGAATACTTGGACGTTTTGATGAGGTTGTTCTGAAAACATGCACATTATTTTTGTGAATGGAGAGGATTTTGATGAGCAAAAGTCTGGCGGCTTGATTTATTGCATCTAATTTGCTTTTTGGCACAAGCAATGGCTCATTAGTCGGGCGCTGCTGATGATAAATTTAGAACCATTCTCATTTATCATCCGTTAAGCGCATATCCTTAAAAAAAGACCATTTGTTTTGAAGTCTGCAAAAATAGCTATGTATGATTTCTTTGCAAGAAAATTCTTATCTAAAAATGTGAGAAAATTCCAAATATAAATTGTTTTATAAAATTATGCAATCACCGCTGCTCTGAGTTTGGATTTTTGATTTCTAGTAAAAAAATTAGTAAATAAATAAAAAACCTAAATTAAGCAAAAATGGAAATATGTAAGTTAATGAAGAGCTGCAATTTATCAGGGCAAGTCTATTTAACTTGCATATTTGTGGATTTAAATTATAATTCCTAATTTGATGCTTTTGGTTGTGTTAAAGAAAAAATGGTCAAATAGTAAAATTTGTAAGTTTTTATGATGCTAATGGATTCTTTAAAATTTGGAAAAACATCATAATGCTTGGGAAAAAATGAATATTTTATCCATCAACAAAACATACAACTTTTTAAGATCGAGGGAAAAAGCGAAAAAAAAATGAATTTCACGACGCAATAATAAGAGTTAATTAAGGGATGATCTTTTCACCATTGAAATTGTAAGCAGAATTTCAAACGCCTGAGAACTCTAACAATTGGACAAATAAACAACAATGATGAAAGATTTTCCAAGAAGCTGCTTATTCAAATTTGCAATCAAAGTAAGAGCAAACAACTTTTTCAACGGAATCGTTATCCGCGGGTTCTCATTGTGTGCAAAATCCAGAGCAGCGTTTGGCCTCGCCAAGGACGGGTTCCCGGAAGCGAGCAGGAGAAAGAAAAAAATGTGGTCGGGTGCACACGCACCCAAGCCCCTGGCCCGCGCCGCTTTAGGCAGCCGAGGCGCACCGAGCCGACAAGCTGGTTGCATAAGGCGTAGTAACGCAGGCGCAATGACCCTCGCGGCCAGACGGGCCAAGATTTCTTTGTTTGCGACGTCAAGGAGCGAGCAAGGCGAAGCTCCCTAATTCCCATCTCGCTTTGCCACTCGACTCGCTAATTACGTTATTTGAGGCGAAATTGCGCCCGCCGTCGCCAAATCATCATCGTTCCTTTTTGTTTGCGCCCGGCTGGAAAATTGCGCTTTGATCGAAGCAGCAAACTCGTTCAAATGTTCATTAGCGCTTCTGGACTTTTTGAGTGTTATTGCGAAATTTTGTATCCGCTTCGCTCAATGGAATTCGCTTTGAATGGGACGCCCAACTTGTAAATTAGTTCCTATTTTCAGAATGAGAGTTGGAAGATAACAATGACGTCAAAACTGACGAAGTGGCTTACGTAATCTTGACCAGAAATTTCTGGTGTTCAAAGAAAACAATGAATATTTTGGAAATTGCAAAATATTTGAAGAAAAAAAAACAGAAATGGAATATTAAGTTAATTAAAAACAGTTATATAGTAAATTAATTAATTTTAAATTAATTCTTTTCAAACTTTTTAAATCACTTGAAAAACTTCAATAAAAGAAAAAAACGTCAAGAAAAATCTATATTTAAATGGAAAATATTTAAATTATAATTAATAAACCATTCCTTCTGAAAGCTGTGTTTTTTTTTTAAATTACTACAAATAAAATCAATTAATATTTACTTGAGAAACTTTCGTACGTTTTTTGAATTATAATTAAATGAAGTGGAGGAAAAAGCCAGAATGGCTGGTCGTTATATAACGCTGAACCAACCCAAGCACTCGTCGCCGCGCTCCAATCTCACCCTTGACTCTCGCCACTTCGTCGGCGACAATTAGAAATCCATACAAATTCATTCTCAATCATACTTACAGCGTAGTGGAATTGCGCGTTGAACTCTCGGTCGTTAGCCCGTATCCGCCTCTCCGTCTCTGCAAACAATCAAACCGACACTTTTAGCCAAATTAAGCGATACCACTGGCGACGCGAAATAAAAACAAAAGTTTGTTTATTGCGGCTATAAATAAGTCTTCAGCACCTAATAAAGGAGAAACGGTTCCAGACAAATATACCCATAAAAGCTTTTTTGTTTTTATTATGTCTGAAAAGATTAATTTTATTGAATCTTTTTTAATATCTTGAGTATTGAACTCGTTTATTTATTTGAGGTTTTTTAAAGCAAAAATAATGTACGGCGGTGCAAATAAATAAATTTTACAGATGATTTGTATTAAAATAATATTATATTATTTTATTCTAAATTTCTAACTTTTATTTATATCTATTTTCTTAATTTTAACTGTTTAATCCTTAATAAATAAACAATTCTTTTTTTGTATGTTAAACACAACATGTGTTTAACAAATATTTGATGATAATTTATTTTTAATTTTTTAACACATTTGCCAATATATTTGTTAATTTTATTATTTATTTTTGAGCTTAATAAACTTCATCTTCAAACAACTTAAAGTTGTATATTCCAGCGCGTTTTCTTGTTCCTCGTGTAAATTTTGAACATTAATTTTAATTAAATAATAAGAATAATGAAAGTGTCAATTAGTTCTAAGTTGCTAACTAATTATTTTGAATTTAAATAATATTCTTGAAGGTTTGGCTGCAAACCCAGGAGGGATGAGCCAGGAAGATCCCTCTCGAAAGCTACGCCGCGAGCTGGCTGCTCCACTGGCGCAATGTGCCGCATAAGCAGTTCGAGTGCAAATAGCTTTCTGGCAGCACAATGGGCACCACTCCAGGAGCAGCCACTTTTATTTCATGAAACCGTTCTGGAAATGGCACCGAGGTAATTGGTACGGAGGTTTTCGATGGAAATTAAAATTAATGATACAAATTGCCGAAAAGTCACGCAACCTTTATAAAAATTTAGAAAATGTAATTCTTAAGTAAATAACAGGCCAGCTGATGTGCGTGAGTGAGTGTTCCAGGCATGCCGTGACTCCACTTTACAATCCAGCACCAGCAGGTTCGTTCATTCCTCCGTCAGCGGCAGACAAACTCTCTCGTATCGATCAGATACACAACAGAACGAGTATTTATTGGGGCAATGAATTTGTGTCAGAGACCGAACGCTCGCTTTCCTCGGGGTGCGTGGAAAGTGCAGGAAGTCCGATTCGGCGAGGGTTAAGTGCGATTTGCTTTCAGTCCGTTCGAGGGGTAAAAAATATACCTCGGATTGACACGAACAGGAATTAGAGCGAGAATTTCAGTAATTTTATAAATTCCTTCTGGAAAGTGGCAGTTTGCGGAACGTTTGCTGCCAGTAATTTTTTTCTTAATGCTTGGTTTATCCTCGCGGAAGACGGCGCTGCTCACGTGCCAGCAGTTTCTCTCGTTTTAAGGCTTTTTTCGTCTGCGGTTTTCGCGCTCGGGCTCCATAAAGAATTCAAAACGGCAAAAGTGAGATGCTCGCGAGCCGAGTCTAATTAATATTCCGGTTGCGAACTCGAGACGAGCAAGCCCGCCTGTGAGAATACAAAGCGGTCTGTTATTTTTTTTTTTGCGAGCGAAATAAAAAAAAATAAGGAGCAGCGATCCGCTTGGAGTGAGCGACTCCAAAATATCAGAGGAGACCGTCATTTTTCTTTCCCTGGTCTGGAAAAAACCATGAGCATGTCTCGGGTTTGTTTTGTTTGTGTCTGACGGTTTTGCCAAGAAAAATGGATAGCATAATTTGGAGCTTGATCTTGTTTGCCAAGGTCGTTTGTACTTTTTCAAAGCAACAAGCGCACATCAACACTTTTTTATAATTTTGGCTGAACATTTATCGAAATATTTAAATATTATCAAGTTGCATTTTTATTTATATTAAAAACGAAAAAAAAAAAACGATATTTTATCTGAATATTTATGCAACTGTTTAAGTTTTGCATAAAATTATGTGAAATTGCATTTAATTGAAGATAAATTTTGTAACTTTTCGTGAAAATGAGCAAAGTCAAAAAAATAATTACATTTGTGAAACATAAGATGTAGGAAAATGATTCATATCTTTGGGAATACTTTTTGCTCCATCTAATTTGAGGGCAAACGCCGGTCAAAGTTTCAATAAGGGACGCAAAAACTTCTCCACGATGAAAAACTCCGCTTGCGTTTGAGAGCACTTGGCCTTATTTTGCAAGTAAAAGTTTTTTGCTCATTCCCAAAGCCGCCTCACTTGAAGTAAAAAAAAAATGCAAAGTTGTTGATTCGATCCTTTTCAAAACTGAAACCAAGAAAATTAACCGTCTCAATTTTCTTTAAATAATAATAATGTAAAAAAAAAATACAAATTAATAATTGCAACATTGATTACAGATTAATCCCGTTTGGCGTGACTGGTTCGGAGCAATCGGTTGCAGCTTTGCGTTTTACTAAACGGTTTGCCCACATTCACCAATTCATAATAATGACCTCTTTGCATATTTATTCCTCTTTGAAACGGAAGAAAAAAAACTTGATATTTCTAGTCCTAACGAGAGAAACAGAAATCGATGAGAAAGAAAAATTGGGTCAATTTAATCGGAGAAATCGTCGAGATAGGGCACGAAATTTCCTTCTCTCTTTGGCCTATCAGTTTGTTTAGCTTAGCATTTTGCGCCATTTCGTCACACACGACCAATTTTATCGAAAGGGCTGCTGCTGTGCGATTTGGATTTCACGCGGCGCCGGCCGCTTTTCTCCGCAGCCGAATAATGCCGTACACATGCACTCGCACACACAAATACCGAGAGAGAGAGAGAGAGAGAGAAAGAGCACTCGCTGGCTGCTGGCGCCTCGGGATATTGATTAAAGTGCCGCGCCATATCGACCTCCTAGCATACATATATCCCACTCGCTCCTCGCACACCCCAATCTGGAGTAAGGTCGAACGTTCCTTCGCAAGTGCGTTCACCCAATATCCTCCGACCAAATAATATGCGAAACCGATTTAGGAATGTGACGTGGCGAAATTTGGCAAATCAGAGTGAGCAGTAAACTCATTTTTCTCCTTGATAGTTACATTCTGGGAATATTTTTAGAATTTATAAGCATTATGAAATTTGAGCTGACGCATTTATTAAAAAATTGTCCTTCTGGCGATCTATGAAAAAAAAGGTGGTCAAAGAACAATTATTCGGAATTTTGAATATTGACGTTACAATAAGACCAACAACTGTAGAAGTAGTCAAATTAAAAAAATGACCTACGGGAGGTTGCCAGAGGACCTGCTTGAGACTTGTTTTTACTGGTATTACTGGGGGTTAAATGAAGAATGCAGATATAACAAGAACAGGCAATGAATCGCTATTTTTCCCTAGTTTTCGCTAATTTATCAAAAATAACTCACAAGTGTTTATTACATATAATTAAGAAGTGAGGTTTTTCCTTGTTTTAAAAAGCCTGAGTGCTTCACTTCCATGATCATCTCCTTGAAAGTCAATAATTATGTTAAACAAAATAAATTTAATGTTAAATATTTTTTATGCAACAAAATATGCTAGCCATATTAATTTTACTGTTTTTTTTAATTAGTTAAATAAATTTAATTTTTATATTTTAATCAATTTTAATATTAAAATTATATCTATTTAATGTATATTTTCGTATAAAATTTAGTTGAAGAATTTTTAAACAAATAAAAAATGCTTGTTTGCTTGATTTTTTCTTATAAATAATTAGTTACCCAAATTACAAACTAATTATGTTTTACGGCAGATTACTTTTGCATATATCTAGCAGATTTATTTTCCTAGTCGTATGGTATACTTAAATTTTTTGAAATATTAGAAAGAAAAAGGAGAAAAATGAAAAATACAAGCATGAAAATAAACGGAAGTCCCTATCGAAATATAAGCTTGGGTTCACAAATAACTTTAAAGCTATTCCTGACAATAAGAATGAATTTTTTCCAGTTAAAATAACAATGCACATCATCCAGATATTTGCCATCCCACGCAATTTGGCCGCTTTCCCTGCAACCACCGCCGCCCTTTGACAGCTTAATGCGGAAAACCTTTTGTGACTGTCGGCCATTGGCGCATTCATACATGAAGAAGTTTGGCAACTGGTACATGTGATTGATTGATGCTTTTTAAGCGTTTTTTCCCCTTTTGGCTGCCATAATGCTCCGCCAGCGTCGTTGCGAAAAATAAGAAGAGAGCGAGCAGGAAAACCCGTCTGGCCGGGCGGGCGAGACTGGCAGCAAAGCAAAGACCTTTGATATGGTCCCAAGTGCTTGTGCCGCAGAGGTATCAATTATTTATCCACCGAGCCCAAACTAAGCCCTTGAATCAATCTCGACGTAAATCGTAGCTTACTTGTCCAGACAGAAAGTCTGATGTAATGTTTTTTGATAATAAGGAGATAAATTAAAGAAAAACTAAAAAATATTTGCATAAAAAGTTCCGGAACTTTCTAAATTTTAACAAAAGACGGAACAACTGGTAAAACTTTTTGAAGTGATTTTAAAATAGTGTTCTTAGGATGTTTTTATTGATAAAAATTTTGAGTATAAAAGAGAGGTTTTTTCAATTTTCTGATTTTTTGTAATTTTCTTGCTCGTGAAATTGGGCCGCAGACCGTGACCGAAACTGGTAGAGACATGAAATGTCTAATAAAATCAAATTTTCATGAAAATAAAGTGATTTGTTTTCATGAAAATTTTATGCGCCATTAAGAAACACTCTCGGAATAAAAAACTTGGTCAAATTTGTTGAAATACTTTTTTTCTTACGAGCGATGGAATTCTTAAAAAGAGTCGTAGCAATTTCAAATTTCACGGAAATTAAATTATCTGAACTTTGTAAGACCCTTTTAAGAAATTTAATTTTGCTTCTAACAACATGAACAACTTGAAAATTTTGCTCAGCCGTCAGAAACGGTTTCGTGCCTGATGATTGACATGTCTGAAAGTTTCTCCAACGTCTCGTGCTCTCAACGTCCTAAAAATAAA